CAACTGCCTTTCGGTGGGGGGGGGGGGGGGGGGTTCGCACTGGTTACCTGCAGCTACTCCAAACTATGAGGAACAAAGAGTCCGTCTTCATTGTGCGGCGCTACATGAAGTTGGCGGACATGGCGTCCAAGTTCATTCCTTAGATAAATAAAAGCGACCATTTCCATGACCAAAAGAAGTATCTGCTAAAAACAGATTCGAGTGTACGATTCCGACTGTATCATGAGCATTTGTTGATGAATCACTACCAAATACTGATGACACCAGGTGTTGGCGAAAAGGTGAGCGTATCCTGTCACACCGGTGGCACACGTAACAAACACATGCAAAGGCAAGACAAGTGTTCACCTGAAAAAACACCGGAACATAATAAGGTCAAAAGTCTTAAAAGGGAACTGCACCAGACATCAATTTGTCACAAATGTGTAAAACTTTGATATGTTCTCCACATGTCAACCATAAAACATTTTGAAAGCTTTGCTGAGACCCCAGAATGCTGTAACCTTGATCAAACAACTTTTGAGCGCGTCGTATGACGCGCTTTGATATCTTCGTAGGATGAAAAAATGAGGTTGAGGTCAGGACTTCCACCTGGTCAAGGTAGTACCCGGATGTACCCATTCCTAGAAGTATCCATTGGCACACGAGTTGTGTGGTCTGGCGTTGTCCTGCTGGAATGCGAAATGTGGTCCAATCTAACGCAAAAGTGGTACCATGGCCTTAAACCTGCCGATAACGAACCCCTTGAAGTTCACCATAAAGACGATTGAAACCTGTCCTGTAGCTGACTGTGATGGCCAAACCATCACTGAACCATTGGACATCTGTAGTCGAAATGGAACCTCGAATCGTCAATGACAAACGTGAGTGATGCAGCTACCTGATGTCATGACACCGTGTCCACTTTATTCGTTTATTCGCAAGTGTCCACTTTGTTTCGAGTAGTCATCTTGATAAAAATAGTTGGGCGACAACTTTCAAATCTAGAAGGCAGCAGATTGTGCACAGTTCCATCATTTAATCGCCTGTCTGTTATGGACAATTGTTTATGCTTGATGATGATCGGTAATAATGTTCACGTTATTTATCATATCTGATGCTCTATACCACGACAAAGCCCTATGCTCACATCACCGGTGTGTCCATGCACATCCCACAACCTTGAAATAACCCTGTCGGAATGAGTTCTCCGGCCTGAGGGTGGATACCCAGCTGTGGCACAGCTGTATCTTACGCGACATGATGGAGTTTCTCGATCCTTTTCTTACCGTCTTCGCTATGCTTGTGGTTGTGAGATAGAGGTCCATCAATGGTACTACCCAGATTATGCGGAGGGCGTCATGGAAAATGATAAATACAAAAATTGGAATAGGCCCGTTTACAGCCTCGGACGTATCCAGACCAACAAACCTGATCTTGTCCTTTCTGATAAAACCAATGAAATCATATATATTATTGAATTCTCTGTCCCTTTTGACACTAATGTGATTGACAAGATTCAGAAAAAAACATGGCAAATATGTGGACCTTGATTTCGAAATGTCACGCTTGCATCCTTGGGAGTCCCCAAGTTGTCCGACTCCCCATTGTTATCTTTGCCTTGGGTTTTGGTACCCCCCAATCTGTTGACTGACATTTGGAGAGTACCCGGGTTTGCTACCAGGAATACAGCCCTTCTGACAATCTGGGTAATGCAGAAGGCTCCAGTGTTGGGGAGTCTTCACAATCTCCGAAAAGTTCCGGGTGGGTTCGACTAGGCGGCGCTTCCTTTTAGTCTCATACGCTGTCTGGGCTGCGTGTAGATGAAGCAAGGGCCCTGAGCTGATGATGAGCCTAACCAGCCTGACTGTGCCAGGATCACCCAAACCCTCTTTGCTCCATTTTTATTTTAATCTGTACACAATAATAAAATACATTGTCTGCAGACCTACTCAACTCCGCATCACAAACTGTAATTACAAGGCACACAAGATGTATCTTCTCATCCGTGGAGTAAACACATACCGACTCTTCTACAAACACACATACATTCATAACTATAGTTTACTTTGTGTGCTTACGCCTACGTCAACAATTATGATGGCGAGGATTTGATAAAATGGAAATAGAACACATTCAAAACTGGTAGAGCATCTTGCGGCAACTGAAATTGAAAAGAATAATATATTACTAAAATGTGTGGTTGGGTGGGGCGGTTAGACGTCAAATACACTTGAAAGCCTTTGGTAACATTTGAGTTTGATCTCTTGACTGAAGCACTAGGTAGGAACGTTTGATGCATCAATCAAATATGTTTTCAAAGTCAAATCAAAGATGAGTTGTTCCCCATTTTTACAAGTGCTTGAAATACATGCTTAATGTCCTACTGTGCTAATGTCGCGATATTTGCTTTATCTGCGCTTGTGGCGTTCTCTTTGTGTACATTTGGTAACACATGTGAAATGTTTTTGAAAACCTTCTGCATATATTGGTTGAATTCAAGTGTCTGAAGGTTGTCATACCGAATACACAATATTCTAAGATTGGTTGGTTGGTTGTTTAACGCCGCACTCAGCAATATTCCAGCTATATGACGGCGGTCTGTAAATAATCGAGTCTGGACCAGACAATCCAGTGATTAATATCATGAGCATCGATCCACGCAATTGGGATCGATGACATGCACGAACCAAGTCAGGGAGCCTGAGCACCCAACCCCGTTAGTCGCCTCTTACGAGAAGCATAGTCGCCTTTTACGGCAAGCATGGGTTGCTGAAGACCTATTCTACCCCGGGTCAAATATTCTAAGAAGGGTCATAATGAAAGTTGACAGTTTAGATTTATGGAGTGTCACATCATGTGTGGGATGTTCACGAAAACAATCTACAGATGTACATTTAGCATCATCTCGGTGGATGCAGAAAACGACCTTCATTTTTAAAGGGTAAACTTTTGGACATTTGTTTATACAGAAAATTCCTAATCGACATAGTGGGGAACTAACAGATAAAGAAAACAAACTTCTCTTTTCCTCTTAGTGAAGGAAGGGATGAGTGAGTCATTTTGGTTTAAGGATCGCAAAAGTTATGGTCAAATTGCGAGATGGTGAGCGAATTTGTTGTTTGACGCCCACTGCATGAACCGTGTTTCAGTTATATCAGTCTGCTTCATGTGGGAGCAAAGCCCGAAGTAACACAGGCCATAGATGTTTACCACTTTGGTGAAAACAATGGATACTGAGCGAACACACCAAGGATCATAATCAAGGCGAATTTGAACCCTAGATCGGATCCTGACACGACCGAGAGGAACCTGCACATACATCTGGGCCACCCGTGTCCCTAGAACGAGACGTTGAACGTCAGGCTGACACTGGTCCATGACTAGTCTGTCTCCCAGATCCTAGAGACACAAATTAAAAAAGTCTACATCAAGTCTGGAATGATTTGACAAGTCTAGATTGCCTCAGCCTGAAATTAAGGATTGTTCTGGGCTCCATTTGGATTTTTAAAATTTTTGTTAATGTATATTTAAAGTAGATTTATTTCAAGGGACTACATGTGAGTCTAGTCCATGACAGTCACCTCCGCATTTACTGCTCCATAAACACGTGACGTTGACTGAACTAAATTTGACCCTTCCTGTTGAGATCATCATGACGTTCTGCTTGAGTTGACCTGGTATTTGTAGTTCAATGTTGAATACGGGTAATGACAGTAAAGGGCGTTTCTCATGTAGATCCCGGGGTGTTTCATGACATGGATGTGCAGATAAGAAAGGAGGATGCTCAGCTTGTATACTTCCAAGGTAGTTGAGAATGCAGGTTAAATTAGCAGTTTAGGGTGTGGACATGCGGCAAAATATAGCTGTTCACCTTGCTGTTACACTCGCAATTGCTCCTGTTCATACAAATAGATCAAAACCTTTGAGAACGAAAGTTGTTTATTTCTGGGTAGTTCTTGTAGAATGTGACGGTGAGCTCAGTTGGTCTAATTCTTTGTGACTTATTCCTCTGTCGGTTAGAGTCCTAGACCTGCCGCGAGTTTGATGGTCAGCACCCAACCCATTCGCACAGATTTCACATAAGCGATGGGGCACGGTGGCAGCACATGTGAAAACTCATATCATTTGTTTCATTTAATGTTCAAATTAGAGTGAGTGAGTATGGCTTTACGCCGCTTTTAGCAAAATTCCAGCAGTATCACGGGGGACACCGAAAAATGGGCTTCACACATTGTACCCATAGAATCGAACCCGGATCTTCGGCGTGGCGAGCCAAAGCTTTACCCACAAGGCTACCCCGCCGCCCCTGTTCAAATTAGAAAGAAACGAATTGATGCAATCACTATTGCTACTTGTGAAAGATACTTGTAGCGATAGTATCGGCTTGACGCTAGTTGGCAATGCAGCTTGTAAACGAAAACATATTCAGGAATGTACACACAAAATATGATGAAAACAAACAGGTGGGAGTGAGCAATGATATGATGTACATACGTTTCTCTATTTCTCTTCTTTCCTTTCTGTCACTTAATGTATGTATTGTATTAACCATACATGGATATCTATGGGAGCGGGCGTGCTAAGTCGTGTTTACTTGTGCCCAAGCCTGATCAAAGGAATGAAATATGTTCAAATTAAACTCTCTTCATTAGGGGTTGTCGGACACTGAATCAAGTTAGAAAATTTGTAGCTGCTTTCGTCCATGGTCCTCCCAAATTCTCATGAAAACGTGAAGCACGTCCACCAAATATCCGGGGATCGAGGACTTAAATAATTCAAGCTGATGCAAGTCGCATATAATTTTCTTGGCATTTAGATTATCTAAGTATATAAAGAGGATGATCGTATATTTGAATGTCACATCCCAGGAGGTACTATAGAACGGACGCGTATTTTACGTCCGCACTGAAATAATATGCCTCATGCTTGAGTGTGTGTGTGTGTGTGTGTGTGTGTGTGTGTGTGTGCGTGCGCGTGCGTGTTTGCACTAAAAATAAAATAATAAATAAATATAAATCTAGAAACAGATTCATTTATTCACCAATTGATAGCTGTTGTTATGAAAAACATGGCACCGAATGATTTAATTACACGTTTTTAATACACCAACATACTAAAATTAGTATGCTCCAAAATTGGTTTGGGGGTTGGGGGTTGGGGGATGGGGATTGGGGTGTGCACTCTTGTACCGGTCCCCATACTGGTAGGGGTACATGATCAGAATATAGCCGTGATATTCGTGACCCAAATGACAAACGTCTGTTGGTGCAGGGCATTTAGCTGTCATACAGTTACAATTCATTTCCTCACAGCGAGGTCACGGGCTAACGGGGGACAGAGAATGCATATGTATGCATGAGTGACTTTAGGTTAGAATAAAGAAACGGATTTGAAACGTCAGATACAGGCGATGCCAACATGTTGCCATAATTAAACCAAAGCCTGATAATTTGTTGAATATATTCTTTGGCGAGTTTATAGACATCAAACATAAAACGCATCCTAAATTTGATGTTTCTGAAAATAGAAATTTATTGTCATGTTTTATCCTTTTAAAAAAATGTTTGTTGTTAATGCAATGGTAAATAACAAGCACTAATAAAATTAAAGGGGTACATCAACATCACAATAAACTAGCTTGTCGAGGAAAGAGCCAATCAGCATCTTCTTGTTGTAAACAGTTGCCACAGTTGAAGCTGATATCAGGTTTCCGTCATCAACGAACAGTTCTGTCACAGAGGACACAGAACCATCTTTCAGCTTGATCTGCAGGACCTGAAACAATAAGAAAATATTACCATACACATTCCAGTTGCGGAGATGAAATCAGTAAGTGGCGACTGAGTGAATTAGATTTTACGCCGCTTTGAACAGTATTTCAGCTTAATGTGGATGAGGTGAAATGTTGTTTAACGTCGCGTTCAAGATTATTGCTATTGTATTGCGACGTGCGTGTGCGTGATAGGCCGGAATGAAGCCGGCTTTTTAGAGCTAGCCCACTGAGATACCATGTCGCGGTTTAACATTAATACGCCACTCAAGACACATTATAGTGACAAAGCCAACTAGTCCTTGCTCCATCGCCTCAATGCCGAGCGCCAGGCAGGGTGCCATCTTTTAACGTATTTTGGTATGACGCGGCAGACGCTATATCCAATAGACCATCGAGACGGTCGCTAAACATGGGAGAGAAGCCCAAAGTGAAGCAGGTCGAAGTTTCTTTACTGTGTTGGTTCAACTCGAAGGCGCGACAAACCTAGGATCACAACAAAGAATCCTGCCACGACCTGGTGCTTAGCTAGAATTGGCCTATTCCATGTACGTTAGGTTAATCCGTAAAATCATGGTCTTATCATCTCACCATACATCCTTACATTTTCACCGCATCTTTTTAAATAAATACCACACCTGAATAGAATTTCACCGAACCGTCTTAAATGTTTTCAAAGTTTTACCGTCTTAAATTTTCACAACATCGTCTTAAAAGTACACTGCACTTTCTTAAACTTTATTCGCCTTCCAGAAGGTAGTCGGGACACGGGTGGCCTAGTCGTCTAAGGTGACGCAATTCGCGGTGCAGAGTTGCTTCCCTTGGGCAAACCAGGACCTGTGATTGTGGGTTCGAATCCCGGTTCGCCCCTATTCTAGGTTTGTCAGCACAATACCCGTGCTCGTGGGTTTCACCAAATTGGTAAACGTCTGAGACGAGCATTACTTCGGGCTTTCCTCCCACATTAAGCTGACACGACGTGATATAAACAAGATTTTTTTCAAAGCGGAGAAGGAACTGGACCACGAAAACGTTCAACGTCTTTACTAATTAATGTATGCAGGCATGTTAAATGGCATACCTGGGAAGGAGATCTGTTTGCAGGGTCAGTGAAGTGGGCAATGGACACATAGTATATCGGATGCAGTGCGACGTACAGGTGGCCTGTGACGGGATCCACATTCACATTGTCTGGCGTGGAGTACAATGGGTATATCTGCAACACACGGTAACAGAAATAGTAAAATGACAAAATGACTGTGTAAAATGGAGAAAAACAAAAAGAAAATGGTAAAAGAAAATGGTAACTTGATTATCGGATAAGTAAATAAAAAGGCCTAAAAGCAACTTTATACAACGGAAGAGTATCCAAACGCGAGTGAGGTGGTCAAGGGAAAATTTGTAGAAACCGGAGCCTCGAGATAATCAAGTGAAATGGTATCAAGGAAAGTTTGTAGAAACCGGAGCCTCGAGATAATCAAGTGAAATGGTATCAAGGAAAGTTTGTAGAAACTGGAGCATAGAGATAATCAAGTAAAATGGTATCAAGGAAAGTTTGTAGAAACCGGAGCATAGAGATAATCAAGTGAAATGGTATCAAGGAAAGTTTGTAGAAACCGGAGCCTCGAGATAATCAAGTGAAATGGTATCAAGGAAGGTTTGTAGAAACCGGAGCATAGAGATAATCAAGTGAAATGGTATCAAGGAAAGTTTGTAGAAACCGGAGCATAGAGATTATCAAGTGAAATGGTATCAAGGAAAGTTTGTAGAAACCGGAGCCTCGAGATAATCAAGTGAAATATTATCAAGGAAGGTTTGTAGAAACCGGAGCCTCGAGATAATCAAGTGAAATGTTATCAAGGAAAGTTTGTAGAAACCGGAGCCTCGAGATAATCAAGTGAAATGGTATCAAGGAAAGTTTGTAGAAACCGGAGCATAGAGATAATCAAGTGAAATGGTATCAAGGAAAGTTTGTAGAAACCGGAGCCTCGAGATAATCAAGTCAAATGTTATCATGGAAAGTTTGTAGAAACCGGAGCCTCGAGATAATCAAGTGAAATGGTATCAAGGAAGGTTTGTAGAAACCGGAGCCTCAAGATAATCAAGTGAAATGTTATCAAGGAAAGTTTGTAGAAACTGGAGCATAGAGATAATCAAGTGAAATGGTATCAAGGAAAGTTTGTAGAAACCTGAGCATAGAGATAATCAAGTGAAATGATATCAAGGAAAGTTTGTAGAAACTGGAGCATAGAGATAATCAAGTGAAATGGTATCAAGGAAAGTTTGTAGAAACCGGAGCATAGAGATAATCAAGTGAAATGTTATCAAGGAAAGTTTGTAGAAACTGGAGCATAGAGATAATCAAGTGAAATGGTATCAAGGAAAGTTTGTAGAAACCGGAGCATAGAGATAATCAAGTGAAATGGTATCAAGGAAAGTTTGTAGAAACCGGAGCATAGAGATAATCAAGTGAAATGTTATCAAGGAAAGTTTGTAGAAACCGGAGCCTCGAGATAATCAAGTGAAATGGTATCAAGGAAAGTTTGTAGAAACCGAAGCATAGAGATAATCAAGTGAAATGTTATCAAGGAAGGTTTGTAGAAACCGGAGCCTCGAGATAATCAAGTGAAATTGTATCAAGGAAAGTTTGTAGAAACCGGAGCCTCGAGATAATCAAGTGAAATGTTATCAAGGAAAGTTTGTAGAAACCTGAACTTTAAGATATGCAGGTGAAATATTCAAAAGTTGCAGGATAAGATAAGATAACCTTGATACCAAACTGGAACTTCGAGATACGATAGTGATGCAGTGGACATGCAGTTTTGTGGTCACTTCGAAACTTACAAGACACCCGGATTGGATAACGACAATCAACAGTTGAAACGTTTATGGAAAGGATTGTGTCGCTTTTATTTACATGTGTCTGGTTACCCTGACCGGCTGCACCTACACTCACAAGTGCAAGTAGTGGCCATCAAGCTCTCAACGGCGGATAGTAACGGCCTACTACAGGACGTGTTCTGTTCCAACCACCAGGTTCATACAGATATGGAAGCCAAAACTTGATGGCAATTTCAAGGCTTTTAACTGTCATTTTCAAGGCTTGTTTTATCCGTCAATATTTTCCTTAAATCCAGCATAATACATATTAGTCGTATATCACAAATATTTTAACATGATATATTTCATTCATAACCGATACAAATAAATTAGTGTGTAGGTATTGTTTTACGCCGCTTTTAGCAATATTCCAGCAATATCAGGGAAATGGGTTTTACACAATGTACCCATGTGGGGAATATAACCCGGGTCTATAACCCGCGTGACGAGACAACACTTTTACATGACTCTGACTTGACTTTTTTATCAATAAGAATATGTCAATTCGTACAAATTCAAGGCTTTTCAAGCTATATTGGGAATTTTGAAGGCTTTTCAAGATTGATTCTAAAAATCCAGGTTTTAAAAGGGTGATCTTAAATTCAAGACCTCTGAATCCTCTATGAACCTTGCACCCACCTCTCTCAGTTGTAAAGAGTTGTCATCGTTCCTGTCATAAATCCTCAGGTCATGGGCCGTGGAGGCGGTGACATAGATATGCCTGGAAAGGGGAATAGGTTGCAGGAATAGGTTGCAGCACTCTATATAACACACTGTGCGTGTTACTGAAACGTAACGTAGCCACAGAGAAGAAGGTTACAACATACATTAGAACTAGAAACATGCACATCCACGACATGGCACTTTCTAAGCACATGCCAGCAGCCGCACAAATGCTACAGTACTGTAGCTTTCATGATGGCAGAAACGAGACAAATGTGTTTGAATATTTCGTGGAACTGTTTACTTTCAAATGTTAGGTGCATTTGGAAAGAATGAGTTTATGATGTATGCAAACCCTGGCATAAATATATCATCTACATCCTCATGATGATCGATTCTTTCACGAGGCATCGTATGTTTAATTAAATTCTGAGGTATTCGGGAGGCGTTTTGTAATATTTGAACAGAAGCAAGTCTTTGACCAGTTCTAGTAGATATATTCGGTACATACGGTACACGCGGTACACACACACACACACACACACACACACACACACACACACACACACACACACACACACACACGTGCATGCACGTCGATTTATGTATAAGTGCGACAATCTTGAAACTCATTTTTTAAATTTACAGTTGACGGCAATGTCATTAAAATCAGATCTCACTCCTCGCGACCGCTAAACAAAGACCTGAGGACATCCCATTATGGGTCACGTCTGAACGACCTAACCTCCGACCAATCAGAACGTCGTTTACCAGACCAAGAACGTTACAGTCGGAATGTGTTTTCTAATCAAGCAGCCTCGGAAAGGTTGACACGTGGTATTCCGAATGACAGTTACTCTGATTCATCGTCCATCCCTCGCTTCGATGGGATAAACATTTTAAACGGAAGAGACTTTGCATAGCCCGTGGGAAGTACTGCCATGAAATATCGGCCATCTATTAGACATTCCAAAATGTTCTTCTGGTCAATATTCAAATTTAAAATCGAGACAAAATATTTGTCAAAGCATGGTCTGGAATGGTAGCTGGCAGTTTGAAACTAGCCCCGCATAGCTCGAGAGAACTGCTTTCTGATTAGCTAATGTCGACTTCTTGTTAGTCATTTCATTGGTCCGTGAAAGTTCGCCAAAGGTCGTTCTGACGTGATCTGTAATGGGGTGTCCTAACATCTTTGTTTAGCGGTCGCGAGAACTAAGATCTGATATTAATGAGACTGAGTGGACGGAACCTGGTTTATTTTCAATGATGAAGATTCTTACAACAACACAGGATGACCTTACCTTCCATCGGCGGACATGTGTATACCATTAGCCATCATGATCCCGTCAGCCACAATGCGATAACCCATTCCATCAAAGTAGCCAACATAGGCCCAGGGCATGAAAGAGAGACTTTCCAAAATTTTACCGACAATGCTCTCGCTGTATAAAAAGTTGGTGTAATAGAAACTGTCCTCACTGGTGGCGACAAGGTCATTTAAGCTGAAAGAGGACATATAAACACATTTCATACGCTACAGTCATGCCACAAGGCAATAACAAAATCATAATCTCATCAAAATTGTTCTAAATTAACGCAGTGTCCTTGACATTCATCAGTGATAGGAGGACAATATTTCAGTGATATCGCAGCGTCTATTTTGAGTGAGTGAGTTGGGTTTAACGCCGCTTTTAACAGTATTCCAGTTATATCACGGCGTGGTCTATTTTGATCACGGCGTGATCTATGGTCTAGATAGGGTATAGCAAACAATAACGGCGATCATAGATATTTTTCACCGGTGTGGTATGGACGAATCCATTACATTACGCAAAGCAAGTAGATTCTGGTTTACGTTCATTGCTCTGCCCTGCCCTGGGCGAGCAGGTAGCCTAGTGGTAAAAGCGTTCGCTTGTCATCGCTTGTCATCCGGTTCGATTCCGAACATTGGTACAATGTGTGAAGCCCACTTCTGGTGTCTGCGCAGCAATGTTGCTGCAATATTTCTAAAATCGGCGTACATCTATACTCTCATTCACTCCTTGACTCACTTCCTAAAGGTTGAGTCTCCATGGTAAGACTTCAAATGTTGTAATGAAACTTTCTCGAAAGACACGAGGAATTTCTCCACCTTCTCCTGTCCGTCATGTCCATGATTCACAACAAACAGGAACACCCTACCTGAAGAGAAAATAATATTTCATAATTAATAAAATGGCTTTAAAACGTATTCTATTCTGTGTAATATCGGGGAGGTTGGGTAGTCTAGTGGTCTAGTAGTCATTTTCGATTTGCGACATAGATGCAACTTACTTACTCTTTGTAAAAATGATTGGGACCATGCACGAGAACCAATGAAGACAATAACATAGACGACAACCATCAAAGAGCCTAGATCTGCACTGTACATTTAACTGTACGATCTGAACAAAGCAGTTTCCACTTGAGAGTTCAGTTAAAAACTGTGTCAAAACAGTAGTTCAGCCACATCATGATGTGCGTAATTTGTTAGGAAAATCTAAAGAGATTCAGGTCGTACAAGTTTACTAGAAGTAAATAACCGGGTATTCATGGGTCATTCATGACAAACCAACGATCATAATCAAGGTGAATGTGTTATTCGATACACGATTCAACAAGTCTCACCGAACCTCTGGGACGCGACTTTGATTAACTAGCTTCGGCACATTAAAGCACTGGATTACCCGAATCTCAAACTCGGTTGATTTGTCATGTTTCTTTTGCCTTCTGTCATCTTTCATACTGTTGTAAGAAAAATTTATTTTATTTTCTACCAGGGTCCCGTTCCACGAAGCATTCGTAGCGCAACGGCTGTAAATCAACACGACACCCTTATCTTACCCGACGTCTTGTCCTCCCAAGTACTGATGCCGTGAGACTGGACTATATATCGAGTACATCAACAAGACACCCTAAACTTACCCGACGTCTTGTCCTCCCAAGCACTGATGCCGTGAGACTGGACCTTATATCCTGTACATCAACACGACACCCTAAACTTACCCGACGTCTTGTCCTCCCAAGTACTGATGCCGTGAGACTGGACTATATATCGAGTACATCAACAAGACACCCTAAACTTACCCGACGTCTTGTCCTCCCAAGCACTGATGCCGTGAGACTGGACCTTATATCCTGTACATCAACACGACACCCTAAACTTACCCGACGTCTTGTCCTCCCAAGTACTGATGCCGTGAGACTGGAGCTTCTATCATGTACATCAACAGTACACCCTAAACTCACCTGACGTCTTGTCCTCCCAAGCACTGATGCCGTGAGGCAGAACCTTATATCCTGTACATCAACAAGACTCCCTAAACTCACCTGACGTCTTGTCCTCCCAAGCACTGATGCCGTAAGACTGGACCTTATATCCTGTACATCAACAAGACACCCTAAACTCACCCGACGTCTTGTCCTCCTAAGCACTGATGCCGTGAGGCAGAACCTTATATCCTGTACATCAACAGTACACCCTAAACTCACCTGACGTCTTGTCCTCCCAAGCACTGATGCCGTAAGACTGGACCTTATATCCTGTACATCAACAAGACACCCTAAACTCACCCGACGTCTTGTCCTCCCAAGTACTGATGCCGGGAGACTGGAGCTTCTATCATGTACATCAACAGTACAAACTTAACTCACCCGACGTCTTGTCCTCCCAAGTACTGATGCCGTGAGGCAGAAACTTATATCCTGTACATCACCAAGACACCCTAAACTCACCCGACGTCTTGTCCTCCCAAGTACTGATGCCGTGAGACTGGAGCTTTTATCCAGTACATCAACAGTACACCCTCAACTCACCCGACGTCTTGTCCTCCCAAGCACCGATGCCGTGAGGCAGAACCTTATATCCTGTACATCAACAAGACACCCTCAACTCACCCGACGTCTTGTCCTCCCAAGCACCGATGCCGTGAGACTGGAGCTTATATCCTGTACATCAACAGTACACCCTCAACTCACCCGACGTCTTGTCCTCCCAAGCACCGATGCCGTAAGACTGGACCTTATATCCTGTACATCAACACGACACCCTAAACTCACCCGACGTCTTGTCCTCCCAAGCACTGATGCCGTGAGACTGGACCTTATATCCTGTACATCAACACGACACCCTCAACTCACCCGACGTCTTGTCCTCCCAAGCACTGATGCCGTGAGGCAGAACCTTATATCCTGTACATCAACACGACACCCTGATCTTACCCGACGTCTTGTCCTACCAAGCACTGATGCCGTGAGATTGGACTATATATCCTGTACATCAACACGACACCCTCAACTCACCCGACGTCTTGTCCTCCCAAGCACTGATGCCGTGAGGCAGAACCTTATATCCTGTACATCAACACGACACCCTCAACTCACCCGACGTCTTGTCCTCCCAAGCACTGATGCCGTGAGGCAGAACCTTATATCCTGTACATCAACACGACACCCTGATCTTACCCGACGTCTTGTCCTACCAAGCACTGATGCCGTGAGATTGGACTATATATCCTGTACATCAACACGACACCCTCAACTCACCTGACGTCTTGTCCTCCCAAGCACTGATGCCGTGCGGCTGCAGCTTGTCCTTGTCAAAGTCCTCCGTGGACGTCAGCGTCATCTCCTGCACCACCTTCCTGGGGTTCTTCATGTTGAACAAGTAGATCCTCCCCTTGATGTTGTTTTGTGCATAAAACTTCTCAAGGGAAGGAGCATTACCAGCCATCCGGATCCCCTGCAACCAGCAGAGATTAGATAGAAAGCGTGACCGATGTGCACAGTATTATAAAGGGGTACACGCCAAACATTCAGCAACAACTGGCAGGGTGGCAGGATACGGAGATTGAATATTCAACTTCCACCTGGTGTATACGTTTAAAATACCATCTTTCTTGAAGAATGTAGAATAAGTGTACCATGGCAATGTTGATTCCCTTATATGAAGTGCCACGTCCGTCCTAGTGTACAATATTGACTCCTATGTGTGAAGTACCACGTCCGTCCTAGTGTACAATATTGACTCCTATGTGTGAAGTACCACGTCCGTCCTAGTGTACAACATTGACTCCTATGTGTGAAGTACCACGTCCGTCCTAGTGTACAACATTGACTCCTATGTGTGAAGTACCACGTCTGTTCTAGTATAAGGGTAACGCTGTTTTTCAGGGCATTATCATTTGCAGAAGCGCGAGGTCTTCCATTAACTGCCCGACGAAGGAGGAAAAGACCGAGGGCTTCTGCAAATGATAATGCCCTGAAAAATAGCGTTACCGTTATTATAGCTAAAATGGATGGAATTTTTTATCAAATAAAAAGAAACAACAATATCGGGTTTGAAACATTTACTGCAATCAACACGAATGTCACTGACCCACTTTGTGTGAAGTACCACGTCCGTCCTAGTGTACAATATTGACTCCTATGTGTGAAGTACCACGTCCGTCCTAGTGTACAATATTGACTCCTATGTGTGAAGTACCACGTCCGTCCTAGTGTACAATATTGACTCCTATGTGTGAAGTACCACGTCCGTCCTAGTGTACAATATTGACTCCTGTGTGTGAAGTACCACGTCCGTCCTAGTGTACAATATTGACTCCTATGTGTGAAGTACCACGTCCGACCTAGTGTACAATATTGACTCCTATGTGTGAAGTGCCACGTCCGTCCTAGTGTACAATATTGACTCCTATGTGTGATGTACCACGTCCGTCCTAGTGTACAATATTGACTCCTATGTGTGAAGTACCACGTCCGTCCTAGTGAACAATATTGACTCCTATGTGTGAAGTGCCACGTCCGTCCTAGTGTACAATATTGACTCCTATGTGTGAAGTACCACGTCTGTTCTAGTATAAGGGTAACGCTGTTTTTCAGGGCATTATCATTTGCAGAAGCGCGAGGTCTTCCATTTACTGCCCGACGAAGGAGGGCAGTTGAAAAGACCGAGGACTTCTGCAAATGATAATGCCCTGAAAAATAGCGTTACCGTTATTATAGCTAAAATGGATGGAATTTTTTATCAAATAAAAAGAAACAACAATATCGGGTTTGAAACATTTACTGCAATCAACACGAATGTCACTGACCCACTTTGTGTGAAGTACCACGTCCGTCCTAGTGAACAATAGTGACTCATATGTGTGAAGTACCATGTCCGTATGTATCTTTGATATATCTGACATGACATGTTTTTGAGAAACTTACTGATGTTATGAATGTCCGCCCATCTGGCAGCATATGCATATCCTCAGAGCCAAAACCTGAAATAGAAGAAACCATTTTCTTCATTTCATCCAGTATTCATAGGGGTAGCTAAAAAGTGACATATAACAAACCAAATAAGAAACAACATTGGACTTTAAATATCAAACGTTAGAGGAAACGGGAAATACAAGACGTATCGTCTTGAACTGTAGCCCTTCTCAACTTTTTGTCGCACTGAACTAGAAAATGCGTTAAAAAGTCATGATTGAAAAAGGTCCAGGATGTATTTGCACTATGAAGGATTTAGTACGATAATTTAGTAGGAATCCAATCTGGACACACTATTGCTTCTTAAGCCATTACACTCACTGAAGGGCAAGGTTTTAGTATTAGTGTGTGAGTTAGAATTCTTTTACGCCGCTTTTAGCAATATTCCAGCCATGTCACGGCGGGGGACACCAGAAAAGGGTTTCACATATTGTAACCATGTACGGAATCGAATCAGGGCCTTCGGCGTGACGAGCGAACGATTTAACCACTCGGCTACCCCAGCGGCGTGTTATAGTAAGGCATAGCGATTATCTCTCACCCATTCCTTCTACTTGCTGACAGGGGCCGGGGTAATGGTTGAACACGTGCTTGTTGAAGTCCATCTGGAAGCTGGAACAGATTTATTGAACTGTAACCATAGTAACGATGATAGATGATAACACGTAAAATGTTATTTTGAATCTACCGAGAAACTGGTATATTGTTTTGTTTGTTTGTTGTTTAACGCCGCATTCAGCTATGTTTCAGCTATATGACGGCGGTCTGTAAAAAAGTCGAGTCTGGACCAGACAATCCAGTGATTGACATCATGAGCATTGACCCACGCAATAGGGATACGATGACATGCATCAACCAAGTCAGCGAGCCCGATCTCCCCGATCCCTTTAGTCGTCTTTTACGGCAAGCATGGGTTGCTGACTACCTAGTCTTACCCGGATCTTCAGGGGTGGCTCTGTAGAATGACAACGGACAACCGAACGGTAATAAACTGCGTACATATCGTTTGTTAAAAAACACAAAACCGTCACGTTGATCGTGTCGGCCATTTTGACGCCCTGCACATGAAGTGAATGTATTACCACGCACTGTCACTGTAATTGACTTCGAGGAAGTTCAAAACATAATCTAAGGACGATATTATTTAAATCTTTTTGGTGTAACCAAACTACACAATATATTACTATTGAACAAATTAAGTATACAAATGTTCATCTTTCAATTTCAGGACACAACATAAACACAACCCTATATCGGTATATCCTACTAAACACCGCGTTTATTGGTTCAGGGCTACGTGTTATGGTGATGTGGAGAAAAGCTCTAAATGATGCGGGTTGTAGTCGTTTAAACGTTCGTGAAACCATGAATACTGTCTGGTGCTGACATAAAAATAGTCCCGGTGAATCTAGGTTTCGAACCCGCATGATTGAAAACATGCGATGTATGGTGATAGTTTCCATGGCAACAAATACTCACTATAACTTGACGCAATGCTGGAGCAGCAACACGAGCAAGCTGATGACGATGATTTTTATGTACATCTTGAAGCTGAAATATATTCATAATTAAGTGTCATAATTATGATTTATTGGGACAGAAACATGCTCTAAACATGCCGAACAAGGTTTAAGTAAAGTAGTCTGTCTCACGGTCCCAGAACCATATAATTTTCGCTTCCGCCCAGCCCAGCTTTCATGCTGTAGGCCCTAAATGAAGCAAGTCTAGATTTACTACAGGTTCTAAATCATTCGTGACCAACTCATCCCATTCCGGGACGAGCCGACTGTAGAAACCTTGTTGCGAATGGTGACGTATGGTTATGAATCGCCAATCTCTCTGGGGCTCCTATTTAATTTATATAGTTGCTTGTCCCTATCAAAATTATATGATATCTAAGCCACTCTGATGATGGAAGGAGTATTGGTGTTGCCAGGTCAGTAGTTACACCATGTACAGTATACCTATTCCTAGCTACGTTATTTCCAGGCACACGTGATATGGCGGGAATATTACTGTCTGCGGCGTTAAACAACAGTCACAAGCTCATCAAAAAAAAAAGTTGATCACTTACATCAGAAAACCGCCGTCAAATAGCTGGATATTGATGAGTGCAGCGTTAAACAACAAACAAACAAATACATCAGAAACATTTGCTGGATTGGTTGGTTGGTTGGTTGGTTGTTTTACGCCACAACGCCACAGTAAAAGCAACAACTCCAATCAGATCTCGTGCATTGAGGGGAGATCACGGAAAATTCATGGTATATGCTAGTGTCTGCTCCATTTGAGGTGAGGTTGGGTGAGGTGAGGTGACGTGAAAAGAGATTTAACGTCGCGTACAAGATTATTGCTTTGTTTGTTTGTTGTTTAACGCCGCACTCAGCAATATTCCAACTATATGACGGCGGTCTGTAAATAATCGAGTCTGGACCAGACAATCCAGTGATTGATATCATTAGCATCGATCCACGCAATTGGGATCGATGACATGCATCAACCAAGTCAGCGAACCTGACCACCGATCCCGTCAGTCGCCTTTTACGACAAGCATAGTCGCCTTGTTCGGCAAGCATGGGTTGTTGAAGACCTATTCTACCCCGGATCTTCACGGGTCCGTTTGCTGGGAGATGTGTGTGTTCAGGTGTGGGTGAGTTGGGTTTATCATCCAAAACTGGCTCCCACAGGAGATATCGCTTGGGTGATCACAAGCGATATCTACATTGTAGATATCGCTGCAATGAAATTGCATCACAATGCTTTGCAGACCATTGTGACGTCATTGGTTACCAAGACGTCACAATCAAATGATATCACTAATGGCTCTGCTACTGAAGCTGTTAGCAGTACTTTATTACTGTCTACAAAATGAAAACGTTGGAAGAATGATGTTGGATGATAAATACAATCTCACCCTCGTGTCTTTTGAGATAAAAAAATATTAACACTCGTTGATAAAAGCCTCGGAGTTTTTCGCACTTTTATCAACTCGTGTTGATATATTTGATATCAAAAGACACTCGGGTAAGATTCTCTATTTATCATCCAAAACTGGCTTCCACAGGGGATATCGCTTGGATTAGATCAAGCGATATCTACACTGTAGATATCGCTGCAACGGAATTACATCACAATGCTTTGCAGACCATTGTGACGTCACTGGTTACCATGACGTCACAATCAAATCACATCACTAATGGCTCTGCTACTGAAGCTGTTAGCAGTACTCTTTACACTGAAGACACTGCTAATTACTGTCTACAAATTGAAAAAGTTGGAAGAATGATGTTGGATGATAAAGAAAATCTCGACCTCGTGTCTTTTGATATCAAATATATCAACACTCGTTGATAAAAGTGGCAAAAATCCTCGGCAAGCCTCGGAATTTTTCCACTTTTATCAACTCGTGTTGATATATTTGATATCAAAAGACACTCGGATGAGATTCTCTATTTAACGCCGCTTTGAACAGTATTCACTGTTACATGTATATCACAGCGTGTAAGCTTCATGTGGGAGGAACGCTCCGAGTAATGCATGTCTCAGACATTTACCACTTTGGTGAAACTCACGAGCACGGGTATGGTGCTGACAAACCTAATAACATAATCGGGGCGAACCGGCATTCTAAAACACGATTAAATGTTTCTGGCGTGTCCAAGGGACGTAACTCTTCACAGCGAACTGCGGCTGGGCCACCAATGTTCCTGTGTTGATGAGAGTACGGATAGGCGGGCTTTTGGGGGGGTGTCTTATCAATATTAACGGCGCATATTCTAGTTATATATTGACCGGGTAAACCAGTGATTGATATTATGAGAACTCTCCACGCCGTCGGGGTAAATGGCACGCAATGAGACAAGTTACCGAGCCTGAAAAAAAAATGAAAATATATCACGTGACCTATGTTGTCGTCCATGTTTGATAACAAACGTGGAGCTACATGTTTAGTAAGCGCATTGTGGATACCACTCTGCAATAGCGGTGTGTGTGTGTCAAAGCTTCACATAACTATATATTTTTATATTCTCATCCCTCAAGGGATTCGATAGATTTAGGAAAGTAGGGTAAAAGTTGGAACGTTACGCTTGGGTGACCGAACCGAAAGATGTTTTGTAGCCTTCCACATTTAAACATCTGTCCGGTCGATTGTTAATATATCGTTTAACTAGCTCCATGCATAGGGGCGTTTGTCAAATAACTTTGTAATTGCTAATCTTGATAAGCGTAGAAGATAAATGGGTGCCTCTGCCTGAACACAGTTCAACACACAACATTTTCCGACACATACCGCGTGTGTCCCCTTCGACGCACCCAACCGTAACGCCCAAGCTTACCACTGAGTCATGGAATGAGTTGAGGTATCGCAAATACGGCTCATGGGGATATATTAAGGTTTTGGAATACATCACCTGCTGTGGCGCTGTGGCGCTGTTAAAGAAAACACTAACTGCAGTAACCTGACTTACATTATGACAGCCGAGCTACCATAGGCCCGAGCTCCTCACAGTTGACGAGACAGGGTAGCGCGGCACGTCGGGGCAATTCTCGAGTCAGGGTTAGCTAGTCTGTTGAATGGGTGATCTACCCTCCCCCACACCTCGCCCCGCGGGAACCCCCACACAACCCAGTATTATGCCTAACGACAAGGGCGGTTCCAACATTTTTAAAAGGGAGGTGTCCAAAACATACTACACCATACTACATTTGGTTTCCAAAAGGGTTGGGGGCGGACCCCTTGGACTCCGCCTGCTGGTGTGGACAGCCCAGTCGCCTACCTGTACAGCCTGTTTCTTGATTTCTCAGCGCCATATCTTGGGTTTCACTAAACAACCGAGATGGCCAGCACCAAGTTGGGCTTTCACTGTCCATTAAGCTGACATGCAGTGATATAACTCAACTTTTGTTCAAATCGTAAAACGACCCTGAAAACCTGGGGTAGAATTGGTCCTCAACCCTTGCTTGTCGTAAGAGGCGACTATGCTTGTCGTAAGAGGCGACTAACGGGATCGGGTGGTCAGGCCCGCCGACTTGATTGATGCATGTCATTGATCCCAATTGCGTGGATCCATGCTAATGATATCAATCACTGGATTGTCTCGTCCAGACTCGATTATTTACAGACCGCCGTCATATAGCTGGAATATTGCTGAGTGCGGCGTTAAACAACAAACCAACCAACAAAGCGTAAAACACATGCAACTCACTCACTCAGTTATACATAGGTCACACGTACATGCACACACATGCACACACATGTACACAATTGTACACATATTGTGTAGGATGTAGTAAAGTATTGTAGTTAAATCAGTGTGTATGATCAGAGACCATATAATAATATATGGTCTCTGGTGTGATGCACGGGTATGTATACGGGATCTGCAAGGTAAAATGTTGAACTTTAATGTCACATAGGCGGATCTAGGGAGTAGCCGCCCTGCAACTGTAAACACAGCCAATAACTCTGTAATAGTTTTGATGTAAACACATCCGCATCGTGAGTAGACTCACTAGCTACAATTGTAAACACAGCCAATAACTCGTTTATATCATAAAGTGTATTTCTACTAATGTATTTCGGTATGCCTTGTTTATATCATAACACGGCACGCATTCACGGTTCACCGCTCACGGGTAATCCTCGATTGGCACTCTCCGTACCAACAGCAGAATCCCTCGATTTATGAGTTCGACCTTCCGGGACATTCTGAAATCCAGATTTGGCGTTCCCGTCCCATAACGCTTCAGCAGCCCATGCTTGCTGTAAAAGATGACCATTAAGGGATGGGAGGCTCATTGACTTGCATGTCATCGTATCCAAAATGCGTGATCTGGTCCAGACTCGATTATTTACAGACACCATCATTTAGCTGGAATATTGCTGATTGCAGCCTTAAACAACAAACATGTAATATCACGTATGATATGAACTTCTGTTTTTATTATGAAAGACTCCATAAACAGCCTTAATATGAGCAGGCAGCAGTCTGTAAATCAAACCTGGACCAAATAATCTAATGATTGACATCATGAGCATCGATCCATGCACTAGGGAAGTGATAACATGCATCAACCAAGTCAGTGAGTCTGTAGGACATACATAACTGTAAAGATACCTTGCATACTGTATCATAATTGGCATACATTTTGATGTATATATTGTTTAAGCTAATTTGGATCCATGTATTAGATATACTTAGTTTACTAAACGAACGCCTTGAATGCCTATTGTGTTCTGGACAGTACAGTATTGTGTACTAAAGGTGCAGGCTCCCTGACTTGGTTGATGCATGTCATCGTTTCCAAAATGTATAGATCGATGCTCATGATGTCAATCACTGGATTGTCTGGTGAAGACTTGATTATTTACAGACCGCTATGATACAGTCGATAGATTGCTGAGTGCAGCATTAAACAACAAACAAACGAGGGTTGATTGAAAAATTGAGAGCCTCACATAGAAGGAATAGGCTAATTGTAAATAGTGAGGTAGATCCACAACATGGATGAGGTCTGTGACCTTTGCCACGGGCAAGAAGATGGGCAGAAGAGGAAGGGACAGCCTTTGAGACAACCCCTGTCCTGGAAGGTACCACCTCCAAACATCAGTTAAAACAGTGGAAGCTTTTGACATCACCACATCACGTCATATTGCTGGAATACTGGTAAGTGCAACCTTAAACAACAAACAAACTAAAATTTTGTTTTGCACTGCAGTTAGATATATTCCAACATGGCATCCTGTACACAATCTTAAGCCAGATAAACCAGTGGTTGATATAATCAACAAACATCCCATGCCTTTAGGGAGTGAGTGAGTTGTGTTTAACACTGCTTTTAACAGTATTCCAGTTATATCACAGTTTGTCAGCTTAATGTGGGAGGAAAGCCAGAAGTGATGCAGGTCTCAGACATTTACCACTTCGGTGAAACTCACGAGCACGGGTATGGTGCTGACAAACCTAGAGACACAATCGGGGCGAACCAGGATTCGAACTCACAATTATAGGTTTCTGGCGTGCCATAGGGACCACTCTGCACAGAGAATTGCGGCGCCTTAGACGACTGGGCCACCCGTGGGTTGATGACAATCAGTCACCGAGGCTGAGTCCGAACCCAAGTCACCTTTTTCCACAAGAAAAAGAGTGCCAGGGTCCTGTTCTAACCCAGGTCCCCATTGGGCGACAGTAATAATATTTTGCTTTATCATACACACAACCCAATTCATGAATAACAAAGTGTTATGAGACGATTTTATCTTTTTATTATAAAAGATTTAGAGAAATAATTGTGCAAATCAAACTAAGTTCCAAGGCTCTAAAACACATCTGGTAATTACACTGGCAGCTTTAAATGTAAACTAAAGCAGGCCAGAAGCAACTCGGTCATGGTCATACAAATGTGAAAAAAAATCACAGAGAATTATGAATTCAAGTATATGCAATCATTATAACTTGATCACGTTCACTTCAAACAATTGTTTAACTGCAGTGTCATTACGCAGATGTACGGGTGATTTCCCATGCTTTGCACAGAAGGTGCAACACAAGGTGCAACAGAAGGTGCAACACAAGGATTTGAAGGTTGGTATTATCCCAACCACACTTGTCTGAATATTATCCACTCTGTAGAGGCAGATTTTGAATAGAGTGGGATGGGGGTGGGGATATGCATACTCCCTAAGTCTCAAAGTAAATAAACACACATGGTGGAGGGGGTTATCACATGATGGTCTCAAAGAAAGGGCATTGATGCTGGGCATCCTCTGCACCATGACTCTGGACCCAGCAAGTCATTTTTACCATCCTTTCATCACCATACACATCCATGGATTTCACATCTTATGTATTACAGATAGCTTCATAGCTCAAAATTCACTAAAACCATATTGATATATTCCAACATTTTGGATTATCAAGTGTTAAGATAAATTATGCATGAGACTTGATGTCCTGCATCAGTACTTAAGTATCACAATACATACAAGGATTAAACAACTGTCCTAAATACACCCCGGTCACACATATTGCACGGCCTGGGGGACGATATGGGATTACAGGCCAATAAAAGTTTGAAGAGACCCAAAAGGACTTGCTGGGCCAAAATACAGCTTCTGCATATATGTACATTCCTGGTCATGATAACAGTGAATCAGAGCACTGTTTCCATAAGATGTTCATTAAACATTATTCATGCATTCTATCCATCACTTGAGTTTCCTCAAGACTGGACTTTGTTACGAAGGACAAGCTATACAATAAAATGGCGACAGTCAAACAATCCTCAACTGATCGAAAATGAATATGTACCAACAGTTCTGTATGGTGACATCTTGACATGAAAAGTATAAAAAGTCTACATGCCCTATTACCAGCTGCTTACTAAGGATGGGAGTGAAGCACTAGTACAAGCAGCCACACACACGTCATCTTCCCGAGGCAAGGGAAGAAACTGACTTTAGACCTAGGCTGCAATTATAGAGTTACATTTTGGTGGGACTAACGAGTCTATGCATTTGTAGCAGGGCGTGGAGTCATCCCACAGATGACATCCTTACCTTGTCAGCTTGCTGACCTGCTGACGGGGTTAACCTCTTTGGTCATGTGGACAAGGCGTCCGACCTCTGATCAGAAGGTCCGTGGTTCGAATCCCATCACGGAACTCGTAAATTTTATGGCCGCTACATTGGCGCCCAACGTGGGGCTGAGCACATTCATATAAGATTTGAGCAAAATAAGCCTCAGTACCCTACTATGCGGCCCGGGACGTGCCTTCTGTTGACGGGGGAGCAAGTAGCAGGGCGTGGAGTCATCCCACAGATGACATCCTAACCTTGTCAGCTTGCTGACGGGGTTAACCTCTTTGGTCAAGTGGACAAGGCGATCGACCTCTGATCAGAAGGTCCGTGGTTCGAATCCCATCACGGGACTCGGAAATTTTATGGCCGCTACACATTGTCAAATCAAAATCCTGTAACAAACAAGACATTCGGTTCATAAACAACATGGATTTCAACGTCGACTGCAGGATTTGCCAAATGTGTGTACCACCAACTGGGCATAGACAGATATTTTGCAAATTCTTTCATGTTCTTAATCAAGGTGCACACGTGATTTGATGCACTTCGCGAGGTAAGACCCATTGCATTACAATATAGATCTTGATTATCAATCAGATCATCTTGATGTCTTGAAGCAAATGCAAGTAATATGAGAGGTGGAATGTGATTGGTCAATAGGAGGAATACAGAAGGGACATAACTCGTAATAGCCACTGGTAGCGCTACAATCGAGCCTGGAAATTCCAGCCAAGTTCAGCAAGGGTGGAAACTGGACTTTTAAAGTCAGTTAATGCCCTTGCCTCGGGGAAGATGCACATGCGTTCATGCACATCGCAATATAAAAGTGCAGTAATCTTGAATGACGTTCGTACAGTTTGGCCCTCACTCTCTGAAGGTTCATACTCCACTGAACTCACACAAAGTTAAAGACTATTCTTAAGTAAATAACCGATGTTTAACCATATACAGTACCATACTTTGTTCAAAGGCTACCAACTATGTTTCCTTAATTCATATCAACAACCTATTCAAATGTCGATTTACTGATACTGCATTCCTCGATATCTTGGCCAGCTTTCAATAGTTCTTGTTTAATTTTGTCATGGTAGAATGGTGACAAAGTCAGACAAACATAGGCAAAATATGACGTTTTGAAAGGAAAATATATTGGTCATGATTTCAAGGGTTGAGTTAGGGGTTGGCCTATATCTGATGTCAGCTAATACCTAGTAAAATATGGTAGGTAGATGACCAGTTATGCTTAACAAATATACAAAAGTATACACATATATACACATATTTTCAATCATTTTACTGTATCAGCAGACATGGCAATCCTCAATAAGCCGATATTGGGGTCAACAATTCTTAAACCAGCATTTCAGTTATGCTATGATGTGTCACCTCAAAGTGACCATGATATAGACATATATTCGGAACACACAAACAACAGATAATGGCATGCGTAAGGGGGACAACTCTCAGTAATTGATTACCATCACTTTAGTCTACAGAGCCATTCTTGCCAATATGTCCGACTGAACTAGAAGAAGATAACAAAGAACACAGCACTTATTTTTCCATAGGTTGCTTAATGTCAAACTATTCTAACAATATGACAACATCCTGTAAATAACTGAGTCTTGACAAGACAAACCAGAGATTGATATAATGAGCTACACCCAATCCTGAGGGTACGATGACAAACAGTCAAACAAGTCACCTAGCCTGATCACCCGATCATCAACATTTAATCTTTGTTGTTTGGTTGTCTTGTTGTTTGGTGTTAGAGGTTGCACTAGGCAATATTCCAGCTATATGACGGCGGTCTGTACATAATTGAGACTGGACCAGACAATCCAGTGATTGACATCATGAGCATAGATCTACACAAATGGGACACAATGACACGCATCAACCAAGTCAGTGAGCCCGACCACCCGATCCTGTCAGTCGGCTCCTATGACAAGCATAGTCGCCTCTTACAGGAAGCATGGTTTGCCGAAGACCTATTCTACCCCCGATCTTCACGGGTCATTTAATCTTTGTATGTCAAGCATAGGTTCTAACCCAGAATCCACAGGGGATAATACATTAAGCACAACAAATATGAACACTGTATTATAACATGCATCAAGCCATGTATACCAAGAAAAAAAAAAAAAGTCAAGAAAGTCAAAAAAGGACTTGAAAATAATACATGTCCGTATCGAAATCAGATTGGAAAAACAATCTGCATTAATACAATTACTGTAAATCTAAAAATAAATGCGTCTCCAAATTAATACGACTGCTGACCCCTAGCCTAAAATGCGACTCAATATCAATGCGACTCCCCCCACCCTGTCCCCAGTGGAATGATGCATATCCTTACCTTAATACAATCAAACAGCAAATAGCACCACTTATTAGCACTGAGTAGAGCACTTCCGTAAAAACAATAAAAATTTACACAAAGTTTATATGTTGACTGGCATTAAGGAAGTTCAAAGGCAATAAAATAATTGAACCAACAACAGTTCACTGATTGATATGCAGAGAAGGTATCAACAAGCTTGACACGAGTGGGTAGAACTCTTGACCCCAGCAGTGATAACTCAGCGGATGCCCATTGTGTAATTCCCATTCTTTGAATGACATTGTCATATACTTGTTACAACTGCTGCTCAATAAACCGTGTTTGTGTTTGTGTTTATATTCAAGTTGGTTTTTCCGCTATCCAAAGCGTGCAGTGAGGCCGTCTTATTAATGATGGTTATTTTGGAAATGCGAAGTTAATTAATGCAAGCAAAGACCGCTCACATTTTTCGCATTAAATTCACGCTCACGTTAATTTCAAGATTTACAGTATTTAAAATAATCCTGAGAGAACAGACATATGCCTTTCATATGAAATATGCAGAACATTCATATACTGTACATATGCAATATGCAATACAAACATATTTCTTGCATTAAATCTTCACTTGTGTATAATACAGGTAAAAGTCACATACTTTTCAGTTTGAGCAAATATGGTTCACACCACAAACGTTTTCATTTTCTAAAAACTTGCACCAACATTTGAGATAGATGTGTATTCCAAATAGTCTTTGTCTTACAGATGCACAACAAAGTACACTTACATGTATATAAATCTGGCACTTAAAATCAAATATAAACGTAAATAACTGGAAATATCTTCCTGATCTTTTGTAGAAAGAGACAAGAGTCAAGGTAATGCTACTATTATGCACGAGGAGGAATGTCATGGAACACCCGTCTTTTCACATCTAGAGCTTGAGGCATGGGAGATGAGGAAACTGATCAATAAATGAAACTGAGTCCATTATTAATAAATTATGGCTGCTGTGTGAGATTTGCAGATTAATAAGGAGCGTAATTCCAAAGAATTAGATAGCAAACATAATATGTACACAAACAAGTCAATGAATGTATAACACTTAAGTCATAGACAAAATATAGACTTTTGAATGTAAAATCCTTTTTTTTCCAACCCCAACCTATGAGCAAAAAACTTAGTCAATATTTCGAAAGGATAAAAAAAATATCAGAATGGAATGCAGTTTCAGTCACATTTCTAGAGAGGCACGTCAACATCACAATAAACAAGCTTGTCGAGGAAAGAGCCAATCAGCATCTTCTTGTTGTAAACAGTTGCCACAGTTGAAGCTGATATCAGGTTTCCGTCATCAACGAACAGTTCTGTCACAGAGGACACAGAACCATCTTTCAGCTTGATCTGCAGGACCTGAAACAAAAAGTAAGGTTTGAAACACATCTCCACTACAAGAGTGTTTTGTTTAAATAGATTATCACGTCTTTGAAGGGCATTTAGAAGTGATACACATAAGGATGAGAATTTATGGACGTCAGCTTCTTTACTACTTATTTATATGCTCCGAAACCTTGTGTTCCTCATAAAAGAGAAGTTGACATTCATAAAAATGTTTTCTTAGGCTTAGAAAAATAAAAGAATTGGTTCTCAGGCAATGGATTTTAAAAATATGGTGCGGGTGGTTGGTGTCTTTTTTTTTCTTTTGGTTGTTCAAACTAGTATGTGAGCAAATAAACAGTAGTGTAACCAAATATACAATTGTGTACAATCAACCTGGGAAAGGGCCTCCCTACATAAATGTATTCCTTGATGAATAAAATACTGGAATACAGAATTTGACTACTGTTTTTATAAATGGAAATAAAAACAAAACATGCAGCAAACTTTATGATGATGTGGGCAGTGCCTGACAACCAAGACTATTATTTTTTTTAGCCTTAAATAGATTACTGGCATGTCTTTCATTTTATTTGCATCTTAAAGATGACCAGGCTGACATAATAAACAACTGCATCTTAGGCAATGATCTTATCTTTGTGTAGACAGATTAGTGTGTGTTTAAATGTATGCTCCATACAATATAATGCTTAGTCTGACCTGACACACCAATCTGGGCAACTGGAGATCTATTCTACCCAGCCTTGAAAGTCTACAATACCCTACAATAAATTCAGAGGTTCTGGGGACCTATTCTACCCAACAATATAAGTCAGGGGTACTGGGGACCTATTCTGAATAACAATAAAAGTCTGGGGTACTGCGGACCTATTCTACCTGACAATAAAAGTCAGAAGTACTGGGGACCTATTCCAAATAACAATACAAGTCTGGGGTACTGCGGACCTATTCTACCTGACAATAAAAGTCAGAGGTACTGGGGACCTATTCCAAATAACAATACAAGTCTGGGGTACTGCGGACCTATTCTACCTGACAATAAAAGTCAGAAGTACTGGGGACCTATTCCAAATAACAATACAAGTCTGGGGTACTGCGGACCTATTCTACCTGACAATAAAAGTCAGAGGTACTGGGGACCTATTCCAAATAACAATAAACGTCAGAGATATTGGGGACATATTCTAAATAACAATAAAAGTCAGGGGTACTGGGGACCTATTCTGAATAACAATAAAAGTCTGGGGTACTGCGGACCTATTCTACCCAACAATAAAAGTCAGGGGTACTGGGGACCTATTCCAAATAACAATAAAAGTCTGGGGTACTGCGGACCTATTCTACCTGACAATAAAAGTCAGAAGTACTGGGGACCTATTCTACCTAAAAATGGAAGTCAGGAATACTGTGGACCTCTTCTAAATAACAATAAAAGTCAGAGGTAGTGGGGACCTATTCTACCTAACAATAAAAGTCAGAGGTACTCGGGACCTAAAATAGGGACCTACCATAAATAGCAGGGGTACTGTGGACCTATTCTACCAACAATGCCTACAGATCTGACATTGCATACCACACCTGTAAAGCTAACCTGACTCTATCATCAAAGGTTATAATTACCTGTGACGGTGCCCTGACAGAAGGGTCGTCGAGGTGAGCCATACACTGGTAGCCAATGGGGTGGAGCCCTATGTAGAGGTCGCCTGTGACAGGATCAACTATAATATTGTCAGGAGCTGAGTGAAGGGGATAGATCTGGCAAAAAAAAGAACATACACTTTTAGAAATACAGGCTGTAAATATATTTTTCCTTTATTTTTTCATGATGCAACTGCCAAAATAGGATAATGTTGAAGCGTATTGCATATTACCAACATGAGATATAAACTCAGCTTAGTGATTCAACATTGGATCATTATATACATAAATGAATGAATTCTATTGTGAGTGGTACACATTGTCTGAACACAACTAAGCACCATAGCAGTATTGTGTTAATTAAACAAAAAATAATATTCAATACAGACATAGGCATTTCGATGGGGTTTTGTTGCATTTGTCTTTTCTTATTATTGGAGGTGAGTTGAAATGGGGTTTAATGTTGGTTGGTTGGTTTGTTGTTTATCACCGCACTCTGCAATATTCCAGCTATATGACAGCGGTCTGTAAATAATCGAGTCTGGACCACATCACGTCCAAGATTATTGCACTGATATAGCGACATGCATGTACGTGAGCGTGTAGCTACTTGTACTAGTTCGGACTGATGCAGATTTATAGTGCTAGCACACTGAGATACCATGCCGCAGTTTAACATGAATACCCCACTCAGACACATTATACTCCGAGCCGACCAGTCGTTGTTTTAGCCCCTTAATAACAAGTGCCAGGCAGGGTAACAACAAGTACCATCTTTTAACATCTTTTGGTATGACGCAGCATGGGATTGAAACCCAGACCTTCCACGGTCTGGCCCGAAGCTCTACCACTAGACTATGGAGGCGGTCTCTTATTACTGGACTGTTACCACACAGTAAACTCATTCTCTAGCTGACTGGTGGTGCTGGTAACAGCACTACATTGAAGGGGCTCTTCCATGATCTGTACTGACAGTTATGAGGATCTGATCCATGCATCTGACCAATCAGATTCCACAGCCACTGTTACACCTGGGATCATTCCTGACACCTTCTTCTATGCCCAGTATCTTCACACACTAGACATGTGTTGTGGCAAATATACATATTGCTGAGTTAAGTATTTTCTCCCAACTGATCCAAAGGTTGAACCTACCTCTCTCAAGTGTAAAGAGTTATCGTTTCTTCTCTCGTATATCCTCAACTCATGGCCCAAACTGGCAACAACATACACGAACCTGTAACGAAGGGAAGGATATGGATCACTGATATAAGATAACACATATAACATAAAATAAGGGGGGGTGAGGTAGCCTAGTGGTTAAAGTGTTTGCTCGTCACACCAAAAGCCCAGGTTCGATTCCCCACATGGGAACAATGTGTAAAACCTATTTCTGGTTTTCTCCCCTGTGATTTTGCTGGAATATTGCTAAAAAAAAAGCCTAAACCATACTCACTCACATAAAATAAGGTGAGATGGCTTTGGTAAAGAGCCAGACCACACAGGTAGCTTTTAAACCGGACTGCCAATTCTACCATTTACAATTTCGAAGATTCCTTAACAACAACCAAGGATGTTCTCACCTTCCATCTCTGGACATATGAATACCATTAGCCATCATGATCCCGTCAGCCACTATGCGATATGCGGTACCATCGAAGTAGCCCACATCTGCCCACGGCATCAGGGCAAGGGTTTCCAGTATCCGGCCAATGTAGCTCGAAGTTGTCAGGTAGTTGGTGTAGAAGAAGCTGTCTTCACTGGTGGCAACAATGTCATTTACCCTGCGAGAAGAATAACATGTTTCAGATAAATATGTTTCAGTTACCTCTTCTATGATTTCTTGCTGTTAACCTATACTTTTATATTATCTATGCCAAAAGTAATCCAAGTGAGATTTGTCATGGTCCATTCAAGCAATCCAGGTGTGATCAATCATGGTCCATTCAAGCAATCCAGGTATGATCAATCATGGTCCATTCAAGCAATCCAGGTGTGATCAATCATGGTCTATTCAAGCAATCCAGGTGTGATCAATCATGGTCCATTCAAGCAATCCAGGTGTGATCAATCATGGTCCATTCAAGCAATCCAGGTGTGATCAATCATGGTCTATTCAAGCAATCCAGGTGTGATCATTCATGGTCTATTCAAACAATCTAGGTGTGATCAATCATGGTCCATTCAAGCAATCCAGGTGTGATCTGTCATCTATTCACAAAATTCATGTGTACACAGTCTTTTTTTCAAGCAACCCAGGTGTGATCAATCATGGTCTATTCAAACAATCTAGGTGTGAACAATCATGGTCTATTCAAACAATCTAGGTGTGAACAATCATGGTCTATTCAAGCAATCCAGGTGTGATCTGTTATCTATTCACAAAATCTATGTGTACACAGTCTTTTTTTCAAGCAATCCAGGTGTGATCAATCATGGTCTATTCAAGCAATCTAGGTGTGAACAATCATGGTCTATGCAAGCAATCCAGGTGTGATCAATCATGATTTATTCAAGCAATCCATGTGTGGTCTGTCATGATCTATTCAAGCAATCCAGGCGTGGCTTGTCATAATCTATTTAAGCAATCCAGGTGTGATCAATCATGATCTATTTAAGCAATCCAGGTGTGATCAATCATGATCTATTTAAGCAATCCAGGTGTGATCAATCATGATCTATTTACGCAATCCAGATGTGGTCTGTCTTCTATTCAAGCTATGAAGGTGTGATCAATCATGGTCTATTCAAGCAATCCAGGTGTGGAAAAGCTAGAATAATACTGTGAACCATAAAATTTAAAAAGTGTGACCCTGTTTAATTGGCATTCAAGAAGTTCTTGAATAAATAAGAAAATGTAAAACATTATGGAAATAACTTCTGGCTTATTGCATATCTACACTGGAACGTCGCTTTATGCAATAAACCAGAAGTTGTTATCCATAAAGTTTGAGGTTGGTGATAGTTGAGGTGTCCCATGTGTTACGAGAACAATACTTACTGTTTCAGTGTTGGATCACCGTAGTAGGATTTCACATGCTGCAGTGCAAGTTTATCAAACAACACCTGGAATTTCTCGATCTTCTCCTGTCCATCCCGTTCATGGTTGACAACAAATAGGTACACTGTGCCTGAGAGGAAATTAATTTGATATTTTGTCAACAAAATCATACAGAAATATGTACTGTAGTTAAGCCTTGTCATGTTAATAAACTTCAACAGCTACATGTGAGAAAGAATAAAAAAGCTGCTGCCCATAGTGACTTGTTCTAATACCTTCTAACTGCTGACTTACAGAACATGGATTCATATAATGTTCTTTACTGGAAAAGGATTCATATTCTTCATTACAGAAAGGGGATTCGCGTAATGTTCTTTACAGAACTGGGAATCATATTGTTCATTACAGAGCAGGGACTTCTTGTCCTCCCAAGCACCGATGCCGTGAGATTAAGTATATTTCCTGTACATCAACACGGCAACCTAATCTTACCGTGAGACTGGACCTTATATTCTGTACATCAACACGACACCCTAAACTCACCCGACGTCTTGTCCTCCCAAGCACTGATGCCGTGAGACTGGACCTTATATCCTGTACATCAACACGACACCCTAAACTCACCCGACGTCTTGTCCTCCCAAGCACTGATGCCGTGAGATTAAGTATATATCCTGTACATCAACACGACACCCTAAACTCACCCGACGTCTTGTCCTCCCAAGCACTGATGCCGTGAGATTAAGTATATATCCTGTACATCAACACGACACCCTAAACTCACCTGACGTCTTGTCCTCCCAAGCACTGATGCCGTGCGGCTGCAGCTTGTCCTTGTCAAAGTCCTCCGTGGACGTCAGCGTCATCTCCTGCACCACCTTCCTGGGGTTCTTCATGTTGAACAAGTAGATCCTCCCCTTGATGTTGTTTTGTGCATAAAACTTCTCAAAGTGTCGTGGGTTTTCAGATTGTCGGAAACCCTGCAACCATAAGCTTAAGGTAAAAATACTACTAATAAATTATTGAAAGAAACACATTGCTCTAGGGAGGCATGTCCTTTGCCTCTCCCTCCCCTTGAAAACTGCCCATGGTATCCAACAATATGTTGAGAAAAGAGAAAAACAACCTGATACCCCCAACACAAGTCCTGCATGAGGCAAAAACACAATCAAATGCAAAAGAATTATATATATAATTCCTTCTTATGCCTAACAGGGAAAGGCAAAGAACATTCTACCCCTACAGTATTTAACCAAAGAGATGCAATTCTTCACTGCATATTCTTGATATGTCAGGGATTTATCTAGGATTTCAAACTGAGTGCCCTTGACAGACAAATTTTCTATTTTCTAAAATTCAGAAGTATTTTAACATTCTATTTCAAGATTGTCTGTGTTTGTTTGATTTCAACTCAATACTCAGCAATATTCCAGCGGTGTGTAAGTAATCGAGTGTAGACCAGACAATCCAGTGATTGTTATCATGAGCATCGATCTAAACAATTTGGATACGACATGTATCAACTGAGTCAGTAAGCCTCCCGGTCGCGATATTAACATTTCTATTGCAATGAAATAATGTATAACAAATCATTAATGACTCTTCCTCTCTATTGCTCCTATTGGTGAAACACAAGTCACCTCTACATACAGGGTAACATCGTTATCATCACATCAACATGAATTGGGACATTTTTAATTCCATTTTGACCATTCTTTTGATGTTTGTAGAAGATTCATGGACGAATGTTGGCCTGAGCAGGTCTAGATAAATCCTGAATCCTGAATACTTACAACTACTTACAAACTTACTGATGTAATAAATGTCATCCCATTTGGCAACATGTGCATGTCTTCTGATCCAAAACCTAAAAATAACAGGAAATGTCCATCAGCGTATGAATGCATAAACACATTACTGGGCAGGACAAGAGGGGAGTCCAGTTGCAATAGGGCATATGCACCTATGCTGGTCGGTGATGAAAGGGAGTGGGTGGTCAGACACGTGACTTGGTTGATTGTGTCATCACACCTCAAACTTTTGTTTGTTTCTTTGCTTGTTTGCTTGTTTTTTAACACCACACTCAGCAATATTCCAGCTATATAACGGCAATCTGTAAATAATCGAGTCTGGACAAGAGAATCCAGTGATTGGTATCATGACCAGCGATTCACGCAATTTGGAAACGATGAACCAAATCAGGTAACCTGACCACCCGATCCCGTTAGTCGTCTCTTACGACAAGCATGGGTTGCTGAAGACCTATTCTAACCTGGATCTTCACGGGGACATGTCTGGGTTGCTGAAGTCCTAATCTAAACTGGATCTTCATGGGGACATGTATGGGTTGCTGAAGTCCTATTCTAACCTGGATCTTCATGGGGACATGTATGGGTTGCTGAAGTCCCGACTATCCACCACTCAACACAATGAACCCTCCCATAAAACTGAGTCACTTTCTAATCGGAAACATTTAAAAGGACAAGGTATGGCAAGGGCTTCTTATGGTCCACTAAATCTACAAAATTTAAGAAGCTAGGTCATTTTTTATCAGATGAGTTCATATTATTAGCACCTTAACTGTAAAAATGCTAATTTTAGGATTTCAGGAATCCATTTTCTAATCTAAAAACATAAACAAGTGAGTGTATGAATGTTGTTAAAAGATGCAGTCAGCAATATTCCAGCTAAATTACAGTGGCCTTTAAAATAATCAAGTCTGGACCATGTGATGGGAACAAGAGGAATCCTAACACCATTGGGCAATGGTGAGTCTCAAGAAGTTGGTTGGTTGGTTGGTTTGTTGTTTTACGCCGCACTCAGCAATATTCCAGCTATATGACGGCGGTCTGTAAATAATGAAGTCTGGACCAGACAATCCAGTGATTGATATCATGAGCATCAATCCACGCAGTTCGGATCGATGACATGCTTCAACCAAGTCAGCAAGCCTGACCACCCAATCCCCTTTGTCGCCTCTTATGACTATCATAGTCGCCTTTTACGACAAGCATGGGTTGCTTAAGACCTATTCTACCCTGGATCTTCACGGGTCGAGTCTCGAGAAGAGTGTCATTGGAGACGTAGGTGAAGGCTATTGTGAAAATATGTGTAGGTTTACAAACAAGCTCTCAGCAGTAGAAACTAACATGTTTAGTCCACTAGTCGCTATAATGATAACATACAGCAAAACACTTAAATATGGCAAATTTCTACTAGTCTTTATGATACCTTAACTATTGGGCAGTTTGGCAAGGACTACAGGACTAGTGTCAATTTCTAATGCTGGCTCTTAGATTTCTGTGAAAACTTTGATATTCTTAGTGTAGCCCTCACTCCAATGATTTCACACAAAGTGTAAGTCAGTTCTTTTATAATAGTCCCCGGAGACACTATGATCGAGCCACTAAATTCCAGCGTAGTTGCGCACAGGTGGAAAGTGGACTTTTGCAGTCAGTTAACTCCCTTGCCTCGGAAAGATTTCCCTCCCAGTGTGAAGCCTATGTCTGGGGTACCCTGCCCTGAAATTACTGGTATATTACTTAAAGCAGTGTAAAACCCCATCACTCACAGAAGCTGTTTAAGAAAATACCACAGGATCCAATATTTATCCATACCCATTCCTTCCACTTGATGACAAGGGCCTGGGTAATGGTTGAATATATGCTTGTTAAAACCCATCAGGAAACTGAAATAAGAAACAGACATTCATTTTGAAATACATGTCACAAATCATTCTAAAATTTGATCGTCTCCATTATCCATTGATGGGGAACTCAGAGATTTTTTTCAGTTTCTACATTTGCAAGTCCATGAGACACTCAGTAATAAACAATGGGGGTCTCAGTGTGACTACTGTACCGACATCAAATACTGCCTAATGCATATTACAGTGAGTGAGTTGGGTTTAACACTGCTTTTAACAGTATTACAGTTATATCGCGGCGTGTCAGATTAATGTGGGAGGAAAGCCCGAAGTGATGCAGGTCTCAGACTTCGGTGAAACCCATAAGCACAGGTATGGTGCTGACAAACCTAGAAACATAATCGGGTCGAACCGGGATTCGAATCCACTATCATAGGTTTCTGGCAAGTCCAAGGGTTGCAACTCTGCAGAGCAAATCGCGGCGCCTTAGTTGACTTGGCCACCCGTGCCCCCAGATATGAAAAAAGAAAAGCGTATTTTCAATCTTATTGAAAAAGAAGAGGGAATAGTTTCTAAATCACAACTGGAAAACCCATATGGCCACAGCCGCAGTTTAACATGAGTACCAAACTCAGACACAGTCTACTGACTCCGAGTCGACCAGTCCTTGTTTAAGCCTCTTAGCACAAGGCAGGGTAACAACAAGTACCACCTTGTAATGCCTTTTGGGAATCGGACCCTGGACATTACGCTCTCCCACCAGAAAAAGGCGATCTGAAAGAATTTTGTACCTTGGGTACATGGTCATCATAGTCATAGAACTATATTACACACAGAGAAAAACAAAACAATACTCACTATATCTTGACACAATGTTGAAACAGCAACACGAGCAAGCTGATGATTATTATCTTTATATACATCTTGAATCTGAAACACATTTGTAATAATTAAGAATGATTACTTGAATGACCATCTACATACAGAGATCACGAGACTTTATGGCTAGGGAGCTGCTTGACTGGGTACTGCCGATGAGTATTTAAAGGGTTAGACAGAGGTGCACCCTCAGGCGCAATAATGACAGCATTGCACCTCACATTCTGCCTCAGAGATGACTTAGCAATACAAGACACACTCCGGCGCAGTGATGACTTAGCATTACACCACACACTACTCCAGCAGGTGACTTAGCATCACACCACACACTCCGGCGCAGTGATGACTTAGCATTACACCACACACTACTCCAGCAGATGACTTAGCATTACACCACACACTCCGGCGCAGTGATGACTAAGCATCACACCACAAACTACTCCAGCGGATGACTTAGCATCACACCACACACTCCCGCACAGTGATGACTAAGCATTACACCACACACTACTCAAGGGGATGACTACACATCACACCACACACTACTCCAGCGGATGACAACGCATTACACCACACACTACTCCAGCGGATGACTACGCATTACACCTAGCTCTAGTTATGCTTCAGATTGTTGGGAAAAAGAAGAAGAAATTGCCTGCCACAAAATTTACACTGTTGCAATGTTTTTTCCTTTAAAAAAAATTCAAATACATGTACAATTAAAAAAAATTAAAATCTGGATTTGTGGATGAAGCGGAAAAAAACCTAGCTCGTCTCCATATGAAATCCCCCCAAAACAAAAACTATCTACTGGTCTTGTTGGATCATAATAGACACAATAGTGCTTAGTTTAGACTCGATATATTGCTGATTTCAAAAGTCGTACAAACTTAAATTACTTTGTCTGTCACCAAAATAACACTAGACCATCCTACCACCATTTATTTAATTATACTGGTCCTTAAGAAAATATACTTGACTTGGACCAGCGGACCAGTGTAAGTGTCGTGCACTGAGCAATGTTATTGTTGTATTTGTTTACACAGATTTGAGATGCTTGTCATATCTGACTTGGCGGTGAGGTGAGGTGAAATGGTTTTAAAGATCCAAGATTATTGCACTTAAATAGCGACCAGCATGCACGTGTGTGTGTGTGGGTCTGCTTGTACTAGTCCGGACTGATGCTGATTTATAGTGCTAGTCCACTAAGTGGAGTGGAGTGAGTATGGTTTTACGCCGCTTTTAGCAATATTCCAGCAATATCACGGCGGGGGACACCAGAAATGGGCTTTACACATTGTACCCATGTCGGGAATCGAACCCGGGTCTTCGACGTGACGAGCGAACGCTTTAACCACTAGGCTACCCGACCGCCCCTAGTCCACTAAGATACCATGTCACAGTTTAACATGAATACCCCACTCAGACACAGTATACTGACTCACTGCCAACCAGTCCTTGTCTTAGCCCCTTAATGCCGAGCGCCAGGCAGGGTAACAACAAGTACCATCTTTTAATGTCTCTTGGCATGACATGGCTGGGGATTGGACCCCCGACTTTCCGCTCTCTGGACGGACGCTCTACCACTAGAACACGGAGGCGGTCATCTGACTGTTGACATTTGAACCCTTGTGTCATACACAGGGCAGGAAATCCTAATATATTTTTGTGTGCTATTGCGTATCACATCTATTGAATCGGACATGCACATTACATTAAGACATCCGTTCCTGTACTACAATTATATTATTTGTAAGTACTTATTCTTTCAACATGACCAAGGAGTAATCACCCCTTGTAATTAACTGTATCATAAGCATGATAAGCTCATAAGCTATCTAATTTGTATTACATCTAACTGATGTAATGACATGTTAAAACGCTGTGTCTATTAAATGACAGTGTATTTATTGAATGAAAAATTCTTTCAAGGTGTTTTTAACCATGTGCAGAAAAAACGTTCTCACCATGAAACAAGTGTCCTTACCCATCTATTCAAATCCATGCACTAACCACGCTTATATTATTTACTTTCATAATAAAGGATGGTACGTATGTGTACCTATTACAAACATGGTTCAGATTTGTACATTTTTTGGCCACTGTTAGTCTGTCTCCCAGACCCTAGAGAAAAAATTAAAAAAGGGGTTAACTCAATTCTGATCTGGCAAGTCTAGATTGACTCAGCTCTAGCCTGAAATATGGTACATGTTCTACATGTTTATTTTGTATATATATATGCAGTCAATTACTTTATTTCTTGGACTACATGTCGGGCTTGGCCTCCGTCTGTTGACAAAAAGCACTAAGCCAGGCACAGTAAAATCTTTTTCAGGAAAGTGCTTGTTGGGATAAGGGAGGTAACTCCTGGCTGCCATATATGTAAACCTATGAATATTTTCTGCTAAACACAGGTGGTAAAATATTGACTATAGGTATTGAGGTTCACCTGTATTTCCATTAAGTTTTACATATTACATCAACAGGAACCATCATAGTCTAGTATGGTGCCTGGTATGCCACTTGATGTTAACTTAGCAAAGCAATGTACCACAACGTGTATAGAGCAAAACATAGATATCGATATAATCAGTTTACTCAGTGAACAGTAACTGAATGTTCATCTTGATGCACATGCTCTGAAGCCTATTTTCTCAACCAAACTCGAAAAGTGATATTGAAAAATTGTACAGATTTTCCTTAAATTGCATTGAATTAATTCGTGAAAAGATGTGAGGTACAGTACTGTGCCAGAAAGTAATGGACACTTGAGTGATGTCATGACCCCAGATGTGTAATTTCTTCAGTTCGTTTTTGCTCTCCAAAGACAAAATATAAAACGGACATAGATCTACCTAATATTTGGTGATGTAGCCCTTTACAGTGTATACTCTTAAAATCCTGCGTGGAGTGCTCATGTATCAGCTCTTGATGTAATCAACAGTCAAAGATTCCCATATGTCACGAATCTCTTCTTGAAGATCTTCGTAAGCGTCGATGTCATGAACATGTGTTTTCAACCCTCTTTTTCTTATAATGTTCATATCTGGAGACTGTGCCGGCCACGTGAGTGACTGAATTTGGTTGTTGAGTTGTTGAATTTTATATGGACCATGGACCGTACACAGTGAATGGGAGAATTGTCATTTTGAAAGATGAAAGAACTGTTAGAAAAATGTCAAGCAATTACTGGCCACAGATTTTCCTCCAACACTTCTTGATATTTCTGGGCATTTACCCTCTCTTCTAGGAATGTAAATGTCCCCACAGCCTCAAACGTTATGGATCCCCAAAGCATAACACTCAGACATTTGCCAAGGGGTGACTGAGGAATCCTGGGTACCAGTCTTCTCCCACCTTTCTCCACACATTAATACGGTTGTCAATCCCGATTTCTATCTTAGATTCATCATTAAACACCACCTTATCACAGAATCCAATAATTGGCGTTCTCAGTTTAGATCGGCACCAAGAAACTCCTTTTTTCCTGTTGACCTCTCAAATTCTGATGTGTTTGCGAACAATCCTTCTGTGCTAGCCTTCACGATATACTTCACACTGAACAGTTCATTTGGAAACAATAAAAGGCCTGTTTTCATTGAAGTTATTAGTAATATCTGTAAGCGATGATTGTCTATTGACTTTGACACTACGAATCAACACACCTCTGTCACGGTTGCTCAGAATCCTCGGTCTACTAGTTCGTGGCTGATTTTCCAAACTTCGTCTCTCGCTAAAGCGATGAATCACACCATGCACTGTGCTCTTGGCTAGATCTAACAGCTGACTTATTTTTTTGCAAGATTTACCATTCAAATGCAGGTCAATGATAACTTCTCTTTTGTCCGGCAACAGAATATTCCTTCTCTGACCCATCATAAAGTCAGTGGCAAAAATCATGAGAAAAGGAGCCGACGACAACAAGGCATGTGGCATGCGATACTTGATGACGTCATCAATGTGTGGGCAAAATTTCAGATCATGACATTTCGCGGGTCGAAAGTTAGATGCGCTGAACCAAATGCAATGGTTTCTTGCCAAACTCACGACATCTCAAGAGTCTCATAACTTAGGGCACGGTAGTGTAGCTAACCCTAGCCAAGAGCCACGATGGGGTCCTAACAGTCAAAACATGACCCTATATCTAGGACCCATTGCGTCTCTCTGCTAAGCTAACCCATACCACACAACTAACCCTAAGGATGGTAAAGGAGTGTTTGGTTGGGAAGTGGTGCCAAACCTTTAGGCCTTATGATCGTGAAGGGGTGTTTATCGCTAAGGGGTAGACTACCTGACCCAAATGATCGTGAAGGGGTGTTTATCGCTAAGGGATAGAGTACCTGGCCCAAATGATATCGTGAAGGGCTGTTTATCGCTAAGGGGTAGACTACCTCACCCAAATGATAGTGAAGGGGTGTTTATCGCTAAGGGATAGACTACCTCACCCAAATGATAGTGAAGGGGTGTTTATCGCTAAGGGATAGACTACCTGACCCAAATGATCGTGAAGGGCTGTTTATCGCTAAGGGGTAGACTACCTGACCCAAATGATCGTGAAAGGGGTGTTTATCGCTAAGGGGTAGACTACCTGACCCAAATGATCGTGAAAGGGGTGCTTAATGTGTCTGTGTGTTTGTGTGTGTGTGTGTGTTCACGAACTGTGTTAGTTGATCGTCATACTTCAGTGGAGCGTTGAGTTAGAAAGATGCAGACATTGCATTTCCAGTTCCACATCAACAGCTGATTAACAAGTTATTATTCACATCAGGCGTAGTCAAAAGCAACTTACACATATATATCGAATTTTATAGAACGTATGTTCAATGTGGAAAACGTGTAGCCTATATATCACAATCACGGACTTCACCTACAGCTTCTAGAACAACAATCACCTTTGATATGGACTTCGAGCTCAACAGCATATAAACAACCAGGGGAGCTAACTCTAATCCCATCAGAAGTCTAAGTCCAGACATGTAGGGCCGGGCTAAGCAGGGAGGTTTCGAAACTACAATTGCCAACACTGCCTTTTTTTTCCTTTTTGTATGTTTTTAATTGTCCCGGCTGATTTACGTGTGAAGTATGCATTATTTACTTTCATATAGTATTTGTTTGTTTGTTTGTTGTATAACGCCGCACTCAGATATATTTCACTCATATGACGGCTGTCTTTGAAAAATCGACTCTGGACCAGACATTGTATTGAGACAATTCAGTGCTTGACGCCACGTGCATCGATCTACGCAATTCATTTAGTGAAGCTGCCACACATATGATATACATTTCAGACAAAGAGGTTTTCAATGGCAGTTTTATTATTGAGTGTGCTTGAATTTACTATCGTTATTGGCCGCTCCAATCGCTTTCCGTGCAGCAAATGATCCATCGAGTGTCTGTACTGTAGACATTTTATTACATAACAAATCACGATTATGTTGTATGTGTTCTTCCTCTAGATACGTTTGTTATAACACTGCACTCCAGTTATATGACGGCGGTCTGTAATGTATCGAGTCATGATCAGACAATCCAGTGATTGATGTTATGAGCAACATCACACACCCTAGGTACACAGTGAGCCTGATCACTCAAATCATTAACTCGCGTGATTCAGCTCTGACCATAAACCCGTGAAGATCCGGTGTAGAATAGGTCTTCAGCAACCCATGCCTGTCGTGAAAGGCGACTATGCTTGTCGTAAAAGGCGACTAACGGGATCAGGTGGTCAGGCTCGCTGACTTGGTTGATACATGTCATCGTAATACTATCTCAATTGCGTGGATCGATACTCATGATGTCAATCACTGGATTGTCTGGTCCAGACTTGATTATAAAATTTTACAGACCGCCGTCATATAGCTGGAATATTAAAATGAAAGATTTTCGAACTTCCTCTCTCTCTAAAGCGATGAATCACACCATGCACTGTGCTCTTGGCTACCACCCAACCCAAGAATATCTTATAATCGGCCTCATAGTAATTCTAAATCACAAAATTCAATGTTAATTATACTAACGGTAACCCTGCTGTGGCCCCGATACCCAGTGGGAGCGTACTAGGACCTACCTTTGTGCCTGAGTCCTCCCTAGTACATGTACTAACACACGTACCGGCCCCCTACATCGACGTGCTGTTAGTCTTCACCGAATTCAGTGGGAGTATATGGTGTCAGTGTTTGAATGTCTGTGTTTACCCTGAACACAAGTCATACACTCATACAGACACAAGCTGCAAAATACGTCCATTCACGCTCAGAGACAGACAGCCATCGCAGAAGAAAATGACCTGATCCGACATTTGGAATAACACCTGAACACAGTGACCCGTACTCTGTTGCATCCATGTTGAAAAATTCATCCATTGCAAGATGTATAAAATATTTTATCTCTAATATGTTTCAACAAAATCTTAAAACAAAGATATTTGGACATGATTTATGATATATTAGTCATAATGTGCAGTATATTTCAACTTGTTACAAGTTACAGCAGCGACCATATACATATATAATTATTAAAGTACTAGTACACAAAGGTGCTAGTCAAAGAGATTGGGTATGTTTATTTACCCTGAAAGGTCCCTATGTTTTGAATACTCCTAACAATAGCATTATGTCTGGGCTTATAAAATACATTTTGACCAAATTGCCCGTAGGGCGTGGAGGTGATGGTGGTGTTGGGGTGGGGTGGGGTGGGGTGAGGATGGTGTTGGGGGTAGGGGCACTAAAGGCATGACTCAGAACTTTCTTTTCCGAGGGTGACAGCATGCTTTCAGAGTTGATCAGGGTATGTGGGTTTTACCTAAAATAGGTAAAGTACTGTGTTAAATCAAACTTCAAAAGAAAATATTTTGTATGAAAACAGTAAACTAACAAATTTGAATATATTTATGCAAAATAATTACAGTTATAATGACAATTTAAGTTCATTTTAGTAAAACTTCAACTTTTAATTTGATTCATGAACAAACTATTCCACACATTTATAAGGCAAATGTTGATTCTGTTAATATGGGACATAGCACATAATACATTGTAAAAATGCATAATTTTCTTACTGAAATGTTAACTATAATTGCTTCTATTTCAATACTATTACAGTTTATTATACACCAAAAGAAGTTGACTCCTTCAAAATATTTCTTTTGTCGCGATTATTCATGAGTAGTACGTGAAACATGCTTCAAATTTCTTTAAGTACACCATTTAGTGATATATTTCATTTCTTTCATCAATGATATCACTGTTCATCATGCACACAGCAACTTACAGTCTGCTCATGTCCCTCACTGAATGTCCGAGTCGCAGTTCTCGTTATCTGTGTCTCAAGACATGCAGGTCGCACCACGATCTTTCTGTCAGATGGACGACACATAGTAAACCCTGTGGAGATTTTGCAGCATTACACTCTTGGAAGGGGAGAAGAAACATGGATCACCTCCCTTTAATTTTCCGGAGGTCCTGATTTAGATCGAGGTGCATATTTGTCCTTAAAGGAACAAAATCAGACCTTGTTGACATCTGAAAGGGCACCTAGTGCTCCATAATATAGTGATAGCCTCAGTGAACATATACTTTCGATGACATTTTCCTTTTCTGGCATATATATACAACTCATGAATGCATGGAAAGATGGAAAAGCATCACAGATATCCTCACAGCTAGCCTAAACTGCTGCATTAACATCAATGTTGGATCTGGTGTTTTTACTACTATTTCCTGTGTCGATCCTTACCTGTGAACCATTCATCCATTTCAGGTGGAACAATAGATGGACCAGCATATCAGTATCAGATGCTCTGACTAAAATCCTTGGCGATCCCAAGTCACTCCCGTTTTTGCATGTATAAAAAATCATTCTTGTATCTGTTCTTCATGGCCAGCCCGGGGCACGGGTGGCCCAGTCGTCTAAGGCGTTGCTGTGCAGAGTTGCGTCTCTTGGGCACGCCAGAAACCTATGATTATGTTTCTAGGTTAGTTAGCATCATACCCGTGCTCGTGGGTTTCACCGAAGTGGTAAACGTCTGAGACCTGCACCACTTCGGGCTTTCCTCCCACATTAAGCTGACACGCCATGATGTAACTGGAATACTGTTAAAAGCGGTGTTAAAGCCAAATCACTCACTCACTCATGGCCAACCCTTGGAACAAGTAATCTGACAACTCCCAATGTAGGCTGTGAAAACACAACACATACTGCCGATGACAACATACAGTTCATGTCCTGACAAATTAAATTATATGCATCTTTTGCCCATTCTTCTACTAGAAACCCCAGGAGCGTTTTTTTGAACATTGGAGACCTAAATACTTGACGGAATTAGTTCGGTCTGGAGAGGATCTTCCCCCATGGCATCAGACCAAGCATCTGCCTCTTAGTATCCTTAATGGATGGACTTGTATGTATGACACACAAACCCAACACGTCCAATAAGCATTGTTTGAGCAATACCCTTGTTCAAAAGCGGCACATTCGTGAAATATTGAACAAAGAACATCCCATCAATGATGCATATATCAAGAGTGACAGTTTCGTAATACTCGACCTTCTTTTTGAGATAGTGCAGACGCCTTGATTTGTCAGTCTTGTTGAGATGGCCAACCATGTGCACAAAGCAGATAGGTTCTGGAGTCTTGGGATATGAAAGACATCTTGCAGGTTGATGTTTGAGAATCAGCAGTCTTCCCAACAGATCGCATGTGCATTTAAGCCCACTTACCTTCTTATCTTTGTCTGTGCATGAATGTTTCACAGCTACAACAGCAAAATGTTTGACTTTACACCTTGGATAGGCTTTTCAAACCGAAGAGGATCACTGAAACAAATTGTTCGACCACTCTTCTCCTTCCTGTTGCACAGAAAGAAGGTAACTGACTATTCCATCTGGCAAAGCCTTTCCAGAACTGAAACACTAGAGGTTGGAGTTGAGACATGCTTCACTGAATGGATTCAAACTATTTTCTAGTGCATTGAGAAGTTTCTCAACATCCTATCGATCTCCCACAACATGAGATAGCCTTTGCTCCTATGAAGTTTCATACTTCCGTCAAGACAAGCCATCTTAAGAAGACCTGACACAACTGCACTTCTTAAAGGACGAGTTATCACCCATCTTGTGTGGGCAGATATGAACGTGATAGTATGAACGAAGAAAGTCCAGTCATCCTTGAAGCTGCATCGACATTAACAGTAAGCTCAAGTGCTATTTCAACTCGTACTCTGGATAAAGAACTTGTGGTTCTCTTGATTGATAGTCCTCTATTTTCTAACATCTCTGTTGTTCCCAGGTGTGTGATATCTATGTTCAGAAGATTCAAGTGACATAAGGTCATCCACCTTGAATACTTTGGACCACTCATAGGAAAGAAAATTGGAAAGGTTCGATGTCACATGTCCTGCAGACCTTGCGAAACATCAGATACAGGTTGACATGATCGATATATACAAACGGAAAAAAGAAACTGTGCTTCACATTAAGTTCAATAAAACATACATTTATTCTGAAACTCAATAATGCACATTTCAACACATATTCATGACATCTCCTTGACTTCAAGGTCGTGATTCATATTTTGCATGGTAATGGATGGGAGCACGGTGCTCACATTCGTGGTTTTAGAATATGAACAGCACACGGTGACTGTTCAGCTATCAGGTGCTCATAAAAACATTTTAGTTTAACAGTAAATAATGCTTACACGAATTGCTGAAAAGTATATGCGACCTGGGTATGCTGCAAATAGGAGTGGCGCAGAACAAAGGTGCCAGACATATTAATGTTCATCGGAACACAATATCATCTCTTTCGAGACGTTACCTACAGCACTGAAACACTCATGACTTGCCACGAACCTGTCGTCAACATGTGACGTCATGGGAACAAGACAACCATATTTGGTTGATGCATCTACGCCATCGATACCTAACTGCCACATTAACAGCTTGGGATAGTATACCGTTCACAGACGAGTTGTAACTGAGTTGTCACACCATCCTTCTGGTAAATGAGTTGTCACACCATACTTCTGGTAACTGAGTTGTCACACCATCCTTCTGGTAACTGAGTTGTCACACCATCCTTCTGGTAAATGAGTTGTCACACCATACTTCTGGTAACTGAGTTGTCACACCATCCTTCTGGTAACTGAGTTGTCACACCATACTTCTGGTAACTGAGTTGTCACACCATACTTCTGGTAACTGAGTTGTCACACCACCCTTCTGGTGACTGAGTTGCCACACCATACTTCTGGTAACTGAGTTGTCACACCATCCTTCTGGTAACTGAGTTGTCACACCATCCTTCTGGTAACTGAGTTGTCACACCATCCTTCTGGTAAATGAGTTGTCACACCATCCTTCTGGTAACTGAGTTGTAACACCATCCTTCAGGTAACTGAGTTGTCACACCATCCTTCTGCTTACTAAGCTGTCACACCATCCTTCTGGTAACTGAGTTGTCACACCACCCTTCTGGTAAATGAGTTGTCACACCATCATTCTGGTAACTGAGTTGTCACACCACCCTTCTTTTGTGACGTGTCGCTCTGTCTCTGTCAATATCTTTTTTAAACAATCACATATAATGCACTGTGATATACGAGGTGTAATATTAGAATAATTTTTTTATAATATATCGAATATGTTCACATTCACTTCTATACCCAAGTAATTTAAATCATTCTCAATTAATATAGAGCTCTCATTTTTCCTTTATCACCCCGGCGCTGCCTGTTGTACCATACTCTGAGGAAATGGTCAACAAACAATTTGTAAGAAATTGCTTTTTAGAAAATTTTATCGATCTTCTTCATGATCCAGCTTTCAAACCTTTTGCACCTCTGAGGTAAATAAATTCCATGCTATCTCTTGAACTAGAGCCTTTGTAGGTTGTTGTTGCACATTAAATGTGCCCCTCTATAATTGGTGTGCAAGTTTGTTAAAGTCGAATCAGACTGTAAATTTTAAAATAAATGTGTTAGTGCCGACCCCTACCCTTAATGAAACTTGATTTGTTTAAACACTATCTCAAACATCGGTAAGCCACAATCAATCTTCTTTGAAGAAATGATGTGGCTACACTGTACATGAGCCATAGAAGGCTATGTGCCGTAGCACCGTGCGTTAATACCTAAAGTCTAAATCTGTCATAATAAAGTCTTCATGGCTTGGTCATCAGCTGGTCATGAATGATTCAGTCTCAACATTGACAAGAATTTGATGTTTCCTTCGAAAGCAGCTGAACCAACACATGTGACAGACGCATCAATATAAATTACACAGAACAGTCAGTAACCTAAGGCAGCGTTCTTGTGTAATACAAGATGGACATCTCTCCACTTTTTTTTTCAGAACCAAAGAGGATGCCGGCAAGGTGACCCACTTTCACCCTACCTATTTTTGCTTGTAGCTGAGATACTAGGAATAATGATTAGGAATAATAAAGGCATAAAAGGAATAACAATAAATGATATGGAGTATAAATTAGTTCAATATGCAGATGATACACAGTTATCTTTAGATGGATCTGAAGAGTGTCTTAGATCTGCAATTGATACTTTGAATAAATTTTAATGAATATCCGGTCTTAAGGTAAATATTGACAAAACTAAAGCTATATGGATAGGTTCAATGGCAGGAAGCAGAATCAAACTCTGTGAAGACATAATACTAGACTTGCATGAGGGAAACTTTGAAGTCTTGGGAATAATATTTAATCCCACATTACATGATCTATGGGTAATAAATACAAGAAAAAGATTCGAACATATTAATAGATTACTGGGAAGCTGGAAAAAAGATATCTAACATTAATAGGTAAAATCACTGTTATTAAGACTCTGGCTCTTTCAACATTAGTTCATATATTTTCAGCACAGGGACTTCCAATCAAAACAGATATTCCTTTTGGGAGCAAATATTGATACGTTTATTACTTTGAAAAATCCCTTTTGGAGGGATATATTGATTTGGTTGGTTGGTTGGTTTGTCGTTTCACGCCGCACTCAGCAATATTCCAGCTATATGACGGCGGTCTGTAAATAATCGAGTCTGGACAAGACAATCCAGTGATTAATATCATGAGCATCGATCCACGCAATTGGGATTGATGACATGCATTGACCAAGTCAGCGAGCCTGACCACCCGATCCCGTTAGTCGCCTTTTACGTCAAGCATAGTCACCTTTTACGGCAAGCATGGGTTGCTGAAGACCTATTCTACCCCGGAATCTTCATGGGTCGGGGATATATTGAATATTTGGGGTAATTACTACAGAAAACATAAAGTTGACAAACAAAGTATTGACGAAATTTTATCAGAACCATTATGGTTCAATCACCAATTTAAAAATAATTTCATTCTAAAATATTGGTTTAATAAGGGTATTCATAGTTTAAAAGATTTATGTAGCAACAACAGATTTTTAACATTTGAAGAATTACAAAACCAATTTCAAATTAAAGGTACTATACTTGACTACAACAGAGTAAAGCTAAATATCCCTAAATCATGGAAAAAAGCAATAAATGGCAGATCTTCTATCACAGCTAACTTATACATAAATAACATTTTGAGAGACTTGTTGATAAGAACAAAGGGCTCCAGAATATTTTATGATAAACTTATAGCAACAACTAACTTTCCTTTGATTTGTGATAAATGGGAAAATTAACTTAATCAAAGCATTTTATGGAATAATGTTTTCTCTAATTGTAGATTGTGTACCAATGATGTTAAACTAACAGATTTCCAGTACAGATTCATAAATAGAACTCTATATACCAAAGATGAAATATGGAAAATGAAGTTAATAGATGATGATATATGCTCATTTTGTGTCACTGAATCTGAAAACTTATACCATGTGTATGTAGAATGTTTTTGTAAAGTGATTTTGGTTAGAAATCGAAATATACCTTAACTCGAAACTTGCATATGATATTCATATTACCATTCTGGATATAAGTTATTTTGCTACAACAAAAACAACTACCTATTCAACCACATAATTCTTCTTGCAAAAAAATACATTCACAAGTCAAGCATTAAGAAAACTTCATTATGCTTTCCTTTTTTCATAAAAATATTGAAAGATGTATGTAAAATAGAAAAATTCATCGCAATGAAAAATAGTAGTACTAGGAGATTCGACAGAAAATGGAAGGAATTATCAGCCTACTTATTATAATTTCTCAGTCAATCAATAGATGTACTTACCCATATCTGATCATGTTTTAAGATTCTATGACTTGCTACATGTATATACCTCATGTACCAATGTTACATATGTGTCTACTGAATTGAAATAAAAGTATTTTTAAGAAAAAGGCAGCGTTTGCCGACATGGCACCATTGACTTTCATTGTGTGGATGGACAGAGCTCGCAGTTAGAGTCCTGACTTCACTGCACCGTCTATCCCCTTACTGTGCTGTGCGAGGGTGTCTGAATGTGACATGTGTACATTAATGTGTATGCCCTATCACCGATCTCGTTGGCGTGGCATCTTATGATTTACCAATAGATTGTCTGCCGATACAGCTCTCCTTCTTACTTATAATACACAAATCTACACTTTTCTCATGCTGCCATCTCAAGATTATTTACATGCATGATTTCCATCAACTCCAAAAGTGATTTAAAATGAATAGAAAATCTGAACTTGTATTGAACAACCTTCTGATTTAAAAAAAAACTCTTTATGTTTTAAAAAATAATCCACAAGACTGTATGACACAAGAGGGGTGTCTTCAACTTTGTAAGTCTTTCAAAAAGTTTTAGGGTAGACATTTGGTAGACATTTCCAAATTTGGCGCATGAGTGACCAAAATGATATCTGATCCAATTCCCTATTTTGACCTTTGACCGTATTTGTTCAGGTGAACACTTGACTTGCCTTTACGTGTGTTTGTAACGGGTGCCACCGACTGGGTAGGATACGCTCACCTTTTGCGTTATATATTCCAAACGCATGCTTATGATATAGTCGGAATCGTACCGAGGAAAAAATTGCATTGCTTTGCTGTTGCTTTGACTATTACGATATGAAAACTGCAAAACTGTAAGAATGTTTAAAACCCTCTACATTTTACAGAGGTACAGTTACGTCACAATACACAAGTTTGTTCAACACGGAGCCAATCAGCATCTTCTTCTTGTACACAACTGCAACGGAGGATCCTGACACCAGGCGTCCGTCATCAACAAATAGTTCCGTCACTGAGGACACCGTGCCTTGCTTTAGTTGCACCTGTAGGATCTGAAACACACCACAGCCAAGTCCAAGCTTCAGTCCAAGTCCAATATGTAAGCGTCACAAATGTGAACGAAGGAGCAAAAATATTGTTTTGGGAACCACAATAAAAACTATTCCACCATGTCGAGTGAACAATTGTTCTTTTAAGAAAAAAACTACGTCATAATTTTTTTTTCAGCAAATATTTTTCAAAACATCCGCAGCCACAGTTTGATTTCACAGAAATGAATACGTTCATAAACACCAATGACTTCATTCATACCTGAGATGGCGCTTCTAAAGATGGATCAATCAGGTGTTGTGCCATAAGGTGTCCGATTGGATGGAAGGCTACATACAGATCCCCGGATACTGGGTCCTCCATGATATTGTCAGGCATCGTGTGGAAGGCGTATGACTAGAAAAGAAGAAGTACGTTCCATATTGCATGATACGAAACATCATTATAACGTTGTCTTCGTGTTTAATTGTCACTGGGGAGCAATTATTTTCAAGTCATGATTAACCCTCTTTTTTTAAGAAACAAATATTAAAATTATTTCCACTGGCAATTATGTTTTGCAGATATGATGTTTCTTACTTTTAACATAACCCGCTAAACTGGTGACTACGGTGTTATGCACGCGAGGTGAGGCAGTGAGATTAGGGGTGGGGTGGGGTGGGGGGTGGTTATAGGAATAAGGGGGACACAGGGACGGGAGTGCTACCAAAATGTATCACAAATATGAGGTATGTGTCGAGGAGGGGGGCATGAACAAATGACACAGACAAATACAAAAATTATACATTTGAACATTGTTTTGGATCTTTTTACATCTTATTGGGGATTGGTTGTCATGGGAAAATGTTAAATGTGTATTGAGCGAGGGGCATGAATAACTGTTACATAAAATGGGGGTGGGGTGTTTCATGATATTTCAAACAGTCATAAGATCAATCCCATCGGCCCCCATCCTCCTCTTCCAGAAAGTGAGTGTGGTTTTACGCCGCTTTTAGCAGTATTACAGCAATATCACGGCGGGGACACCAGAAATGGGCTTCACACATTGTAACCATGTAGGGAATCGAACCGGGTCTTCGGCATGACGAGCGAACGCCTTAACCACTAGGCTACCCCACCGTCCCTCTTGCTCCTCTAAACAAGTGATTCCGATACGTTGTTTTCACGTGAGTGCTTGGCGAATATATTCGTTCACAATAAAGTCATTCATTTGCATACCTGCTTTAAGTTCAAGGAATTATCGTTCCTTCTCTCGTATATCTTCATCTCTTGACCGAAGAAGCTCGCGACGAAGACATATCTGAAGCACAACACGTTCATGGTTACAGTGACTAGGAGCCGTCTAGTTGTATTACAGCAATATACTGACCCCAGAAAGACACACAAGACACGTTTTTGTGTATATGCTATAACGTCACCTAAGCTGGGTCCCGGCTCTCTATGCGCGTCGTTAACTTGCGCCAGAGCCGGAGCCAGGAGCCGGTACTGGCCAACATTAAAAACGCTCAGCTCGTTTATTTGACGTCACATCCGGCGTCGTTTAGCTGGACTCCGTCCCTACATTGACGTCAAGATGAAGAACCGGGAACTAGTCATGCAAGTCATTTCCTGATTAGATAAGCTAAAAAAATAACCAATTGTTCATTACTGTACAGTCGTTACCCGTAAGGTGAATTCGAATGCATACAGAATAATCTAAAAAAAGTATTCCTGAAATTCGATCATTTTGTTTGCGTTTGTATATTCCCATTAACCTAAAACAATTAGATCATGCCCTGTAAATGGATAAAATGTCACTAAAGTTATTGTTGTTGACATATTTATTTACAAGAATTCATTCACTTCTATATTCTACCTCCTTCGTTTGCAAATACCTCCATATACTAAATTATTGAATTCATCCTAACATGCGATGACGTCATGATCCAATGGATGACAACTAAATCGAAGTTGTTCTGATAAATATTTCTGAAACTCAGTATTAAATTAACGCGTTATTCATTTCGTGTAGCCGAATGGAAAATGTTTGTTTGTGAAGAAAAAATACTTATGAAAAAAGTATCCATACACCGTAAATAGTGATTTCCGGGCTTCGAATCCCATTTCACACCCGGGAACAATGGTGACTTAGCATGGCAGGGAACTCTGGGTAGGAGAGTGATCCCATTTATCACGGTTTTCAACCAATCAGATTGCAGTACAGTGCCAGATGTTAAAGGAAACGGTTTTGCATTGCGAGTTCTGGCGCCTGACACCAATGGGATACCGAAACTATTCATTTAGAACAAGCAGTTAATAAAACAAATATTTATCAAAAAAAATATTTGACAACTATTCAGAAAAATATTCCACAGCCAAATATATTTGGAAAATCAGTACTGTTCCCTGTGTGTAGAGGGTAGAGGGCGAGCTCACTTTCCGTCCCGGGACATCTGTATACCGTTAGCCATGATGATTCCATCTGCTACTATGCGGTATCCTTTGCCATCATAGTAGCCTACGTGGGTCCAAGCCATGAAGGACATCATCTCCAGCATACGCCCAATATAACTGGACGACGAGAAGAAGTTGCTGTAGTAGAAGCTGTCGTCGCCGGTGGCACTGATGTCGTTCATTCTGGAACGAAACCATTACAGTGTTGATAATACGATCATTTCGGGGGAATATTTTTAATTTCATGAACTTTTGGGGTTACGGGTGGCCCTGTCGTCTACGTGGCCGCCATTTGCTGTTGCGCAGTGTGTCTCATGGGTTCCACGAGAATAGTGCGTGTCCACGACCTAGATCACTCCAGACTTTCCTCCGACAGGAGGCTGACACGCAGTAATATTACTGAAATACTGTATACTGTATTAATCGGCGATAATTCAAACTCAATCACTAACTCACGAACGCATTTTCATCATGTTAGTTTTCTCCCAATTGACAGTATTTAATTCATTTCTCGCTTTTGCTTCCTTCTTTGCGTCAGGTTGATCCTTAAGAACGTATAAAGGGAGAGATTTAACAATTGCAAGAGGGCTCTTTGGACAAAGTGAAAATAAAGAAAGACAGGTAGTTGTAAATTTAAGATTGTTTACGTCTACTGCAAAGCCCTCTTCGTGCTTACTCTTTTATAGTTGGATCTCCGTAGTAGGATTTCAGATGCTGAAGAGAACGCTTGGCGACAGACACAAGGAATTTCTCTACTCTCTCCTCTCCGTCTCGCTCGTGATTTATAACATACAGGTACAATTTACCTGAAAGCAAAATACTCTACATAAGGCGATATTCATACCTTGGCAGATCATTTCTCACAAGCCCGGCAGATTTTCACCCAATACACATTGTGTGTCTTGCATACATTGCCACATCAAAACTGGACACGACCTAACCTTACACATGTGGATCCCATGGCCAACAGTACATCCTTCTACAATCAAATATCCCATCTCACAAATTCCCAGCATAAAATACCCACTGCGTAAGCCACACATCAGCACCTGACACTGGTCTCCCAAAACCTTTCTTCCCCATCAAAGGACAGTAAGAAATGAGAGTTTCTCTGGAAGACAGACTCAATGAGAAATGAAAGTATCTCTGAATGACTCTTAAGAAACGAAGATGTCTCTGAAGGACTGGGAAGAACTAAAGGCGTCTCTGAAGAACTGATATCAACTGAAAATGTCTCTGAAGGACACATAGAAACTTAAAGTGTCTTTGAAGAACCAATAAAACAAGAACCGAAAGCATCACTGATACCCCCGCTACACCCAATACAGCATACCTAACCTTGTCAGCCCACCTGCTTTCTTGTCCTCCCACACACTGATACCATGGGGCTGAAACCTGTCCTTGTCGAACTCCTTGGTGGAGGTCAGGTTCATCTCCTGGACGTTCTTCTTGGGGTCGTTCATGTCGAACAGATAGATCGTGCCCTTGCCCTTGTTCTTGGAGTAGAACTTGTCATAGGCTGCTGAGTTTCCGTTCTTCATCCGAAATCCCTGGAAATAGTCACCTCGCTCATTTTAGGCATCAACAGAGCACTGCTCACTCCTTGCAACTGCCGCCTCATTCACACCAGAACAGTATGTCATCTCCTGTTATTGTGACATCTTCCCTTCCAACCCTAATCTTACTAACCTGACCATGGTCGGTACTAGACAGCTGTGGAAATCGCGTAATGTTGCTGGCGTTTGACGTTTGACGTTTATCACAGATATATTACTTTTCCATAACATGACCACGTTCTGAACTGGTTGTAACGCAATACACTTTCAGTATATCGGCATATTTGTTAAAATGGAGAACTGTAGATCGCCAAAAGATACTGCAATATTTGTTTGAGTTAATGATTATCGCATAGAGGAAATACGTAAAGGTTTAGTAATTTTAGTGAAAACTTCAATATGTCTTTAAAAACTTGCTTATAATATATAGTTTGCCTGACACTCACCGATGAAATGAAAACGATACCATTGTCCATCAAGTGCATGTCTTCAGAGCCAATACCTGATAATCATAATAATCATAAATAATCAAAACACATGGATATAAATTGAATGATGCAGTGCATGAATCGTTTCGCGTTTCAAACACCCCCGGGGATCTGGGTATCATTAGTTGCTATCCCTCTAGTGCTTCTTGTTAACGGCGACTATATTAGGTCGGGTAGTCAGGTTCGGTGGCTTTGTTGATTGCAACACATCGTATCCCGACGGCATGGGATGTTGCTCATAATATCAACCACTAGTTTGTCTGAATAATAATAAAATTTACTCCCAGCCGTGATATATCAGGACTATTGCTTATTGAAAACAAAATATGATACACGTGTAGTTGTTTCTAATGACAAGCATTACAAGAGGGGATCATTGTCGGCTCCGCAGGACGATGAACTTTGGTATGTACCACGAATTGCCGAGAGCTAGGTTTAAGGAATGTAAGTACAAAAGCAGCTGACCCATTCCTTGCACCTGGTGGCAGGGGCCGGGGTAGTGGTTGAACATATGTTTGCTGAAACCCATCTTGAAACTGAAATAAATATAAGAGTTAATATCGCTTCTTTGGTCTTTGAATGGGAATATTTATTCGCAATACTCTTTAGGGAGTGATTGTGTGGGGCTTTGGGGAGTATATTTTCCACTGATATAATGTACCAGTGAAACAACATGAAAGAAGCCATGCACCACTTAATGCGATCTTAACTCGGCGACTGTCGTAAATCTGTAATGACAGATAATCACGTGAAATTACAACAGTGTTAGATTCCAGTTCTGTGTTCGAATTTGGCGTTGAACCATGTCCTCTTGAGTCTGATTTTTGTCGCGAAGTATATATAATATCATAGTGGTAATGCTGAGATCGATTTGTGGAACGGTGCCCAGGTCTTATAAAACGTTGGTGATGCTTCCATCATGTGGACAGTTCACATGTGTCGTAAGAGGCGACTAACGGGGTCGGGTGGTCAGGCTCGCTGACTTGGATGATGCATGTCATCGATCCCAATTGCGTGGATCGATGCTCATAATATCAATCACTTGATAGTCTTGCCCAGACTCGATTATTTACACACCGCCATCATATAGCTGGAATGTGGCTGAGTGCGGCGTAAAAGAACAAACAACCAAATCATATATATCCATGCCAAATTATGACAATATCATAATAGGGGACATCATAAATGGTCTTCACAGTTGTACCCAGGTTGGCAATCGATTTGATTTGATATGGACAGTCTGAGGACTACTTACTAGAACTTTACGGCGTATTGAAGCACCAGCAGCACCAGTACGCTGATCACTATGGTCTTTGCGTACATCTTGAACCTGGACGAAAATACATTTGTGTTAAACCACATGTACAGTGCCATTATTACCGGTGTCACTGTCCCTTATATACGGTCTCGTAAACGAAAACCGGAAGCCATTTCATTGGGGTCGCCATCTTGTTTTCCAAAACCGCAACCAGTTTTATTTCGATCTAGATCGAGTTTACTTTACTTTCAAAGTGTAGAATTTGGGGATAAGAGTTTTATAACAATATGTTATTCTTTGTTGCCTCTCAGAGATATAGCAGTGCGTGGTACATTTGCAGATGTTTCTACAGGGGTCGCTAATTACCCCCTTAGTTTTATCAGAGACCATATAATAGATTATTATATGGTCTCTGGTTTTATATAGAACAACTGGTACTAAATTATGAACAAACGAACGGATGCGGGAACAGAAAATACGAGTAATCATAACACGATGTTCAGTGAACTCTATGATGTCAGTCACTGATTCGTCTGTTGCATATTTGATCATTTACAGGCCGCCTTCATTCAGCTCGAATATTGCCGAGTGCGGCGTTAAAACTTTTTTGTTACAATAAATTTATTGTATTTTTGTATATACATGATTATTCTAACATGGCCGTTTGATAAAGGTGAAAAATAGCAAACTGAGTTCGAAGTACATTGAATTGATTTCACTCGACACGACACGTCTATCAAATTAGATACTCACCGCTGTGCTTGATGCATAAAATTATGAATAATTATTTTTACTTGACAACACAATTCATATAAGGCAAGTATAAACTAAGATATTTGTATTTCCATTACAGGTGAACACAGCAGAGAACAACCTTGACTGTTGATCCCGAGTGGCACCGTCCATTACGTTACACGGGTATAGTTTAGTACATTGGACACAATTTTTAAGTTAGTTTTACGTGTTATTTGACGCGCATTAATTAGCATCAAATACTCAATGCACTGAATACCGTTCGATATGAAGTTGGAATATCATGATATTGTGCAGCAATTTTCGTGTATTTGTGACTGATATTCACAGAAGCGGATCGAGGTGCTCCGGGTCAAAATTCCAACCAACTCCGCTTTTTTAATTGAAAAAAGCCTTAGCATGAGTTACATTTTCCCGAAGTTATATTTCTTCGGGATTATATTTTAGATGGACTAACGAGTCTATGCATAGCCAGATCCAAATCACGTATCAAAATCGACATCCGGTTCGTAAACAACATGCAGATTTCAATCGATTGCAGGATTTGAAAAAAACATGTGTACCGTCAAATCGGCGTCGACAGTTATATCCCAAATCTTTTCGTCTTCATAATCAAGATGCTCATGTGATATGATGCACTTCGCGAGGTAAGGCCCGTTTTAATGCAATATAGATCTTAATTATAGATCAGATCGCCATGACGGGGCGCCGCCATTTTGTTTCAGAAAATGCAATTCATATGAGAGGTGAAATCTGATTGGTCAATGGGAGGGCATAGAAGGGATATAACTCGTAAAAAGTACCCTAACAGTCTCAAAACTACCTCTGTTCACTTAAATGTACCCACTCTCGTACAAGGGTCCGCGTGACCACCATTTACCTTCAGCGTACGGGTCGTCTCGACCCAGTGCCAGCTACACTTAGATCGCTTTCTTTCAGTTTCGCGCAAGCTACGGTTGATTGACAGTCTGTATGAACTAGTCTTTCGCCGATGTCGTAAACGGAACTGGTAATGTCGTAAAAGTCTTTCGAGAAGTTATTTCCGGGTATATTTAAGTACACAGTGACTATGTGGGTATTTTTCCCTATAAAGAAATATACCCGGGTACATAGCCGTATCAGGTGTGCCGACAACGACCCCATTCCAAAATGTAAAAAAATGTAACATTTTTCCCAGTATTGCACATGTCAACATGGGTTTATACATGATCACACCTTGTGATATTTGTTTTCGAGTAGATGGAAACGGAGCTCCATCTCGAACTGCAGACTATCCCAACTACAATCCCGTACCATGGGCCCTAAATATAGATTAAGTGTTCAAGGCCACACACACAACGAGTCACAAAGAGACACCAAGCTTGGGCTGACTCGACAAAAACGCCACTGAGAAAACATCCCGCTATAGATGACGCTACAGATTACAAGTCACATCCCGTCCACTTGGTTATCTGGAGTATGGTTAGTGTTAGAACAGAAAACCTTCTCGTTATTTTGTCGACCACGTGTAGTCCGGGGCTGAACTAGGCCCATGACCCTCTATTGTTAGCCGTAAGCGACGATTAATTTGATCGGGTGGTCGGGCTATCTGACTTAGTGGACTACCCTGATGTCGTCATTGGTTTACTTGAACCAGACTCGATTATTGGCAGACCTCTGAAATATGGCTCGACTATTGTGAGTGTGACATTAAACAACATTCATTCACACCCATTTTCTCGACTATATTGGGTGCCTGGTTACAGACAGGGGTTGTGGTCTATATTGAATGTATTTATTGTTGTTTTTACACAGTATCGCAGCACCAACAGAGTATTCGCCCATGTCCAAAAGTATTTGTACAACCAAAGGTACTTGGTGAGCCAAGCCTGGGAGACGCTTAGGTACCGATCAGGGGCTTTGGAATTTGTTTGAAAATATATTTTGTTTCAGAATAAAATATAGAATTACCCTCCGCATTATGATGGCCTGAAGAAAATGTACTCTGAAAATAAATTCTTAGGCTCCACCATCCAGAGAATGATTTTGGTTTAACGCCCCTTCCAACAGTATTTCAGTTATTTGTGTTTATTTCACTGTGTGTCGGCATGATGTGGGAAGAGAAATGGAAGCGTGCATGCGTGTGTTAGTCCGGACTAATGTCTATTAGCGCTAGCCCACCGAGATACCATACAGCAGTTTAATATGGATATCCCATGCAGGCTCATTATACTGACTCCAAGCGTCTGATCCTTGTTTTCATGTTTTACGTCTTTATGAAGGTAATCGAACCACCGGGCTTTCCACTCTCCAGGCAGACGCTCTCTATCCTAGACCACGGAGGCGGTCCCATATACTATCGGTTTATACCAATATTTGCAAACCACACGAAGTCACATGGATGACAAATCAACTTTTACAGCACGGTTTACCCTTATATCAGCACGTCTCATTTTTGATACCCTGTTTATCTCCTAAACCCGGTATAGTCTGCGGCCTGCTCGCGTCGTAGTCCCAGTAATGCTGACTCACTACTGTACACATATCAATTGTGGTAGTTGCTTTCTGAAAGGTCGAGGTGACCGCGTTTGCTCTGAACAAACAAAGAGCGGTTATACCCCACGCATGTTCCTCCTACGCCGGCAAAGAGGGGATTTCGGGTTAGACTAGGTCCCCAACAACTGTTGCTGTCCCAATCACTGTCTTTTATACCTGTATTAGTTAGGAATAATGTCCAATTATGACACAACGAGGTATTGAATCAATGTGTATATTCTGTTGTATTTAAGTACAGACATGTGCAACTTAACGTCACATTGGACTATGCACAGACTCGTTAGTCCAACCAAAACTCCCAATTCCGGCCTATTTCGGCAAGGGTGGAAACTAGATTTTAATAGTCAGTTTACTCCCTTGCCTCGGGAAGATGGCAAGTGATGTGAGAGGTGGAATCTGAGTGGGCAATAGAAGGGACAAAGGGACGAATTACATAACTTGTAATAGCCACTGGTGGCGCTACGATCGAGCGACATAATTCCAGCGCAGTTGGACAAGGGAGGATACTTGACTCTTATAGCCAGTTGACTCCCTTACCCCGAGACGATGGAAATGAAAGGGCTCATACAGTCATTTGTGAACAAAATAAATAAAATTGGCGAGATGACACAACCTTGAGGGGCCCCTGTAGTGAGTGTGTAAGTGTGTGAGTATGGTTTAAGCCACTTTCAGCAATATCACCCCAGGAATGGGCTTTGCAAATTGTACCAAAGTGTGGAATCGAACGCTTTAACCACTAGCCTACCCAACCTGTAGAAGTACGAACAAGAGATGGTGCCTTTAACGGTGAGGGACTGAGGCCTGTTAACAATCAAGGATTTGACCCATTTGTCAATATTTGAGTTAACACCCATGTTATCAAGCTTTTGCGAGTGAGGTTGTATATTATTGCAATCGGTTGAAAAATCGACGAAACAATATTCTTACAATTTACCGTTATGGATGTGGTTATAAAGCTTATGCAGGGGAATCTGTGTAGCGTCCTCAACACCTGTTGGGTCCATATGCCAATTGCAAAGGGTCACGAATATGCTGAAAACTAGCAATCTCTTCATAATGCGTTCAAGGCATTTCACAACTATTGAAGTTAAAGCCACAGGGCGATAGTCAGTGTGTACAGTCAGGTTTTGCTTTTGGGGAACAGGTACAATGTCAGAACCTTCCCAATATATTATAGTAATGCAATGGCAATCTAATGAAGCTTGAAAATATGCTGCACAACTGCACACTGCCTTTTATAAATACTAAACCATATACTAGACTTAGTATATTATCCGGGCTGCACGCCTTGCTTATTGCCCATGAAGATTTAAGCATATCATCATCAGATATGGCTACGTTATCATCCTTAATTAAGGGACTGAAACACATTTTTAACTTTTTGAGGAACAATCACAAGTATCAAAACGAGCATAAAAATAGTTCAACTCATTGGCGCAAGACCCGTCATCCTGTGCATTTTTGCGTTTGTGGTTTTTGTTAGTCCCAATGATAGTCTTTATGCTATGCCAAGCAGAACGTAGATTTTGTACCGAAAGTGATTGGCATTCCCTTGTCGAATCCATGATGTCCTTTGAAATGGATTTTACTTTTGTCATGTCGCCTGCACGAAAAGCTTGCTTCTTTTCGTTGAGCACAGCTCTTTTGATACCCAGGGCTTGAACGCGGCTGTTCGGGTAAACTTTGATTAATTTATCCGGCACAATAAAGTCTACACAGAAATTTATGAAATCAGTAATTACATCAGCTAGTTCTTTTAGGTCAACACTTGATTCCTCGAACACATTCCAAGTGGTACAATGAAAACACTCTCCTTATTGATCCAGTGAATCTGCTGTCCACGATTTGACAGATTTTACAATAGGTTTGTCACATCTGGGCTCTTGTCTGTATGTTGGAATACAACTGATCACATTATCATCCGGTGTTCCAATGAGGGGTTTCCTGAACATTGTAGGCGTCCTTTGCATTCCCGTAACATAGATCAATGGTTTGATCATCTCTTGTAGGGCAGTCAGCATACTGGTAGTAATTAGGAAGAACTCTTTTCAGCTTACAGGAAATAAACTCTCCCCAAATGAACTCTCCCTCTTAGGTGCCTCTGTTGATAAACCTTCCAGTTGTTGATCTGATCGTGAATGATAGTATAAGTTCTGTCAGTATTAGCATTGGGGGAATGTAAAAAAAATGTAAAACAAATAATTGTCCAATTTCTCAAGGTAGATATTGTGGTTCCAGTGAAACACTCAACATCTCGATGTCATCTGTGCACGCTGTATCCCCCACATCCCTGAACCGTTAAGTTTACAAACATGTGACAACTCTTACCCCAGCTAGATTATCTTCTTTGTTTGTCAATTTGAATTTCTATTTCATTTCAAGTTTCATCTGACAAGTAATTAGTTTAATGATAATGTAAAGGGAAGTTGGGTTCCTCACACAAATATAAATGTCACTACATTTGGGGTTGGAAGTCGTAGTGAAGGAGCTTGGGTAATGCCTGAATTCAAGAAATGTCGGCCCGAGCTGAGCCAGAAGGTTGGAATCCACTATTGCCAGCAACGCTTTATGTTTTTACTTTTGTAGTTTTTTTATTGTACCGGCTGACTTAATTGTGAATTATGCATTTCTTTCATTTAGAAAGACTAACACAAATAGCAATAAACATAGCAGAGAGTTTTATTATTGCGTGTGCTTGAATTTCAATCATGACAGGCCGCTCCAGCCTGCAAATGGCAAATGATCCATGGAGTGTCTGTACTGTAAACATTATTATTACATGTAACCCTTTAATGTATTTAATGTGTTCTTCTTGGTTTTGGAGCGGTCGGGTAGCCTAGTGGTTAAAGCCTTCGCTCGTCACCCGAATTCCCGGGTTCGTTTCCCGACATGGGTAAGAAGTGTGAAGCCCATTTCTGGTGTCCCCCGCCGTGAAATGGCTGGAATATTGCTAAAAGCGGCGTAAAACTATAGTCACTCACTCACTCACTCTTTCTTCTTGGTTTGCCTATAGATATGTTTGTTGGTTGGTTAATACCACACTCCTGCTAAATGACGGCGATCTGTAAATAACCCCAGTGATTGATGTTGTGAGCAACGGCCCACGCCGTGTAAGTACGATGACAAATAATCAACAAATAATCACCGCCTCCATGGTCTAGTGGATAGAGCGTTTCGTATAGCGTCTTCCCGGAGATCCGAAGGTTGTTAGTTCAAGCCCGATGCGCATAATACCAAACCGATGCTTGTTGCTCCGCCTTAAGGGGATAAAACAAGGACGGGTCGGATCAGAGTCAGAGTTGGGTATCCATGCTAAACATGAGTGCAAATTGAACGGGACGTCAAACCCGATTTCAACCTACCTCCGTTGGACGACATTGGCAGCTAATGCTTTCCATATCAGATGCAATAAATGTTTGTTTGGTATTTGTTTGTTTTTTAACGCCACACTTAGTAATATGCCAGCTATATGACGGCGGTCTGTATATAATCGAGTCTGGACCAGACAATCCACTGATAAATATCAAGAGCATAGATCCACGCAATTGGGTAGCACTCACATGCATCAACCAAGTCAGCCATTTGAATAACCCTGAACACAGTGTCCAAAACCTCGATCTATGTAGCGCCTATGTTGATAAATTCCTCCATAAAAACACTTGAGGACAAAATGTATTAAACAAACTTTATCTGTCTGTATGTTTTCACAAAATCTGAAAACTAAGATATTTGAACATGGTATATGTTATATTAGTGATAATGTGCAGTGTATTTAAATTTTAACTACAGTCAAGTCCCGTTAATCCGACATGGTCGGTTGCATATGATTATTGCATTGATTAGTTCACAGCAGCGATCACATATAGTTATAATTATAGGTATGGTGTCTCTGGAAAAAGAGTCCATTTGTGGGTGGTTGCTGCACAATAAATGCGAGCCGCTTTATGCATATAAAAAGGAGTGGGAAATTTTAAGCATTTGGTATGCACGAATATGAAAGTCGATTGACACTGTAAAGTTTAAATAAATGTGTTAGAGTCGATACCTAACCTAAAATGAAGGTACCAACCTTTAAACTCTAAAAACACTATCTCATTAAACAGTAAACCACAATCCATTTTCTCTGAAGAAATGAGTGAGTGAGTTGGGTTTAACGCCGTTTTAAACAGTATTCCTGTTATATCACGGAGTGTCAGCTTAATGTGGGAGGAAAGCCAGAAGTGATGCAGGTCTCAGACGTTTATCACTTCGGTGAAACCCACGAGCACGGGTATGGTGCTGACAAACCTAGAAACATAATCGGGGCGAACCGGGATTCGAACCCACAATCATAGGTTTCTGGCGTGCCCAAGGGACGCAACTCTGCACAGCGAATTGCGGCGCCTTAGACGACTGGGGCACCCGTGCCCCACTGAAGAGGTGAGGTGAGGTGAAATTGGGTTTTACGTCGCGTCCAAGATTATTGCACTTATATAGCGACGTGCATGCACGTGTATGTGTGTGTGTGCCTGCTTGTACTAGTCCGGACTGATGCCGATTTATAGTGCTAGCTCACTGAGATACCATGCCGCAGTTTAACATGAATACCCCACTCAGACACAGTATACTGACTCCGAGCCGACCAGTCCTTGTTTTAGCCCCTTAATGTCGAGCGCCAGACAGGGTAACAACAAGTACCATCTTTTAACGTCTTTTGGTATGACGCGGCCGGGGATCGAACCCCGGACCTTCCGCTCTCCGGGCGGACGCTCTACCACAAGACCACGGAGGCGGCCAGCCCCACTGAAGAAATGATGAGGCGACAATGACACATAAAACTTACAAAGCTGAATGTCGTTGCACCGTGTGGCGCTGAACCAACAGATTCGAACGACGCTTCAATGTCGATTACACATATATTGTTGGTCGATGTGTCAGTATAGACGTGCCCGATACACCTTGAAAAATCGTGGGTATATTTAGAGGTTACTACATGTCAGTTTTTATATTATACCCCATATCAAGCCGAGACCCCCTGTCCGCCTGATGGCCTTGAGGTTTGATATAGGGTATGATATGAAAACTGACGTATAATAACCTTTTCATCATATATCATAACATCAAATTGTAAATGTATGATTTGCATGTGAATGCAATACATTTCCACCTTGTTTGGAAGACATCGTCACGGGAAAGCTAGCCGAGCAGACGACACACTAAGGGACGTAACCCTAATTCCTTACCACCCGGCTGATATCTATCGCCGATTCAAAATGTATTGAAATGCCATATCGGCCCGGCAGTGTGTGTAATACGGGTCTGGTTATTACACTCCTGTGATATGACCGTCTCTATGTTGGCTCTATCGCACATGCAAAATGCCTCATATCATTAATAGATATCTGATAACACATTTTATTAGGTAGAGATTCCCAAGACATTCTACAGAGGTACAGTTACGTCACAATACACAAGTTTGTTAATCAAGGAGCCAATCAGCATCTTCTTTTTGTACACAACTGCAACGGAGGATCCTGACACCAGGTGTCCGTCATCAACAAATAGTTCCGTCACTGCGGACACCGTGCCTTGCTTTAGTTTCACCTGTAGGATCTGAATTTAAATTGAAAATTCAAGTCCATGTCAACGTTTATGTGCAAATTATATGTAAAGTCCAAGCCCAAGTCAAAGTTGTATTTAAAATCCATGTCCATGTCCAGGTCCAAGTTCAAGTTGTATTTAAAATCCATGTCCATGTCCATGTCCATGTCCATGTCCAAGTTGTATTTATAATCCAAGTCCAAGTCCATGTCCAAGTACAAGTCCATGTCTATGTCCAAGTCCAAGTTGTATTTAAAATCCATGTCCATGTCCATGTCCATGTCCATGTCCAAGTTGTATTTATAATCCAAGTCCAAGTCCATGTCCAAGTACAAGTCCATGTCTATGTCCAAGTCCAAGTTGTATTTAAAATCCATGTCCATATCCATGTCTATGTCTATGTCCAATTCCAAGTTGTATTTAAAATCCATGTCCATATCCATGTCTATGTCCAATTCCAAGTTGTATTTAAAATCCATGTCTATATCCATGTCCAAGTTGTATTTATAATCCAAGTCCAAGTCCATGTCCAAGTACAAGTCCATGTCTATGTCCAAGTCAAAGTTGTTTTTAAAATCCATGTCCATGTCCATGTCTATGTCCAAGTCCAAGTTGTATTTATAATCCAAGTACAAGTCCATGTCCATGTCCAAGTTGTGTTTATAATCCAAGTCCAAGTCCATGTCCAAGTACAAATCCATGTCTATGTCCAAGTCCAAGTTGTATTTAAAATCCATGTCCATGTCCATGTCCATGCCTATGTCTATGTCCAAGTCCAAGTTGTATTTAAAATCCATGTCCATATCCATGTCTATGTCCAATTCCAAGTTGTATTTAAAATCCATGTCCATATCCATGTCCAAGTTGTATTTATAATCCAAGTCCAAGTCCATGTCCAAGTACAAGTCCATGTCTATGTCCAAGTCCAAGTTGTATTTAAAATCCATGTCCATGCCCATGTCTATGTCCAAGTCCAAGTTGTATTTATAATCCAAGTACAAGTCCAAGTCCAAGTCCAAGTACAAGTCCAAATCAATGTACAGGTCAAAATTGTTGTATCTGAGAAAAATATTTGTTTTATGATTTTTGTGTTTTGGTACAGGATGGAAAGAAATATACATAGCAACCGACGATGTTCAAATGTTGAACCATCCGCGCATCTTATACTAAACAGCACCCTCAAATATATTGACACATGACGTTTATCGACAGTGTTAATCTGCATTTCCTTTTGCATTCTCTTTCTAAATGTAGACGTAACAGGAACAAAAATATTGTTTTGGGAACCACAACAAAAAAAACATACAATCTTGTCCAGTGGAAAACATGAGTCATAAATATGTTTACTAGGAAATTCCTGAAAAAACTTCTGCCACTATCTGATCACGCTGAAATACGTACCGTTTCAAAACATCAATATAAAGATAGCAATATTTACAAACGACGAGTTTAGCTATCCGACAAACTACGACGTCTGAATGACTTCATTCATACCTGAGACGGCGCTTCTAAAGACGGATCTGTCACGTGTTGTGCCATAAGGTGTCCGATTGGATGGAAGGCTACATACAGATCCCCGGATACTGGGTCCTCCATGATATTGTCAGGAAACGTGTGGAAGGCGTATGACTAGAAAAGAAGAAGTACGTTGCATATTGCTTGATACGAAACATCATTACAACGTTGTCTTCCTGTTTTGTTGTCATTGGAGGCAATTATATGAAAGGCATGATCAACCCTTTTTTTGTCTTAAAAATGAAATAGTCGAATTGTTTCCCTTGGTGTTTGTGTTTCGTAGATAATTTTTTTCTTGCTTTTATCTTAACCGCTGAAGAAGTGATTCCGTTGTTATTCAAGCGAGGTGTTTGGCGAATATATTAAGTAACAATAAAGTCATCTATTTGCATACCTGCTTCAAGTTCAAGGAATTATCGTTCCTTCTCTCGTATATCTTTATTTCATGGCCCATGCTGGTAGCGACAAAGACGTATCTGAAACACAACACTTTGACGGCAGGACAACGGAACCCGCGTGGTTGGCAGAATTGTTTTTCGCCAAGCCGAATGGCACGTCTTTTCAAATTTGGAATGAGAAAATAAAAGATACTGATAAAAAACACTATCCATGCACTGTGGATACAGATTTCCTTACTTCGAATCTCATTAAATCACTGTTTTCAACCAATCAGTTTGTAGCACACAATCAGATTGTAAGGGACACGATTTTGCTCTGAGAGTTCTGGCGCCTGACACCAATGGGATACCGAAACCTTAATTGAACAAATGTTTTGTGTTTGTAAGAAACGTTTTGTAGTACCAGTAAGACTATTCATTTAAAGCAGATAATAAAACAAATATTATTTAAAATATATAACAGACCCGTGAAGATCCGGGGTAGAATAGGTCTTCAAAACTAACGGGATCAGTTGGTCAGGCTCGCTGACTTGGTTGATGCATGTCATCAATCTCAATTGTGTGGATCGATGGTCATGATGTCAATTCATGGATTGTCTGGTCAAGACTCAATTATTTACAGACCGCCGTCACATAGCTGGAATATTGCTGAGTGCGGCGATAAACGACAAACAAACAAACAAACAAACAAACTAAAATATATACCATCTATTTAGATAAAAACACCGCAACGAAATATATTTGGAATTAGAAAAAATCAGCACTGTGTAGAAGATGATCTCACTTTCCATCCCGGGACATCTGTATACCGTTGGCCATGATGATTCCATCTGCTACAGTGCGATATCCTTTGCCATCATAGTAGCCTACGTGGGTCCAAGCCATGAAGGACATCATCTCCAGCATACGCCCAATATAGCTGGACGACGAGAAGAAGTTGCTGTAGTAGAAGCTGTCGTCGCCGGTGGCAATGACGTCGTTCAGTCTGGAAATAAACCATGACAGCGTTGATAAGTAAGTTCCGTTTGGGGAATGTCATTGATTTCATGAACGTTTGGGGGTAAGGGTGGCCCAACCCGTTGTGCCGAATTACGTCCCTTGGGTAAGCCAGAAACCTACGATGTTGTTTCGAATCCCGGTTCGACCCGATTATGTTTCTAGGTTTGTAAGCACTATAGCCGAACCGTGCTCGTGGGTTCACCAAAGAGCTAAACATCTGAGGCCTGCATTACTTCGGACTTTCCCCCATCGGCTGACACGCCTTGATATAACTGGAATACTGTTCAAAGCGGCATTAAAACCTAACTTACACACTCTCTCACTGTTCACAATGGCGTTACACCCCACTCAATCAATAACTCATGAACCGTTTGTTAACATGTTCATATCTCTCAACAGGAAATAGAAGAGTTTTTAATTCGATTGGGGTGTTCATGTTAAACTGCGGCACTATTGGCTATTTCAAATCCCTTAAACGAAGAAAGAAAGGTTGGATAGGATTAATGGTGGACGGCAAGTTACTCCAATATTTTAAACGCGACTGTAACGTATGTCAGAAGAAAGCCAGGTCGTCTTAAATAGAAGATTGCGTACGTCCACTGCAAACTTCGCTTCGCGCTTACTGTTTTATAGTTGGATCTCCGTAGTAGGATTTCAGATGCTGAAGAGAACGCTTGGCCACAGACACCAGGAATTTCTCTATTCTCTCCTCTCCATCTCGCTCGTGATTAGTAGCATACAGGTACAATTTACCTGAAAGCAAAATACTTTACATAAGAAGATATCCATACCTTTGCAGATCATTCTTCACACATTCGAGCAGTCTTTCACCTAACACACATTGTGTGTCATGCATAACACTGTCACATCAAAACTGGACACCTCACCTGCAGGACTGATAACAGCAAGAAGTGTCCCTGAAGAACTGAATACACATTCTAAGTGTCCCTGAAAAACTGATATAACAGATCTAAGTGTCTCTGGAGGACTGATAACACCAATAAGTGTCTCTGAAGGACTGATGACAGCTCTACATGTTCCGTAAAGAAATGATAACAGCTCTCAGAGTCACTGAAAGTCTGATAACAGCTCTGAGTGTCTCTGAAGGACTGGTTACAGCTCAAAATGTTCCATGAAGAAAGGATAACAGCTTTCAGTGTCCCTGAAAGACTGATGACATCTTTAAGTGTCCCCGAAGGACTGATAACAGCTCTTAGTGTCCCCGAAGGACACATGGAAACTTAAAGTGTCTTTGAAGAACTAATAAAACAAGAACCGAAAGCATCACTGATACCCCCGCTACATCCAATACAGCATACTAAACCCTATCAGCCCACCTGCTTTCTTGTCCTCCCACACACTGATACCATGGGGCTGAAACCTGTCCTTGTCGAACTCCTTGGTGGAGGTCAGGTTCATCTCCTGGACGTTCTTCTTGGGGTCGTTCATGTCGAACAGATAGATCGTGCCCTTGCCCTTGTTCTCGGAGTAGAACTTGTCAAAGGCTGCTGAGTTGGCTTTCATCCTAAACCCCTGGAAGCAATCAGCTCGCTTTTATTACGCATCAGCAGAGCTATGCTCGCACATTCCTACTGCCTCCTCATTCCTACGAGGTCAACTTTATTGGATTGAGTTCATTCGCTACTCACTAATTTGCTTCATGAATAGTTATTTAATCAAATCAATTTTATTGTTAATAAAGAATATGTCTTCCTTTGGAAATAATCAAAATTTGTTCCATAATCAAACTGCAATCATAACGACATCTCCTGTTATTGTGGCATATTCTCTTCAAACCCTAATCTTAATACAGTAAACTACGGTTATAACGAACTCAAAGGGACCACAAATTTTAGTTCGTAATAACCGTAGTGCGTTATAAGATTGTATATACAGCATATATACAACAAATGGCCGGGACTAAAAATTAAGTTCGTTATATCGGTCAGTTCGTTATTAGCGTGTTCGTTATAAACGTAGTTTACTGTAACCAGACAATCGTAGGTATTGGGCAACTGTGGGCATGGCGTAATGTTGATGGCTTTGGCGTATATCACATGAATCTTACATCTCCATATCGCGACCACGTTCTGAATTGTTTGTAAAGCAATTCATTTTCAGTTTATTGGTATGAATGTTACAGGGAGTGCTGAAGTTCGCCAAAAGATATCATAATATGTGTTTAAGAAAAGGATAATCCCATAGGCAATATGAAAAGGTCACTTCTTTAAAAGCTTGCTTATAATATATAATTTCCTAATACTCACCGATGAAATGAATACGATACCATTGTCCATCAAGTGCATGTCTTCAGAGCCAATACCTGATAATCATTATAATCATACATAATCAAAATACATTAACATAAATTGAATGATGCAGTGCATGAATCGTTTCCCGTTTCAAGTATTTGCATGTCACACAACCCCTCTAGTGCTTCTTGTTAACGGCGACTATATTAGGTCGGGTGGTCAGGTTCGGTGGCTTTGTTGATTGCAACTCATCGTATCCCGACGGCGTGGGATGTTGCTCATAATATCAACCACTAATTTGTCTGATCCAGACTCGACTATTTACGAGCAGCAGTGATAAAGTACGAATATTGCTGATTGCAAACAAAACAAGCATTACGTAAACGGGGCATTGTCTGCTTCGTAGGATGATGAACTTTGGTATGTACCAAGAATTGCCGAGAGCTAGGCTTAAGGCATCTTCCCGAGGCAAGGGAGTTAACTGATTTTAGTTTAGTCCAGTTTCCACCCTTTCCGAACTAGGCTGGAATTCCTGGGCTCGATCGTAGTGCCAGGTTATTACGAGTTATGTCCCTTCTAAGCCTCTCCTATGGACCAATCACATTCCACCTCTTGTATCACTTGATTTGTTTCAAACAAAATGGCGGCGCCCAGTCAAGACGATGTGATCGATAATCAAGATCCATATTGTGATAAAACGGGTCATACATGGCGAAGTGCATCAAATCTTATGAGCACCTTGTTTCAAAAAACATGAACAGACAAAATATCTGTTGACAACGAGTTGGCGGTGCACATGCTTTACAAATCCTGCAATCGACCGAAATCTGCACGACCATTTACTGACCGGATTTCGATTTCGTTTCGCGAATTTGATTGGACTATGCATAGACTCGTTAGTCCAGCCAAACTCCATAATACCAGCCTAGTTCGGCAAGGGTGGGAACTGGACTTTTATAGTCAGTTAACTCCCTTGCCTCGGGAAGATGGGTTTAAGGAGAGTAAGTACAAAAGCAGCTGACCCATTCCTTGCACCTGGTGGCAGGGGCCGGGGTAGTGGTTGAAGATATGTTTGCTGTAACCCATCTTGAAACTGAAATGATATAAAAAAGACAAAAAGTTATAAAACATATTGCTCAAGTTTTCTTTAGTCTTTTAATGGGACTATTTATTCAGCATTGTCGGTGGGGAGTGATTGTGTGTGGGTTTGGCATTTTTTTGTCAGCTTTATGTGCCAAGAAAACTACGTTTTAACGGGGCCAAGGATCACTTTCTGTGATCTTAGCACTCAGACGGTCACAACTCCCATTCTTTATTATCGACACTAAATTCATGCAAATTGTGTGGTGGTGGGGGCTACAGGTAGAACAGAACAATCGGCATGCTTACCCTTTACGCGAACACCTGGTGTCAACACTGATTTCCAACTGGAAACTGGACTTTTAAAATCAGTTAACTCCCTTGCCTCGGGAAGATGAGTAGCGGACGTCATTCATGGACTTCACCTCTGTACCCAGGTTGGCCATCGGCCCGAGATGTGATTGACTACTAGCCCAAAAGCAATACGAGTATGAAAGCCCTAATCAAAATGTTCTGGAGATGTGTTTGCGATTTGTAGGATAAGTGAGCGCCATGTTAACCACGGGTTTAACTTCATGCCTATGATAATGTTATAAGATAAAACTGCAGCCTTTGATGTCTCAGACACGGAAAGGCAATTCGCATAGGCAGCTTCTAGCGGATCTCGTTGGGAACCCCCAAGCCAACAATAACATGGAGGGAGATTTGATATGGACAGTCTGAGGAATACTTACTAGAACTTGACGGCGTATTGAAGCACCAGCAGCGCCAGTACACTGATCACTATGGTCTTTGCGTACATCTTGAACCTGGACGAAAATACAGTTGTGTTAAACCACGTATACACTGCCATTAATATCGGTGTCCATGTATACGGTTTCGTTAACGGTTTCGCTGGGACATCCATCTCGTTTTCCAAAACGCAAAAAGTTTTCATTTTGGATACAGATACATGTATTTAACATTTGTGTATTTAACATTACATGTATTTAATTCAATTTAGCGCGGTTAAATCTACAGGCAACCAAGCTCTACATTGAAAACACAGTATGTTTACCTCCTAAATGAACAAACAAGGGTATATCGAAACAGCAGTAATCATAACACGATGTTGTTCAGCGAACCTTATGCTATCAATCACTGATTGGTTGATGCATGTTATTGTATCCCATTTGCGTAGATTGATGCTTATGATATCAATCACTGGATTGTCTGGTCCAGACACGATTATTTACAGACCGCCGTCATATAACAGGAATATTGCTGAGTGTGGCCGTAAATCATTTTTGTTTCACACAATAGTTTTTTTTCGTTTTTTTTAGATTATTTTACATGCTCCGTTGATAAAAGTGAGTCCGGCGTTAAACATTTTTGTTGCATACAATAATATTATTTGTTATGTATATGATATTCAATTTATATTCCTTCGATCTAACACAACACATCGTCCAAATTAAATCCAGCATAAAGTAAGTCACCGTTATGCTTATAGTATGACATTATTAACAATATTTTCACTTGACAAAAACATTCAAATAAGGAAAGTATAAACTATAAAATAAATATTTATATACAAGTTAGTTTACGTGAAAGCTGACGCGCATTAATGAGTATGAAACACTCTCGGGTATGAGTAACTGACATTCATGCACAGACGTGGATTATGTTGTTACGTGCTCTGCGCGCATACACCAACTGACTCCACATTCTGAATTCCGAGTTACGCGTTAAAATTCGTTAAATCCATGTTCACACGCGCCCGTGCTGTCAGTGGTAAATACAGTTTAAAAAGTACTGAACAGAACAAAGCTACTGCCAGTTTTAAAAAGCCACATGAGGAAGCAAGTCCGCCTACAGATGCGAAAGAGGTGTAGGGGTGAAGGGGTTGGATTGGGTTGGGTGTGGGGGTGTGGGTAGATTGTAGCGAGGAGGGATTTTGAGATCACTGAGGGTTTGGTAGATACTAATCTAACTTCTAGCCTCTGAAATGATACAATTTACAGTAAAAACTGTTGTCCAATACTAGTTATAAAATATAATTAAAGGGAGCAATGAGACTTTCTTCATTTTCAGATACTGCAGTAATCTGGACTTGACAAATATTTTAGACTTGTATGGGCTATATGACAGACTAGGTAGATACGTTAATGCTTTGTGGACAATGATTTAGTTTTTTGAGTGATGTAACAATATTTGATTGCGGTGGTTACAATATCATTGACATGGCTTCTTTCGGGGAACAGTTACATACGATGAAGTATAACATGTCAAAACATCCTTGATATCAATTGATGCATGTTCATGGTATTCTTAAGAGACTACTTGTGTCTTTCCAGAATGTGACTGACTTTTTTTATAAGTCTTGCACTGTCAACAGTACATCAGCGGGTTTAACATGTTGATGGTGTTTATGATGATTGTTTGGTTTCCTCGAGTAGATGGACACGAAATAGAGACGTGGAGCTCCGTCTCGAACTGCATGATAAACAAGCAAACCCACCGACCCCAAACATTAAATGGCTTGTCCATAGTGCCTGTCTCCCAAAAAACACACACTAACACTAACACTAACACTAACACATGCACATACACACACTCGTGCGCACACACATAGACACACAGACGCACACACACCTCCCTAACTACTACAAGTACTTGAAGCACCTACCAGTGGGAGAAGGGTCCTCCTTGCTATAAATCAAAGAGACAAATGTGTTTTTCTTTATATAGCCCTACAAACAGCAAATCACCAAGAGACATCAAGTCCCTTATTCTGACTCGACAAAAAAAACAACACTTTGGAAACACCCCGTGACATAGCGTTAACAGACTAACCCACGCTACAGGTTACAAACACGACCCTTTCATTGGTGTTATCTACGGTATGGGTAGTGGCGCAGTAAACACAACCCTCTCCTCTATTTGTCGACCACGCATAGTCCCGTGCTGAACTAGGTCCATGACACTCTATTGCTTGCAGTAAGAGACGATGGACAGACAGGATCGGGTGGTCGGGCTACCCTGATGACGTGAATCGTTGCTCATAGCTTCAGCCACTGGTTTAATTGATCCACATTGGAGGACCCCTCCCCCTTTTGAAATCTTAATGTAGTATGTTTATAAAAATGACTGAGAGGATTTAGATATTTTGGACCCCTTCCTTTTAAAAATGCTTGATCCACTCTTGATCCAGATTCAGTTATTGACTATTGCGAGTTTGACGTTAAATATTCACTTATTCACATTTACATGGTTGGTTTGTGATGACTGACCCTGCCTCCATGCCATCCAGATCTGCACTACTACACTTAATCCTATCCCCACCCTGCTCAGGTACCCCACCCCAAAACGAGAGTACAAGCCTTTGTTTCAAACGCTCGAATTTCGAATGATCATGCGCAATCAGTGAGGAAAACATGGAGCTTCACGTCGCGTTGAAGATCATGGCACTTATATACATCGATGCGGGCGTGTGTGTGCCTGCGTGCTGGACCGAACTAGTTGGTTTTATAGTGGTAGCCCACTGATATACCATACGGTAGTTTAACATGAATACCCTACACATTATGTCGTCTCCGAGGTACTTATCCTTGTTTCATTCCTTAAAGGGGAAGTGTACACGCAAAAATCACTTTCTTTCTTTTTCTAAACAAAACGCAATTTTAGAATTAATTAGTATCTGTGTTTGAAAATATACACTCATTTCTTTCACAGTGAAAGTAGGAAGCTCACAATAGTGTGAAAATGATATGCCGATATGAGGCCTTCGTTTTTCGAGCTAAACAGGCCTGAGTTATCCCCCTTAGATTATGACGTAATTGGTGCCAATTCAACTGGATCCCTGTCTATTCTCAACGCAAAAGATATCAAGTACCAGTTTTCGGTAAAACAACATGGCCTACGACACACTCCGGCGCAGTGGTGACTCAGCATAACACTATGCTGGCTGGCATCTGAGACGCTAGAATCACACAGCTGTACCTACACCACGTGAAGCGGCTCTAACATAGCATGATGACGTCATAATGTTTATCAATTGGCACCAATGACGTCATATTGCAAGGGGCATAAGCCATGGTGTTTTTGTTGTGGAAAGAGAACACTTGGTAAATGTGAAAAATATAAATCGTTTTAATGCGAAAAATATGTTAATTAATTGTGATATTTTTATATTTTTGTCTATGACACTTCTATGTTAACACTTTTAATGTGGAAAAAGTACAAGAAAAATAGGTTCATTTCCGTGTGAACTTGCCCTTTAATGCAGTGCGCCAGGCAGGGTAAGCTTCTTTTGGTATGACGCGGCCGGGGCATTTTGGCATCGAACCACCGATCTTCCTAGACAACGGAAACGTCCCACGCACTGTCGGTTTATACTAATATTTGCAAACCACACGAAGTCACATGGATGACAAATCAAATTTGGCATCAACGTTTACCCAAATATCAGCACGTCATGTTTTCGATAACCTGTATATCTCCTATTCCCGGTATAGTCTGCGACCTGTCCTCGTGGTAGTCCGAGTCATTCCGATTCACTTCTGTATAAACAGGAATTATCTTGCTTTTGAAAGGGTGGGGTTGACCGAGTTTGCCCTAAGCAAACAAAGAGCAGCCATACACTCCATGTACTTCCTACGCAGGCAAAGAGGGGATTCCGTTTTAGAATGGGTCCCCAACAATGTATGCTGTGCTAGTGGAGGCCTCCTGCATGTACACATGGGCCTCACTTGTGTCATCTTCCCGAGGCAAGGGAGTTAACTGACTGTAAATGTCCAGTTTCCACCCTTGCCGAACTAGGGTGGAGTTTAAAAGTTATATTTTGGCTGGACTAACGAGTCTATGCATAGTCCAATCAAAATCGGTTAACGAAATCGACATCCGGTTCCGAAAATTTGTACCGCCAAATTAGCGTCAACATATATATTCCAAATATGTTCATGTTTTTAATCAAGGTGCGCATGTGATTTGATGCACTTCGCAAATAAGACCCGTTTTATTACAATAAAGATCGTGATTTTGCAAGCGATGAGAGGTGGAATCTGATTGGCCAATAGGAGGGACGTAGAAGGGACATAATGATAATAGACACTGGTGGCGCTTCGGTCGACCGCCGGCTGGAGTTATTGCCCTTATCAAAGGGAAGCTACTCCAGACGATGAAGCATTTAAGCTGGTTCCTGCTGTCACTCGTCCCGGCGTTTAATCGGGCTGACGCCGGAATCCAGCGAATGGTTGAAGCACTGCATGGTATTGATGTTGAAGACGACGAGGCGCCTTGTGGCTCAGAAGAGACCACTCAGACCGCGCAGATCGTGGCGAAGAAAACCAACACATGTGCATGTTTTTACCTTATACCGAAGCAGGATAATGTACAAGTGCAAGCCATGAGAGAGATGGGTCAGTCGGGACATCAAAACCCATTGCAGGAATGGAAAGCGGAAGGGTCCTTTTCTTCCTGAGGGACGGCAGTCTGTCTTAGATTTAACAGTGATTTTTGAAACCCACTGTAAGCTTATACATAATTGTGCATTGTGCTGTGAACCCTCTCATAGAGCGGCAAAACACAGGTCACCTTTGGGACAAAGTAAAATTTGCCAGCAAAAAATAGTCCCAGTCAAAGGTCATAGAAGGACACAAGAGTAGTCCCCTGACCCTCCATGCATGGACAAATACTGTGATAGAGTATCTTTTACATGGCGTTATGTAGATAGCTTCTCTAAGATGTGAGGACACTAGTTAGAAAAAACATCGTTCTACATGCGAGTGTCGGGACAAGGTGGAAAAGCAATTGTGGGCGGAGATCCAGCACGGCGATTATGTGTTAAGAAACCAACTGTTGTTTCAGCCTCAGGGGCTGTGTCGAAAGACGATGAAAGCATTAATTTTGCTTAATACTCGATGCTAGTTTAGTTTCTGTTGGCGATTTGAATTCAGATGTTTGTGATAAATATTGCTCTTACAGGAATCTCGACGCCGCCTGTGAGAGAAATAAGCTAGCATCTTACTTATCGAGGGACCCCTGAAGATCCGGGTAGAGAATAGGTTTTCAGTAACCAATGCATGCTGTAAGAGGCGGCTGTGCTTGTGGTGAGAGGCGATTGACGTGTATGGGTGGTCCGGCTCGTCGACTTGGTTGATGCATGTCATCGTATTCCATTTGCGTAGATCGATGCTCATGATCTCAGTTACTGGATTGTCTGGTCAAGACTCAATTATTTACACACCGCCGTCATACAGCTGGAATATTGATAAGTGCAGCGTTAAACAACAAACGAACAAACTAAGCGAACGTGGAATTGAAAAATGCCTACAGATTAATAAACATTAAGAATGAAAACTATAATTTGAATGGCCTTGCCTGGAAGTTTAAGGGTGACGATCAATTAACGTATCTCTATGACAAGAAACTACCCTTCGGTTGTGCAAAAGCGCCACAGATTGCCAAGTGCTGCAGTCCGTAGCATTATGCATTCGTGATATGGAATAACTGTGATTTCCTACCTTGATCATTTCCTTGTGACAGAGGAGAGATTATGAGATGTGTTTACAAGGATTGAATTTGTTATTAGATGTTCTTCTATATAAGTTGGGAAAAGGTTGAGGGACCTCGTCAGAAAGCTTGGGGGTAATGGTTATTATGTTTGGGGGTAATGGTTATTCTGTTTGGGGGTAATGGTTGTTCTGTTTGGGGGTAATGGTTATTCTGTTTGGGGTAATGGTTATTCTGTTTGGGGGTAATGGTTATTCTGTTTGGGGGTAATGGTTATTCTGTTTGGGGTAATGGTTATTCTGTTTGGGGGTAATGGTTATTCTGTTTGGGAGTAATGGTTATTCTGTTTGGGGTTATGGTTATTTTGTTTGGGGTTATGGTTATTCTGTTTGGGGGTAATGGTTATTCTGTTTGGGGGTAATATGGTTATTCTGTTTGGGGTAATGGTTATTCTGTTTGGGGGTAATGGTCATTCTGTTTGGGGTAATGGTTAGTCTGTTTGGGGGTAATGGTTATTCTGTTTGGGGTAATGGTTATTCTGTTTGGGGGTAATGGTTATTCTGTTTGGGGGTAATGGTTATTCTGTTTGGGGTAATGGTTATTCTGTTTGGGGTAATGGTTATTCTGTTTGGGGGTAATGGTTATTCTGTTTGGGGGTAATGGTTATTCTGTTTGGGGTAATGGTTATTCTGTTTGGGGGTAATGGTCATTCTGTTTGGGGTAATGGTTATTCTGTTTGGGGGTAATGGTTATTCTGTTTGGGGTAATGGTTATTCTGTTTGGGGTAATGGTTATACTGTTTGGGGGTAATGGTTATTCTGTTTGGGGTAATGGTTATTCTGTTTGGGGATAATGGTTATTCTGTTTGGGGGTAATGGTTATTCTGTTTGGGGGTAATGGTTATTCTGTTTGCAACACCTTCTCTTTGCGGCTGGGAAAATTTCTTCCGAGTAACGGTTTCTATTTTTTTCAGCAGCCCACTAAATAAAGTAAACAGTCCCCTCGTCCCAGAGGAATGATACCCAGACCGTCCTTTTAGAAGGTCTTCGCAATTTACTTCTCCAATGTTGCCTGTACATTTGCAAAAGGCCTGTTAAGCCCTTGACTTCAGGTATCTTAGACTTTTATTTTGTCAATAAAAAGCTATGTATTTATTGCGTTTATTTATTTATTTTCTTAGTGTGTGTGTGTGTGTGTGTGTGTGTGTGTGTGTGTGTGTGTGTGTGTGTGTGTGTGTGTGTGTGTGTGTGTGTGTGTGTGTGTGTGTGTGTGCATTTACATCAACAGGAATGAACACCTGGTTAATCAAAGCAGAAACGTTTACTTTCGGCAATAGGAGCAACATATATTATATGCTTTGTTTCTCGGATCAGCTTAAAGTATCATAAAGGGATAAAAAGTTTGTAATGTTCTTGAAAGAACTAAATAAACAAAATACAGCCAAAACAGTATCTTCTTTGTGCTGACTTAAAACTGTTGTCATGAATGTTTGTGTTATTAGAGTGAATAACGGGGCGTGTATTAAACATTATTATACCATGAACCCCTGTCATTTCAGCTCTGTGAATGAAATGACCAGGTTTGTTTCACCAGACAGTCATTGAACATGGAGAGCCAACCCGCTCAAACTTTGCACGGTCCACGGTAAGGCTTCCTGGTTACTTGCATGTGCGAATAAACGTTACAACCACGTTTTTCATTGATCGGGTACAACCAAGGAAAATGCTTCCGAAAGTGTACATAACAGAAATGAAGAAAATCGCGCAACAGACATGATTGAAGCTGGACAATCACAGAATGTTATTGCCAGATACTTTGGTAATCTGAAAGCGTCAAACCGCGACTGATGGAACGATATCGGCTCAATTAGGGTGGGTAGGGGAATGCCTAGAGTGAGTGAGTATGGTTTTACGCCGCTTTTAGCAATATTCCAGCAATATCACAGCGTGGGACACCAGAAATGGGCTTCACACATTGTACCCATGTCGAGTCTTCGGCGTGACGAGCGAACGCTTTAATCACAAGGCTACCCGACCGCCCCGGGAATGCCTAGAAAGACTACTCTTGGGCAGGATCGATATGCACGCACCGCAGCCTTGATGAACATATTCATTCCTGCACCAGAACTGTGGGACAACTTCAGGGTTGCCAAAGGAACCCGACTTAGGACGTCAACAATACGAAACAGGTTGGAAACGTCTGGTCTGAAATCAAGACGTACTTTCAGAGGAATGCGTCTGACTGTGGCACATGAGCGCCTCAGAAGACAATGCTGTGTACAGCTGCACAGGATGCACGTGCAGTAACACATTGCACGTCCATAGGCCCCCATCAATGACGTCATATCGCATGGCACGTGCATGAGCTTTTGAATGTCTCCAATAATTGCTATGTTCAAACCTATATTTCATATATGGACGGTGTGCCCTTATATCTATATTTTCTCCGTGCACAGTTTCTTAATGTGGCTAGTATAGTTCTGAAACAAACAAAATGTGACACACTCTCATTAACCTTTATTCTAACTGAAAATGGAGGTATTCATAAAGCAGTTTAAAGATAGACTTCAGTGGAAGTGATCATTCAGAATATTTGAGCACTAGTGACTCACCTTGAAAAGGGAACATCGAGTTAAGGGCTTTTCTTAGCATAGCTAGATGACTGGGCCAGTACTCATTCGTCTGAAGACGGCCTGTAGTGTTAATGACCACATCTCCCCCAGGGAGGAATAACCCCGCCCCCTCCTCCACTCGATAAGTGTTCGAAAATTGAGCATGAAAGTCAAGGGGTCCTTGTCAAAACCCTAACATTTAACATTAGCGATTGAGGGGGTCCCTAGATTGAAGTACTGATGGAGCAAACCTCCTTGAGATTCGCGCTTTCCCCCAACCTCACACCACCCACACAATACTGTCCAAATAACATGGGGTTTCAATACGTTTATCAACGGTTAATATATTCAATCAAGACTGTAATGCCCAATTGCAGCACACATTGCTGTGATGCAAGTACATGTAGTTGCTGTCCCAAACAATGCTTGCAGGACGTACGATGAAACATGTAACTCCCAGGACTCAGAATGTCGGCGCAAGAGCCCTTTCAAGGTGACCATTGTTGTTGATTTATCTCTGCGAGCCAGTTCCCGCGAGAGGATTCAACGAGATTGTAGGAGCGCCTCGGTGTAACACCTCGACAAGTGACAAGTGTTTGCGAGCCATCGGTGCTACTCAAAGCATGACTATTAGCTCATAATTCTTTACATGTATGTAAGATATAGTTTGCATGATGATGTTATGAATGAAGGTGACTGACATAAATTGTGAAAGTGTCACCCTATAGTGTTGACCTACAGCATCACTGGTGTTGTCCTACAGTGTCACCATAGCAATGTCCAACAGTGATGTACTACAGTATCAGATTACCATGATGTCCTACAATTATGTTGTTAGCTTACTGTGACTTCCTACAATGTTGCCATACACTGTTAACTTAATGTAATGATCTTCAGCATTACCACATAGTTGTATCCCCTAGTGTTGCCTTACAGTGATTCAGTCGCATGATAATCTACCGTGTTACACCTAGTACTGCCCTACAGTGAAATACAACAGTGGTTGTTACCTCCAGGTGTGGACTCTTTCTTGGGACCATGTTACTCTTAATTACCATGACGTTTGCCATAACCAAAATTACCCTTACATTTATGTACAGGATCCTGTGGGGATAACAGAAATCTGAAATGCTTCTGTGTGGCAAAGAAATTGGTTCAGGTGGTCGACACAGGGACTTACTGATTATGTGCAATTGTACCCTTAAGATGTGAGCATGGCCCATAATATATGAGCACCTATATATTGATGTGTGTCCCAAAACAAATACAAATAGTATCTTCTTCTGGGTGAAGTGTGTTTCTGCACTTTTTATTGTCTCTATTAAGCACTTGCCTTCAGGACTGTTTTTATATCACTCACAGTTGCATCATGAACAGCCCCACAACAAATACTTTACTCAACATGATTTTATCATCAGACAAACAACCATGCCGAAGCAGTATGTAGATACATTCTCCAAACTCTCTCACTGCTGATGTACCGATTGTTTTGTCACCTGTGTTATTCTGTACATTCACATCAACTCCAGCCTTCAACAACAGTATATATATTATGAAATCTCAACTGTCGCTACACGTTTTTTTCTCTCTTCACCAACTCATCCACACACCCTCTTGACCAACTTGTAGCTGCTCCATGAAGTGATGTGTCACCAGCGTTATTTTGTACATTCACATCAGCTCCAAGCTTCACCAACTCATTCACACACCCTTTTGACAAATTTGTAGCTGCTCTATGAAGTGGTGTGTCACCAGCGTTATTTTGTATATTCACATCAGCTCCAAGCTTCACCAACTCATCCACACACCCTTTTGACATATTTTTAGCTGCTCTATGAAGTGGTGTGGCACCATTCACATCAGCTCCAAGCTTCACCAACTCATCCACACACCCTTTTGACAAATTTGTAGCTGCTCTATGAAATGGTGTGACACCATTCACATCAGCTCCAAGCTTCAAAAACACAACAATCTCTTTCAACTCTATTTCTACTGCTCCATGAAGTGGTGTGTCACTGTTTCTATTCTGTACATTCACATCTACTCCAGCCTTCAGAAACACATCAACATTCCTTAGACAAGCTTGTTGCTGCTGTGTGAAGTGCTGTGTCATCTGTCTTGTTGTAAGCGGCAACTAACAGGATCGGGTGGTCAGGCTTGCTGACTTGGTTGATGCATGTCATTGTATCCCAATTGTGTAGATCAATTTTTACAGACCGCCGCGATACAGCTGGAATATTACTGAGTGTGGCATTAAATGACAAACAAACTCATTCTGCCACTTTTTGTAAATTTTACAATATATTGTATCTTTATAATACTATCCTATCTCAAACTATGCATTTCTCTTCCTAAATGGAAACCTGTCCAGGCAAAAGGTTTCCAGCTTCTTAAAAAACAATTTACTCAAACACACCAAGCATCACTATGGCCACACCCCAGCAATCTCAGTCATGCATGCTTTTCTTGTCAGTTGAACAATGCGCGCTGAACACGTTTCCCCAACAAACTCATTCACTTTCTAATCGGCATGTTTCCATTTAGGAATGAAAGAAGAAAGTGAAATGCATAGTGTGAAAAAGGATAAGTTTAAAAATAATTATTTTAATGTTTCATTACATCTTTGCACATTGAACTGAGAACAATTCTTTTTCTGAACAGCAAATCAGTTCAAGCTTTCAACAACACATCAAAACATTTCTTCTTATTCCCCCTCATTTCTGCACTATGGAAAGGTGTGTTGTAGTCATGTCACGACTATTCAATATCGTGGACTGTGGATTGGTTGAACACAATAGATCATACAACACTGTACTTTATTAGTTAGACAAAATAAACCTTCTGCAACTTGGTTTACATGGTAAATGTATTCATTGTCCTGATGGAGTGACCTGAACATTCGAGATCGTTTGACATTGTCTTGTTCTAGACATTGGTAGATCAAAGGAATATATCACCTGTATAACTGATACATTGCCTTTAAAATTAAATATTATTCAAGAAATCCAAGTAGTATATGTTGAACTAGACAAAAATAAGGAGTAATATAACAATAAGAATTTGCAACCCGACAATAGTCATGAGGTGGTTGGTTGATGAAAACAGTTATTGTCAATGTAATATCTTAAATGACAACACACTTTTGTTTTCTTCTTCTTCTTCTAAAGAGCAAATCAGCCTGAGCCTTCACCAACTCATCATCCCACTCTTCAGGCCAACATGTTGCTCCTGAAGGAAGTGGTGTGTCACCGGCGTTATTCTGCACATTCACATCAGCTCCAGCCTTCACCAACTCTTCCACACACCCTTTTGACCGACTTGCAGCTGCTGTATGAAGTGGTGTGTCACCGGCATTATTCTGCACATTCACATCAGCTCCAGCCTTGACCAACTGATCCACACGCCCTTTTGACCGACTTGCAGCTGCTGTATGAAGTGGTGTGTCCCCTGTTGTATTTTGTGCATTTACATCAGCTCCAGTCTTCACCAACACCTCGACCCCCTCTGCAGACAAATGTGCTGCTGATATGTGAAGTGGTGTGTCACCTGCATTATTCTGTACATTTACATCACCACCACCCTTCAGCAAGTCACCAACACACTTAAAAGACCGATGTAGCATTGCTATGTGAAGTGGTGTGTTACCTGCATTATTCTGTACTTTCACATCAGCTCCAGCCTTCAGCAACACTTCAAAACACTCTTTAGACTGACTTATGATTGCTCCTCGAAGTGGTGTGTCACCTGTTTTATTCTGTACATTCACATCAGCTCCAGCCTTCACCAACACATCAACACTCTCTTTTGACCGACTTGTAGCTGCCATATGAAGTGGTGTGTCACCTGTAGTATTCTGAATATTCACATCAGCTCCACTATTCAACAGCACATCAACACATTCTTTGATCTGACTAATGATTGCTCTTTGAAGTGGTGTGTCACCTTCTTTATTCTGTGCATTCACATCAGCACCAGCCTTCACCAACATATCAACACACTTAAAAGAAGGACGTAGGGTTGCTATGTGAAGTGGTGTATCACCTTCTTTATTCTGTACAGTTACATCACCACCAGCCTTCAGCAACACATCAACACACTTAATAGACCGATGCAGTGTTGCTATGTGAAGTGGTGTGTCACCTGTTTTATTCTGTAAATTCACATCAGCTCCAGCCTTCACCAACACATCAACACTCTCATCTGACAAATGTGCTGCTGCTCTGTGTAGTGGTGTGTCACCTGTAGTATTCTGAATATTCACATCAGCTCCAGTATTTAACAGCACATCAACACTTTCTTTAGACTGACTAATGATTGCTTCATGAAGTGGTGTGTCACCTGCATTATTCTGTGCATTCACATCTGCTCCAGAGTTCATCAAGACATCAACACACTCTTTAGGCCAATGTGCTGAGGCTGTATGAAGTGGTGTTTCACCTGTTTCATTCAGTTTATTCACATCAGCTCTGACCTCTAGTAACACGCCATCACACACCTTTGACAGAGTTTTAGTTACTAAATGAAGTGGTGTGTCACCTGTGTTATTCTGTACATTTGCATCAGCTCCAGCCTTCATAAACACATCAACACACTCTGTAGACTGACTTATGATTGCTCTATGAAGTGATGTGCCACCTGCAGTATTCTTTGCATTTACATCAGCTCCAGCCTTCAGCAACACATTAATACACTTAGTAGAGCAATGTAATGTTGCTGTGTGAAGTGGTGTGTCACCTTCTTTATTCTGTGCATTCACATCAGCACCAGCCTTCACCAATACATCAACACACTTAATAGAAGGATGTAGGGTTGCTATGTGAAGTGGTGTGTCACCTTCTTTATTCTGTGCATTCACATCAGCTCCAGCCTTCACCAACACATCAACACTCTCATCTGACAAATGTGCTGCTGCTCTGTGTAGTGGTGTGCCACCTGTAGTATTCTGAATATTCACATCAGCTCCAGTATTCAACAGCACATCAACACTTTCTTTAGACTGACTAATGATTGCTCTTTGAAGTGGTGTGTCACCTTCTTTATTCTGTGCATTCACATCAGCTCCAGCCTTCAGCAACACATTAATACACTTAGTAGAGCAATGTAATGTTGCTGTGTGAAGTGGTGTGTCACCTTCTTTATTCTGTGCATTCACATCAGCTCCAGCCTTTAGCAACTCATCAACAAACTGTTTAGACTGACTTATCACTGCTCTATGAAGTGGTGTGTCACCTTTTTTATTCTGTGCATTCACATCAGCTCCAGCCTTTAGCAACTCATCAACAAACTGTTTAGACTGACTTATCACTGCTCTATGAAGTGGTGTGTCACCTGCAGTATTCTGAACATTCACATCAGCTCCAGCCTTTAGCAACTCATCAACAAACTGTTTAGACTGACTTATCACTGCTCTATGAAGTGGTGTGTCACCTGCAGTATTCTGAACATTCACATCAGCTCCAGCCTTTAGCAACTCATCAACAAACTGTTTAGACTGACTTATCACTGCTCTATGAAGTGGTGTGTCACCTGCAGTATTCTGAACATTTACATCAGCTCCAGCTGTCAGAAGAACATCAGCACACTCAAGGAATCCGAAATTTGCTGCTGTATGAAGTGGTTTGTCACCTGCCTGGTTCTGTACGTTTGCATCAGCTCCAGCCTTCAGCAATACATCAACACGTTGTTTGTATCCCCATTCTACTGCCTTATGAAGAAATGTGTGTCTATCAAATGATTTCTTGTTCCTTGTTGCACTGTTTTCAAACAACTTCTTGACAACATCAGGGTTTCCCCTTTCACATGCTACAAAAATATCATTTCTTTCAACATGAGCCCCTCTGTCTAAGAACAATGTCACCATGTCAATCATGTCGCTTCCAATTGCACAAAGCAGGCCCTTGTGATTGTCACTGTCACATCCTCTTTTCAAGAGAAGTTTCACTACCTCAGTGTGTCCATTTTGTATTGCCAAATACAGGGGCATTTGCTGAAATGCCATCTGCACATTCAATTCAACACCCTTGTCAATGACATACTCTACAGCAGATGTTAGGCCATTTTCACAAATATAATGAAGGACAGACTTATCCCGTCTGTCTGCAGCATTTAGATCAGGATTCAAAGACAGAATCTGCTCAACAAAACTGCTGTTTTTTGTTCCTGCTGCAATCATTATTGGTGTTTGATGATCTAACCCATACCGAGTGTCTATATCACAGTGCATGTGTTCATTCATATATGTCAACACATTGCCAGCAGCATTCCTGCACACCCCAAGTAAAATTTCTTTAATTCCATTCTCGGTAAATTGTATGTTTTCTTTCATCATAATGTATTTGAGAAAATGTTGTGACTTGTTGCTGGAAAGTAATTCACAAAATGACTGTTGAGACGATTTATCAGTTAGACTCAACATATCGGGAAAAGAAGCATGACAGTGTGTCTTTAGGACGGCCATTAGTTTGTCAATGAACTCGGCATCACAACATGCCTGGTGTGATAGGACATGCAACAGATTCCTTCTTTCAATTTCAGCAGCAAATCTCACAGCTAGTTGTACTGCAAAGGACTGTGGAATATATGCCACAAGGTCTGTGTCCACAGAAGCATCATTAGCTGATCTTGTGGAAGGTATCAGACGAAGACGCTGGTGGATAAATGACAAAGTGCAGTTTTCAATGACAAAGCATGTGTGGTTTCTGATGAGAATAAGGGCAACGCTGTCATAGATAGATGGATGGTCAAATGTGTATATATCATCTTCCTTCTTGAGATAAGATCCAACTAAATCATTGGCAGCTGACTTGCAGTCATAACCTGGATTACTCTCTTCCATCTCCTGCTCACTGATCTGTCCATCTCTTTGAGCCATAGCTTTGAACAAGTCACACTTAATGCTATCTGCCAGAAATTTATGCAAAGTTTGTTTGAGAAACCCAAGAGGTTTATTGAAGAAAGACTCAACTGGAATCAGATTCTTTTCCTTTTCATATTCTGTCACAAACATTTTACACACATGAGGAAACCCATGCGGGCAGTCAGCCTGCAATATTTTAGAGACAATTGTTTCATTGAAGTCTATTTTCTTCCTTTGGGCATTAACGTTCCAAATCTTTCTCTTTTCTTCTGTGTTTCTTTGAGTAGAAATTTCAACCATGTGTCGTATGTTAGTGATATAATCTGCCATTCTTCCCAAGTCTGTCAATGAGGATTTCAGAACATAATCACGGCCTACAAGTATAATAATAGGTCCCATTTTGGGGGGTCCTGTTTTCTTTGGTTGTTTTGGCTCACCTCTTGTCCCCTCTGATGTTCCTGCAACTTCAACGACATTGACTGTTGAATGTAGGTTATCCATGTCTTTTGCATCCAGAATAGGCCGTAGACTTGGTCTCCATTTCGCCCATTCTGCTCCATCAAATTCCAGATCACCAAATATGTCGTCCAACATGATGACAGGGTGGGGGCAGGCCATGATAACCTCATTGAACTCGTCTGGTGACACCACCTGAAATACTTGTCTCCCTTTGCTGTGCAGATCTTTGAGGGTCATGTAGGCTACTGTAGACTTCCCCTCACCTGGTCTTCCCTTTATGGTCACCCATGTTGCTCCTCTCTGAATCCGATCAATCACCTGCTGCAAACCTTCTGTCTCCACGATGTTCTGAGTCCATGACTGTATCCTCGATGATGTTCTTTCTGTAGGAACAATGAACTGTTCATGAAACCACACATTCTTTCAGATTGGGCTCAACCAAAGTGTATAGAGATATTTGCAGCATTTGAAATTAGAAACTTTAAAGCAGAAAGTCACAGCTACTTAAAATGAAAGTTCTAGAATAATGGCCCTGGACCTCAATTTCAGCCAACCACACAATTTATTATTTCTTGTTGAAAACGTGGTGTAAACTTTTACAAACATGTCATACAAACACATGGTTTGGCTTAGTACCCAAAGAAGCTCCCTCAGACCACCCACACCAAATTTCCTCTCACAACAATGAAAATGTTTTGAGTTATTGTAAACATAATACGTTTTTGACCTTATGACATTGAGTCAAGCATATCAACCAAATGTCCCTACGCATCTTCCCGAGGCAAGGGAGTAAACTGACTTTAAAAGTCCAGTTTCCACCCTTGCCAAACTAGGCTGGAATTCCTGGGCTCGATCGAAGAGTCACCAGTGGTTATTACGAGTTATGTCCCTTCTAAGCCTCTCCTATGGACTTATCAGATTCAACCTCTCGTATCACTTGCATTTGCTTCAAACATAATGGCGTTGCCAAGTCAAGACGATCTGATCGATAATCATGATCTATATAGTGATAAAACAGGTCTTACATCATGAAGTGCATAAGATTTAAAACATCTATTTCCCAACACAACCTTAAGTACCAGGACCATAACATCATTGTGGGAAGCCATTCAAATCCCGTCTACCAACAACATTGACCAGCCATTGACATCAGGAGACACCAGCCAGCCATGAACTGTGACCAGGGAACGTATCTGCCCAATGCTTTGGAGTTACTGCTTTGAATATCGTCTGTGCTAATTATCCAGCTGGTCCATTGTCTATTACCTACAAGTGATAATGTCAGTCCTGGCTTCCAGTTGTCCATGGCTATCACCTACAAGTGCTAATTAACTGTTAAGTGTCGGCTTCCAGTTGTCCATTGCTAATCACCTATCAGCGCCAATTAACTGTTGGCTTCCCTTGGCAAGTTATTTTTGTTGTTCTAAAAGGTACTCATATGTTCTCTGCTTCATAGCCAATGGCTGAAGCGGTCATAAAATCCCTAACTATATATCCTGATAAAGGAGTAAGTATATACTCTGAAATGTTGTGTTCCACATAACAAAGAAGTTGACATCCATATTCCCTTCCATATGTGTATCACTTCTAAATGCCTTTCAAAGACTTGAAATTAAAGTAGCTAACAATACAAATACATAAATTTTTTTGATTCTAAATACCATTATTGATATATGTACCCTACTGACACTTGATTCTCCATGAGAGGCAGGTCAGCTGAAATTGCTTAGGCAGAAGGGGACCTCTTAAAGCTCTAAATACTACAAAACAGCTTTCCAAATTTCATGTACCTCAAAAAGAAAATGCCGTACCTTTCGGTTTAATTAGTTATAAACAAAAACAATCTGGATCGTTCTATCATCGAATGGATAAAACAGACACGATCATGGCAACAGCGGTAGACACAACACACATTGTGATCCTGAAAAAACTATTACAATCCTTTTGTTGTATTGAACTTGATTTTCTAGAATTATTTACATAGATGACATAAATGATTTTAAATTTTAGATATGAATATAAACACATTTAAATTGTATATACTGGAGATGTTAATATAAAAATCTTATGGTTTATGAAAAAATTATTCTGTTTTAATCATTCAGTGTTTTTGTATTTGTATGTTGTAAGACTAGTCCACTTTGGGATAAAGGGAAGAGGCAGGGGATTAGCTGCTGTAGTGATTTTGGTATGTAGTTATTTTGGGAAGATACCAGAGTCCTCAGCCCAACAATCAGAATGCTAAGAATAGTGGAGCATTTGACTCACTCCTGATCTTCTGGACTGTGCTCAGAGGTTTCTCCTCCTCTTCCTCCTGACCGGTCCTAGGAGTACCAAGGTTCTGAGTCCCTCCAATACTCAGGTTCTTGGCTCCCTTCACTGTTACCTCCCCGAACTGTTGCTGTACTTGGATAAAGTTGTACTGAGTGCCTGTTGGTGACAAAATGGGAAACAAGATTCGATGGGGGGGAATACAAAAAGAGCCCATTTTAACTAGTTAATCTACTTGTGTGGACTTTATGGCTACTTTAATTCCCGGCGCCCATCCTTCATGCACCTCTCTTCCTGGCACCCATCCTCCATGCACCCCTCTTCCTGGCACCCATCCTCCATTCACCCCTCTTCCTGGCACCCATCCTCCATGCACCGCTCTTCATGGCACCCATGCAACCCTCTTCCTGGCACCAATCCTTCATGCACCTCTCTTCCTGGCACCCATCCTCCATGCACCTCTCTTCCTGGCACCCATCCTCCATGCAGCCCTCTTCCTGGCACCCATCCTCCATGCAGCCCTCTTCCTGGCACCCATCCTCCATGCAGCCCTCTTCCTGGCACCCATCCTCCATGCACCTCTCTTCATGGCACCCATGCAACCCTCTTCCTGGCACCCATCCTCCATGCAGCCCTCTTCCTGGCACCCATCCTTCATGCAGCCCTCTTCATGGCACCCATGCAACCCTCTTACTGGCACCCATCCTCCATGCAGCCCTCTTCCTGGCACCCATCCTTCATGCAGCCCTCTTCATGGCACCCATGCAACCCTCTTCCTGGCACCAATCCTTCATGCACCTCTCTTCATGGCACCCATCCTCCATGCACCTCTCTTCCTGGCACCCATCCTTCATGCACCTCTCTTCCTGGCACCCATCCTCCATGCACCGCTCTTCATGGCACCCATGCAACCCTCTTCCTGGCACCAATCCTTCATGCACCTCTCTTCCTGGCACCCATCCTCCATGCACCTCTCTTCCTGGCACCCATCCTCCATGCAGCCCTCTTCCTGGCACCCATCCTCCATGCAGCCCTCTTCCTGGCACCCATCCTCCATGCAGCCCTCTTCCTGGCACCCATCCTCCATGCACCTCTCTTCATGGCACCCATGCAACCCTCTTCCTGGCACCCATCCTCCATGCAGCCCTCTTCCTGGCACCCATCCTTCATGCAGCCCTCTTCATGGCACCCATGCAACCCTCTTACTGGCACCCATCCTCCATGCAGCCCTCTTCCTGGCACCCATCCTTCATGCAGCCCTCTTCATGGCACCCATGCAACCCTCTTCCTGGCACCAATCCTTCATGCACCTCTCTTCATGGCACCCATCCTCCATGCACCTCTCTTCCTGGCACCCATCCTTCATGCACCTCTCTTCCTGGCACCCATCCTCCATGCACCTCTCTTCCTGGCACCCATCCTCCATGCACCTCTCTTCCTGGCACCCATCCTCCATGCAGCCCTCTTCCTGGCACCCATCCTCCATGCACCTCTCTTCCTGGCACCCATCCTCCATGCAGCCCTCTTCCTGGCACCCATCCTCCATGCAGCCCTCTTCCTGGCACCCATCCTCCATGCAGCCCTCTTCCTGGCACCCATCCTCCATGCAGCCCTCTTCCTGGCACCCATCCTTCATGCAGCCCTCTTCCTGGCACCCATCCTCCATGCAGCCCTCTTCCTGGCACCCATCCTTCATGCAGCCCTCTTCCTGGCACCCATCCTCCATGCAGCCCTCTTCCTGGCACCCATCCTCCATGCACCTCTCTTCCTGGCACCCATGCAACCCTCTTCCTGGCACCCACCCTCCATGCACCTCTCTTCCTGGCACCCATCCTTCATGCAGCCCTCTTCCTGGCACCCATGCAACCCTCTTCCTGGCACCAATCCTTCATGCACCTCTCTTCCTGGCACCCATCCTCCATGCACCTCTCTTCCTGGCACCCATCCTTCATGCACCCCTCTTCCTGGCACCCATCCTCCATGCAACCCTCTTCCTGGCACCCATCCTCCATGCAACCCTCTTCCTGGCACCCATCCTCCATGCACCCCTCTTCCTGGCACCCATCCTCCATGCACCTCTCTTCCTGGCACCCATCCTTCATGCACCTCTCTTCCTGGCACCCATCCTCCATGCACCTCTCTTCCTGGCACCCATCCTCCATGCAACCCTCTTCTGGCACCCATCCTCCATGCACCCCTCTTCCTGGCACCCATCCTCCATGCACCTCTCTTCCTGGCATCCATCCTCCATGCACCTCTCTTCCTGGCACCCATCCTCCATGCACCTCTCTTCCTGGCACCCATCCTCCATGCATCTCTCTTCCTGGCACCCATCCTCCATGCACCTCTCTTCCTGGCACCCATCCTCCATGCAGCCCTCTTCCTGGCACCCATCCTCCATGCACCTCTCTTCCTGGCACCCATCCTCCATGCAACCCTCTTCCTGGCACCCATCCTCCATGCACCCCTCTTCCTGGCACCCATCCTCCATGCACCTCTCTTCCTGGCACCCATCCTCCATGCACCTCTCTTCCTGGCACCCATCCTCCATGCAGCCCTCTTCCTGGCACCCATCCTCCATGCACCTCTCTTCCTGGCACCCATCCTCCATGCAGCCCTCTTCCTGGCACCCATCCTTCATGCAGCCCTCTTCATGGCACCCATGCAACCCTCTTCCTGGCACCAATCCTTCATGCACCTCTCTTCCTGGCACCCATCCTCCATGCACCTCTCTTCCTGGCACCCATCCTTCATGCACCTCTCTTCCTGGCACCCATCCTCCATGCACCTCTCTTCCTGGCACCCATCCTCCATGCACCTCTCTTCCTGGCACCCATCCTCCATGCACCCCTCTTCCTGGCACCCATCCTCCATGCACCTCTCTTCCTGGCACCCATCCTCCATGCAGCCCTCTTCCTGGCACCCATCCTTCATGCAGCCCTCTTCCTGGCACCCATCCTCCATGCACCTCTCTTCCTGGCACCCATGCAACCCTCTTCCTGGCACCCACCCTCCATGCACCTCTCTTCCTGGCACCCATCCTTCATGCACCTCTCTTCCTGGCACCCATGCAACCCTCTTCCTGGCACCAATCCTTCATGCACCTCTCTTCCCTGGCACCCATCCTCCATGCACCTCTCTTCCTGGCACCCATCCTTCATGCACCTCTCTTCCTGGCACCCATCCTCCATGCAACCCTCTTCCCTGGCACCCATCCTCCATGCACCTCTCTTCCTGGCACCCATCCTCCATGCAGCCCTCTTCCTGGCACCCATCCTCCATGCACCTCTCTTCCTGGCACCCATCCTCCATGCAGCCCTCTTCCTGGCACCCATCCTTCATGCAGCCCTCTTCCTGGCACCCATCCTCCATGCACCTCTCTTCCTGGCACCCATGCAACCCTCTTCCTGGCACCCACCCTCCATGCACCTCTCTTCCTGGCACCCATCCTTCATGCACCTCTCTTCCTGGCACCCATGCAACCCTCTTCCTGGCACCAATCCTTCATGCACCTCTCTTCCCTGGCACCCATCCTCCATGCACCTCTCTTCCTGGCACCCATCCTTCATGCACCTCTCTTCCTGGCACCCATCCTCCATGCAACCCTCTTCCCTGGCACCCATCCTCCATGCACCTCTCTTCCTGGCACCCATCCTCCATGCAACCCTCTTCCTGGCACCCATCCTCCATGCACCTCTCTTCCTGGCACCCATCCTCCATGCAGCCCTCTTTCTGGCACCCATCCTCCATGCACCTCTCTTCCTGGCACCCATCCTCCATGCAGCCCTCTTCCTGGCACCCATCCTTCATGCAGCCCTCTTCCTGGCACCCATCCTCCATGCACCTCTCTTCCTGGCACCCATGCAACCCTCTTCCTGGCACCCACCCTCCATGCACCTCTCTTCCTGGCACCCATCCTTCATGCACCTCTTTTCCTGGCACCCATCCTCCATGCAACCCTCTTCCCTGACACCCATCCTCCATGCACCTCTCTTCCTGGCACCCATCCTCCATGCAACCCTCTTCCTGGCACCCATCCTCCATGCACCTCTCTTCCTGGCACCCATCCTCCATGCACCTCTCTTCCTGGCACCCATCCTCCATGCACCCCTCTTCCTGGCACCCATCCTCCATGCAACCCTCTTCCTGGCACCCATCCTCCATTCACCCCTCTTCCTGGCACCCATCCTCCATGCACCCCTCTTCCTGGCACCCATCCTCCATGCACCTCTCTTCCTGGCACCCATCCTCCATGCACCCCTCTTCCTGGCACCCATCCTCCATGCACCTCTCTTCCTGGCACCCACCCTCCATGCAACCCTCTTCCTGGCACCCATCCTCCATGCACCTCTCTTCCTGGCACCCATCCTCCATGCACCTCTCTTCCTGGCACCCATCCTCCATGCACCCCTCTTCCTGGCACCCATCCTCCATGCAACCCTCTTCCTGGCACCCATCCTCCATTCACCCCTCTTCCTGGCACCCATCCTCCATGCACCCCTCTTCCTGGCACCCATCCTCCATGCACCTCTCTTCCTGGCACCCATCCTCCATGCACCCCTCTTCCTGGCACCCATCCTCCATGCACCTCTCTTCCTGGCACCCACCCTCCATGCACCTCTCTTCCTGGCATCCATCCTCCATGCACAACTCTTCCGTTATAGGCTGCCACAAGTAAAGGCGATTGTGAGGATGACTTGACACATCAACAGAGGTCCTACATGAGGAACTACCCACAAACTGAAGTTTAACCAACACACAATACATGGATGCCTCCTTGAAAATATAAAACATGCTTGTATAAGTAATAGAGGCAATGTCATCGGCATTGTTCCATAGTGTTTGTTAGTTATCTAAACGACGGGTATCTCCCCTATCTCAAGTACCACTCACCTACAGGAGATGCATCAGTCAATGGTACTCCAAGTGACTGAATCTCTGACACAACTGATTCTTGTATGCTAGGCATGTTAGGTAGAAGGGGCGATGTTGACAACTGTTTCTTAGTTCTTCTTGGGCTTGTTTGAGGTTCTGCACAAGTAGCAGTTGTATACGATGATGTCTGCTGCGGATCTACATGGAGTTGTGTCCCTTTGTGTTGCTGTGGGTGTACCTTTGTTGAATGGAGTTGTGTCCCTTGGGGCAGCTGCAGTTGAGACACTGTTTCTTCTTGTGGCTTCTGGTAACATCCCACTACATGTTTTGCTAGTTTTGTAGTGTCTGCAAAACATAAGAGCACAATCTAAATTCCATTATTATTAATTTCTGACAGCGTCACAATTGGATATAATGAATGTTATTTTATGTAGACAAAACAACCACAGTAGAAATATAAAGGCTCATTTATTGTCTATTATGTTCAGAGTTAGTGGTTTGTGACATGACTCATTGATAAACCTTATCATCATTTACTTATCTTTAATCCTTTCAGCCAACATACCTTTATCCACAAGTTTGTATGAATGTTGTTTTACAGTCTTGAACTTGACTTTGGCAGTGCCTGCTCCAAGTTGTGACATATTTTCTATTCCATCTCCGTCCCCCTCCTCCTCCTCTTCCTCCTCCCCCTCTTTTTCCTCCCTCTCTTCCTCCTCCCCATCTGTGTAGTCACCAAGCAAACATTCTTCAACATCAGCAGTGTCTGCCTCCTGTGAGGCAACTCCTTGCTCTCTAGACTTTCCTTTGGGGTTCTCTGGTGTCAGGTCTGTTGCACCATCTGCACATTCCTTGTTTTCAATTTCTTTGTTTTTTCTCCTCCTCTTTGCTTTTGTACATCCTCCACTCTCAGTGTCACTTTCCTCAGTCAATGGAACCTCCGGTTCCCCAAAGGACTCCTGTATTCTTGTTGAAAAAGGAGATGTCGGCGAGTGTGCCTGAGGTATCCTCCGGAGCTGGTTAGGTTCTGCATAAGATGAAGCTGTGGATGTTGATGTCTGTGTCTGATCTGCATCACCAGCTGATTGGAGTTGTGTCCTTTTGGGTGGCTGTGGCCTTGACAATTTTACAGCTCCTCTACCCAGTTGTGACATATTTTCTATTCCTTCTCCCTCCTCCTCCTCCTCCCCATCTGTAAAGTCAACAGGGAAATATTCTTCAACATCCTTCTTGCTGACATCAGCAGTACCTGCCTCCTGTGAGGCAACACCTTCCCCTTTAGACATTATCTTGGGGTAGACTGGCATATCTGTAGCACTACCTCCAACTTCCCTGTTTACAATGTCTTTGTTTTTTCTCTTCTTTGCTTTTGTACATCCTCCACTATCTGTCTCACTTTCATACGTCTGCTCTTGACATTTCTCCACCCTCCTGTCCTTCCTGTACATCCCTAAATCTATAGATCCCTCCTAGTGTATGTCCTTGGAAAGGAAAGAATTCATGTCAGAAAAGAAAAGAATTCCTGTCAGAAAAGACGCCAGTTCACTTGTATCGAAACATTTTATTTTTCAACTACACACTATCCACCAACCACCACACCACTATCCTACATGACAAACTTAAGGAAAATTTCATTACTTGTTCCATGGGGCATTAGTCATTAATGATATAGTTACATTTCTATCTTCAAAGGTTCAGAAACATTTACTGAGAAAACAATAGGTGAAATACTGGACTTCCTCATTGATACCATCAATGTAAAAATTGGGGTTTAGGCTCTGAGGCAAGAAGTAGGCATCTCTATGGGCACACACTGTGCTCCCCTCCATGCCGATATGTTTCTTATGAAATGAATCTGTTCAGATTGGCAAAATCAAAACAAGGGGATTTGGCCAAGAACTTTAACTTCAGCTCCAGTTATATCAATGATCTGACAATGTTCAATAATGGTCAAAATGTTTCTAGGATTTAAGATGGGTTCATATCCTGAGACAGGTTCTGATTTCAACGATAATTCTAGGGTGGGGCCTTGTGCTTTTAGCCCCTAAATTTGAAAAAGGCCCACATTTTCAAATACAATGGGGCATTTTAACATGGTGCTGTATGGGCAAGTGTGGGTGTACCTCTGGAACATTTGAAATTTTCACATAAAGGGCCCATGTCAGAAAATACCAAGTGTGAACCCTGTGATTTTATAAGAAATGTCCTGAAGAGTCCTATCAAAACTTGAAGAAAACATGAAAATGTTCTGCCATTTCACAAAATCACTATCCAGAGGTTGCCTTTTTAGATGCAATGTTTGCCCACCCATGTGGGGAATCGAACCCAGGCCTTCAGCGTGACAAACGAATGCTTTAACCATTAGGCTACCCTACCGCCCCTCATTTATGAAGGAATTAATACTTAGCTTGACATTCATGTACAGACATCAATACTAAGTTTTAAATGTGGTGAAAGCCTGATCCCTTTGGGCAGGAAAACAAACTTCCCCAAAATGTATATGTACCTCATTAAAGGCATATAACTAAGGGACTGGTCATTTATTATAGGGGGTGGGCCAGTGGGATTGATCTTATATAGGATTGTGTCACATTGTGCTGATGCTTCCACCCCCATTTCATGTACCGTATTCGACGTATTCGCCTATGGCGATATTTGCTAATATATTGGCTAGTGAACAATCCCAATTATCACCCCTTCCGATTGATCAATGTACACAAGACTTATTTATTCGTGTATAATACACACTCGTGTGTTATATGCACCGTTAATTAATTAATTAATTATTGGGCTGGCACCATAAAATCGGCATTAATCCGGACTAGTACAAGCAGACACTGGGCATAAAGCATGATCCTGTACATATATCTGCAACTTGATGTTTCTGTTTGACTTTGGATTGTATTACAGTGTAAAGTTCATTTATCTTTAACACAAATTTATAGTTATATTATTTAAACAAAACACTCTAGAAATCACCACAGTAATCAAATCTGGCTTATACACCTTGCTCTTCCCTTTCTTATAGTGTACAAAAACAAGCTCTAAAATATATTAACAAAACTGATATAGCCCAGCTGCAACCTAGCAACAGTTGAAACTAGGAGATTTAGGCCCTGTTAATTAATTCTAAGGCTTTGTCCAGTCATGTTGTAATGGAATCTTTTTTTAGAAATTATCATTCGTCCAAAGTTTACTGCTAATTATTTTTGTATTAACGTCATCAAAGGACCATATTTTATACCAACAATTTGTTGGTGTTAAATATGGTCCTTTGAACAAACACGCAAACCTAGATTCGATTTCATTTCCGACGCTCGTACTCCTGCTGTTGAAAACTTGTACAATACAGTAAGGTATGTCAAGAATTTGGACGAGATCACATATGAGATACCGAAAGACGACATTACAATGTAAACAATCACAACTCCGGCAACACTTACCTAAGCATTGTAAAAATATTAGAAATTGCCTTCTTCGAGGCAAATGTTGCCTCTCAAATCGGGTAAAACCAGTGCTAAAAATAGAATTATGCAAGCTCCCCACCCTCGTAGTACTCGGAAGATACAAGCTGTGCAGAGGAGCATTATGTCAGCGTCACAAGATCACCGAGAACAGCTTAGGAGTTTTGATTGGAGCTGCCCCCATTTTATTTAAATAAAATGTACATGATATCTCACGTTACATGAAAATAAACAAAGAATTTGAAACAGTGATATGATAAATAGATTTGTTTTTTTAGGTTTTTATATGTACTTGGGAGGAACACACCAGGGATAAGGAAAGAATTTGTAAAATTTTCTGTTAGCTTTCATATTCATATTGGTAACAGGGACTGCTTCCATGCTAACAAGGAGCTCTGAATGGGTTAAAATCATCTGTCCCTATTGCAGTGTGCAATATATTTAATACAGCATAAAACTGATTTTATTCGCACATGTAACACTTTTTAGGGACCCACTGTTTGAAATAGTGATTACTTACTCAGTTACTGCATGTGCAAATGTGTACTTTATAATACAGGATGCCATAAAATGTCACTGCTAGTGCCTTACAGTAATATCCTGTAGTGTAGCTGTGCAGTGTTGTGTCCTTACAGTAATGTCCAACCTTACAGTGTTGTCTTACAGTGTAATCTTAGTGTTGTCCTAGTGTCACCTTAGTGTTGACCTACAGCATCACCTTAGAGTTGACCTACAGCATCACCTCAGGGTTGTCCTACAGTGTCACCTTAGTGTTGACCTACAGTGTCACCTTAGTGTTGACCTACAGCATCCCCTCAGTGTTGACCTACAGCATCACCTCAGTGTTGTCCTACAGTGTCACATTAGTGTTGACCTACAGTGTCACCTTAGTGTTGACCTACAGTGTCACCTTAGTGTTGTCCTACAGCTTCACCTTAGTGTTGACCTACAGCATCACCTTAGTGTTGACGAACAGTGTCACCATAGTGTTGACCTACAGTGTCACCTTAGTGTTGACCTACAGCATCACCTCAGTGTTGTCCTACAGTGTCACATTAGTGTTGACCTACAGTGTCACCTTAGTGTTGACCTACAGTGTCACCTTAGTGTTGTCCTACAGCTTCACCTTAGTGTTGACCTACAGCATCACCTTAGTGTTGACGAACAGTGTCACCATAGTGTTGACCTACAGTGTCACCTTAGTGTTGACCTACAGCATCACCTCAGTGTTGTCCTACAGTGTCATCTTAGTGTTGACCTAGTGTCACCTTAGTGTTGTCCTACAGTGTCACCATAGTGTTGTCCTACAGCTTCACCTTAGTGTTGACCTACAGCACCACCTCAGTGTTGTCCTACAGTGTCACCTTAGTGTTGACCTACAGTGTCACCTTAGTGTTGACCTACAGTGTCACCTTAGTGTTGACCTACAGTGTCACCTTAGTGTTGACCTACAGTGTCACCTTAGTTTTGACCTATAGCATCACCTCAGTGTTGACCTACAGCATCACCTCAGTGTTGTCCTAGTGTCACCTTAGTGTTGACCTACAGCATCACCTCAGTGTTGTCCTACAGCATCACCTCAGTGTTGTCCTACAGCATCGCCTCAGTGTTTCCCTAGTGCCACCTTACAGTGTTGTCCTAGTGTCACCTTAGTGTTGTCCTAGTGTCACCTTAGTGTTGTCCTACAGTGTAACCTTAGTGTTGTCCTACAGCATCACCTCAGTGTTGTCCTACAGCATCGCCTCAGTGTTTCCCTAGTGCCACCTTACAGTGTTGTCCTAGTGTCACCTTAGTGTTGTCCTAGTGTCACCTTAGTGTTGTCCTACAGTGTAACCTTAGTGTTGTCCTACAGCATCACCTCAGTGTTGTCCTACAGCATCGCCTCAGTGTTTCCCTAGTGCCACCTTACAGTGTTGTCCTAGTGTCACCTTAGTGTTGTCCTACAGTGTAACCTTAGTGTTGTCCTACAGCATCACCTCAGTGTTGTCCTAGTGTCACCTTAGTGTTTTCCTACAGTGTCACCTTAGTGTTGTCCTACAGCATCACCTCAGTGTTGTCCTACAGCATCACCTCAGTGTTTCCCTAGTGCCACCTTACAGTGTTGTCCTACAGTGTAACCTTAGTGCTGTCCTACAGCATCACCTGAGTGTTGTCCTTCAGCATCGCCTCAGTGTTTCCCTAGTGCCACCTTACAGTGTTGTCCTAGGGTCACCTTAGTGTTGTCCTACAGTGTAACCTTAGTGTTGTCCTACAGCATCACCTCAGTGTTGTCCTAGTGTCACCTTAGTTTGGTCCTACAGTGTAACCTTAGTGTTGTCCTACAGCATCACCTCAGTGTTGACCTACAGCATCACCTCAGTGTTGACCTACAGCATCACCTCAGTGTTGTCCTTCAGCATCGCCTCAGTGTTTCCCTAGTGCCACCTTACAGTGTTGTCCTAGGGTCACCTTAGTGTTGTCCTACAGCATCACCTCAGTGTTGTCCTAGTGTCACCTTAGTGTTGTCCTACAGTGTAACCTTAGTGTTGTCCTACAGCATCACCTCAGTGTTGTCCTAGTGTCACCTTAGTGTTGTCCTACAGTGTAACCTTAGTGTTGTCCTACAGCATCACCTCAGTGTTGACCTACAGCATCACCTCAGTGTTGACCTACAGCATCACCTCAGTGTTGCCCTAGGGTCACCTTAGTGTTGACCTACAGCATCACCTCAGTGTTGTCCTACAGCATCACCTCAGTGTTGTCCTACAGCATCGCCTCAGTGTTTCCCTAGTGCCACCTTACAGTGTTGTCCTAGTGTCACCTTAGTGTTGTCCTACAGTGTAACCTTAGTGTTGTCCTACAGCATCACCTCAGTGTTGTCCTACAGCATCGCCTCAGTGTTTCCCTAGTGCCACCTTACAGTGTTGTCCTAGTGTCACCTTAGTGTTGTCCTACAGTGTAACCTTAGTGTTGTCCTTCAGCATCACCTCAGTGTTTCCCTAGTGCCACCTTACAGTGTTGTCCGAGTGTCACCTTAGTGTTGTCCTACAGTGTAACCTTAGTGTTGTCCTACATCATCACCTCAGTGTTGTCCTAGTGTCACCTTAGTGTTGTCCTACAGTGTCACCTTAGTGTTGTCCTACAGCATCAACTCAGTGTTGACCTACAGCATCACCTCAGTGTTGACCTACAGCATCACCTCAGTGTTGTCCTAGTGTCACCTTAGTGTTGACCTACAGCATCACCTCAGTGTTGTCCTACAGCATCACCTCAGTGTTGTCCTACAGCATCGCCTCAGTGTTTCCCTAGTGCCACCTTACAGTGTTGTCCTAGTGTCACCTTAGTGTTGTCCTACAGTGTAACCTTAGTGTTGTCCTACAGCATCACCTCAGTGTTGTCCTACAGCATCGCCTCAGTTTTTCCCTAGTGCCACCTTACAGTGTTGTCCTAGGGTCACCTTAGGGTTGTCCTACAGTGTAACCTTAGTGTTGTCCTTCAGCATCACCTCAGTGTTGTCCTAGTGCCACCTTAGTGTTGTCCTACAGTGTAACCTTAGTGTTGTCCTACAGCCTCCTCTCAGTGTTGTCCTTCAGCATCGCCTCAGTGTTGTCCTAGTGCCACCTTAGTGTTGCCCTACAGTGTAACCTTAGTGTTGTCCTACAGCATCACCTCAGTGTTGTCCTTGTGCCACCTTACAGTGTTGTCCTACAGCATCACCTTACAGTGTTGTCCTAGTGCCACCTTACAGTGTTGTCCTACAGTGTCACCTTCCAATGTTGTCCTAGTGTCACCTTACATTGTCCTACAGTGTTGATTAACAGGAACACCTTACAGTGTTGTCCAACGGTGCGTTATGATGCCTTGCACGGTCTTCTAACAATTCCTCCTTGGTGACGATTGTGAAGATTTGGGGTAGAATGGGTCTTCAGCAACCCATGCATGCTGTAAAGGCGACTATGCTTGTTGAAAGAGGCAACTTAGTTGATGCATGTCATTGTATCCCTATTATGGATGCTTGTCATGACTGGATTGTCTGGTCCAGACTTATCTACAGACATCCATCATACAGCTGGCAATATTGCTGTGTGCTGCGTTAAACAACAAACCAAAGGTGCATCCTTTTGAGTCTTGTCCTACAGTAACGCTTACTGGTAATTCTGTGACAGAGAAGGCCCCCAGTAACCAATGCTCATGTTAAGTCTCATGTTACAATGCACTACCTTGTGCGACAACAGTGGCATGGGTCATGACATATGGTTAGGCTGCCTTTAAAACTAACAGGCTGCCATGCCATGGAGGGAATGTTGAAGAGTGTGGCATCAAACAACATCCACTCACTTACCCGAGTCACACATCCCTAAACAAAACTCATCCATTGCATGCAAAGCACAGAGAAAGCAACCTCCAAAAATAACAATTATGGTTTTCCATGTCAAGAACTGAGAATTTTGTCTCACTAGATCATTTTAGTGGAACATTTATATCTCAAATTTGATCCAGACTAATGAAAAAAACTACAAAGGCCTGTTTAAAATAAGTTCTTTAGGAAAGGTGGTACAACAAATCACATGCACCCCATTACAATCACACTAAAATAGCACACCCAATCTTCAAGAGTGCTTATTGTCAACAAAACAAAACATCTATGTAGCATGAAGGTGACGTTTCCTACAGTTTGGTAAACACTCAACACATTAGGCAAGCACTTTTTCGAAGATTACTTCCATTACCGCCCTTGGGTGAAGAAGTTTCAAACGGTCCAATATCAATACATTATACGAAGCAGACATGAACTCCAGAAAAATGGAAGTTCGAAGAACACACAGATCCAGATAATTGTCATTATTGCGAGAAGTGAGGGATCTATTGTCCCCAAATCCCAAATAATGCGTACATATCCCACTCCATTCCTTAACATTTCTATTTAAGGTCCATAAACATTTTATTCATACTTTGTTTCGTAAACAAATGTCCCTTGCAAAAGAGCAAAAGATCTATAAAGTGATGTACTGGCAATCTGTAACTTCATCTCTGCAGATACAATGATCAGTTCCTCAGAACTCGATAGCTAATAGTTGTATTCCAGAG